GATGTAACAGTGCGAATGTCGCCTTAATGAATTCCAGAGAATTCGATAAGTGGCCGTGGTTATGTAGGATAGTTGGCGCTTTCGAGAAATTTCGGCGGCCGGGAGATCCTTTATTTTTCACCATAATTAATCCAGGTAATTATTTGCAATCAACTCAGGCTCGTTAAACTTAATCGGTTGATCATTTCGATCTGACAGCTTTGATTAATTGGTGCAAGTGTCCGCGATTTGTTGTCGATACGCAAAGTCCGGGCACTTTTCTTTTCTTCCCAATATGTCACTCATTAAACTGGATATCAGCCTGCAAATCTATCAAGTCGTCGTTGAGGATGTTGAAGAGGAACTTCCACTTTGTTCCACTGTACAACTTTCAACTTGTATCTCAGGATGTCATCTTAAAAAGATGAGTGTTTTTTTTAAATGTTGCTGATCCACTTTGTAAACACTTACCAGAAACGATAACTTGTGGTTCCGTTATAAACAACAGCAGATCCACTGTTGCTTCCTACCCGAAAATCCATTCCAGGCGTTAATAAATTTTGTGAAGTGCAGTAATTAGTGTTGCAGCTTTTGTACCCGTGATCTGATGGAGAAATTGACGAATACCCCATTTATTTAATTACGAATTAAAGTCGAGCCTGGCGCCGGCCAGGGGCGGAGCGTAAAAGAAAGCCGGCATTTTATCTAAAGCACACATTTCATATTTTGGCTCAGAAGCAACTAATCAAAGTGCACGATAAAGATTATTGAAAAATGCGCCTGGAAAAAGTTCAACGAAACATCGTTGATACGCTGGTGCTTTCGCAAGTGAAAAACTATGTCTTTAATGAGACTTTGGACCTGTAGGGCATTACAGAAAGTTGAAAAAGCTGTAATGTTAGTTATCAATACGGAGTGGAATGCGTGCTCTTTTCCAAGATGCTTCATTGAGCTATCATTACGTTCAGCTTGCCTACATTTTCTTATTATGCGGATGAAATCGAAAAAAAGGAGTCGTATGAAAGCTGCGTAGATGCAGATAATCAAAAACTAATAGAATCATAATGGATTTGCAGCGGCATGTTCAGTAATTCCATTATTTCGCCACTTTGATTCTCTCTTCTGAGAACGATTTTCTGTCTTTGTAACCCGATGAAAACATTCGTAGAATCGAAGATTTAAAAGGAATCACTAAGGTGAAGAAATCGATTATATGACTTTTGGTAATTTCATTTGCGTCACTTCCACGGAATATACCTACTTGTAATTATGATTAGCATATGGGTGCAACCAAATCAGGCTTCGTTATTGATAATCAGAAATACCTACAGCAGGTTTCACTGATTTTGCTCGTATCGCATATCAAGCTTAACGATTTGAAGAGTTTATCATCAACATTTAGGTTTTTCCTAGTTGACTGGCATTATGTGGAAAAATGGACAGTTGCTGGAACTGTCCACTGAAGAAGTAGACGACATTGTCCCAACTATAATTACAAAGGTTATTTAATGTTGCAATTTATCAACGGTGATCTACAGATATCGCTTAAAAATGGCCCAATGTTGAATTACATCATGGGTACAATTGATTAATTATTGGCCGGTGTAGATTTTAGCTGGCTGAGTTGGTAAAACTGGGGTTTTTCTAAAGCATTTTCAAAAACTTAATTGGAAAATGCTTCTAGTGGTTTCATGCGATTTCAAGTGATACTTGTTCTAAAAAGTTGACAAATAATAATACAAAACCTCTTCAGACTTTCACTGTTATTATATGGATAATACTTTCCTCAACACTTATACCACTAATTAATAGCTGAATGCTTAATAACAGCACTCTGAATCTGTTGACCCCTTATTAGCATGCCTTATTATAATATAACGATTGGCCTTTCGTTTTTAGTAGTGTTTTCAGTTCGTTTCTTCGCAAATTTCCTAGACTAACATGCAATTTCGTACCAGAAATCCAGTTTTCAGGCGCCAATATTTCGTTCGGAAAAATCAGTCGTGTAAAAGAGAAACGCGCTTTTCATCGCTGTTTACCAGGCAAATCTTAGATAATCTTTATGTTCCAAAACACTGCGGGCATTATATTTTACAAAGTTGCAAACCATACTCGACTGTATGTTTGCATATCGTCAAGTTCCCTGGTAGCTCCATTCCAAAAGAGCCATAGTTTCACTTCCTTTTCGATAACCACAGGAATTAGTATGTCCGGTCGAGTACGTGTCCTGACATTGAGCGAGTTGTTGTCGGAACTTTTAACCGGGAAACACATAAAAAATCAAGTCAATGCACGCCTGAGGTCTGGTGAGAAATTAAATGGACAATATATACAAGCCGCGACAACCCCATAAAAGTTTTAATACAGAAAACATGGTGTTGACACGGTGTCCTCACTTTTCATTTAACTCGATTGAATTTAAATATCTACAGTCCGATGATCCACAAGGTTGGGCGTAAATACCGGAAGTATTAATTATTGTTTTTTATGTATTAAGTTTCGTTATCAATTACCTTCGTTTTTTTAACGTGCAGTTTTACTGGACTTCTGGAATTCGGCAAACAATGTACAATTTGCAGATATTAGTTTTATATGTGATGCAGCAGAAAGTCATGGAAAAATATCAATTGAAAAGTGCTCTTTAAAAAAGCAGCGCCCAAAATAAATTTATTTTGCTGCCATCTAGGCGGTCGGAAATTGTAAGGCAAGTCTTTATAAACGAGTATTGTTGGTTAAAAAAAATTGTAATCGCGCTTTGCTCCGTTCAAGACTCAGAAACGGTTAAAGAAAACAGTCGTAATGAGCTTTTTGATAGCCCGTCCCGAGATTTATCAATTACCAGTTAAGGCTCGTCAAAAATTCTTAATCTCTAAAGAGATAGAAGCAAAAATGTCTAAGTTTCCCTATATCTTCCAAACGATTCGAACTATCCAATTAGTTTTGATGATCTTTTCGATTGCCCGGCTCAAGATGTCTTTTTCGCCGATTGTCTGTGGTCAAAACATTTTAACTTTTAAAGAGATAGGAGCAAAAACGTCTAAATTTCAGGGGCCCTCGAAGTTTAAAACAATCTATATTTCCGAAACTACCAAAATAGTTTTAAGACTTTTTCGATAGCCCGTTTCAATATCTATCCTTCCGGGTGTCATAAAAAATGTTTAGCTCCTAAGGAGATAGGAGCAAAAAATGTTTAACTTTCAGGGGCCTTCGAAGTTTAAAACAGTCTATATTTCCGAAATGGTTGAAAATTTCCAATCAATTGCAAGAATCTTTTCGATAGCTCGTTTCAATGTTTAGCCTTCGCCGATTGGATGTCATCAAGAATTCCTGACCTCTAAAGAGATAGAAGCAGCAATAAAAAATCGTAAACATGTAAAACAACTTATATCCCGGAAACGACCGAAGATGTTTGATAAGTGCATTTTTTAAGGGCGTTTGGAAGCGTATATTTTCCGTTTGTGGCGTGGAGCGAGTTAACTATCTTTTTTTTGGTCTTATTAGACAAAGAGAGATTCGTTATATCGGTTTTAAAATCGATGTTTTGCTTTTCGGCTACTTCTTAAAGCTTTGCTCTAATTGCAAAATGGGAAACTTCACACAGAACTTGTCAATTTTATAACCGCGGACATCAAAATCCGTCAGGTTTTGCTTTGAAATATCCATTTTTGCTATCACGTTAATTTTTTTAAACCTTTTGCCAATAAATTCCATTCTTCAGTTTTTATTTGACTTTCTTTTCATAACAACACCTCAACCGCTTCCTCATACCTGACCTTAAAAGTTGGCCTCCCTATACATACTTGTTCGTTATCTACACCCATTATACAGTCGGTTAGGAATGGAATTAAAATTTTCGAAGTGAGGTTGAGTAACACTAATTGATTTTTAAACAGTTTTGTGCATGTTTAGCGTGGGATCTATATTAAAATCTATTCGCGACAACAATTAAACCGTCCAAGGAAGTGACTTGGAATTAAAGAAGGTTGAAGGTTATATCCGCATCTGAGACAATATGCCTAATCCATTTGAATCGATTAGTGAAAATCGTTTGAAACATATTGTTTTGCGATAGATTTTTTTTATATTACTTATATTTTCTTTTCCTCCGTTTAATTTTAAGCTCCAAACTGGATTTTTGACATACATTTTTGCAACTGAAAATTAATAATTCCACAAACGGTCAGCTACGACCTCGTTGAAGGATAACATTCTGTGTCTTACTCAATAGCTCATTAAGTCAAACGGAGTTAGTTTCGGATTGTAAATCAATGGACTCACTGTTATGTTATTGTACTACATAATAATAATCATTCTGCATAAATTCTCGTGTCCCCGTTTTGCAAAGAAAACCGTATGGTCAAATTTAGGACGCTACTACTTCGTTCTTTTTCGATAATGATATTATATAATTTATTCCGAAGAACGAATTAGTAATGTGCAAACAATGCTTCCAATACGGTTTTTTATTGGCAATTAAAATCGAATTGAAACATGAAAACAACAACAAGCTCACGCATTGATCGTATGGATTGCACATTTGGTAATCGGGACTGGGAGCTTCGTGTAATTGGCATAAAAGGGAAAAAGTTACGATTTTTGTTGCGTTTCTCAGTTCCTGTTTATGTATACCTACATTGAATAAAGACTCATGACGAACTGGAGCAAGTAGTGGCCAGTACGTTTGCCCGATTTAATTCTAGTGATTTTACTTAATTAAATTGTAGCATTGTTACCTCCGGTCCTATAAACGGCTTTAAAGGTTCCAATGATAAGTTTACTAATTAGGGTGTTTGCAAGACATTCGAGGCGTTGATTAGTTATTAATTAGCAGTGGAATAATTTGCTTTGTTTTGCAATTTTCGTCAGCTTGTAATCGCGAACTGTCGAAACAGTTTTCCCAATGGTTACTGACTAGAAATCTAGTCTGACTCCATTAAATCAATCTGTGAGAACGCATCTTAGATCTTATGGTACCCCACCCGGCTCACCAAGAGCGACAATTGAAAATCGGGCTTACCGCATACGAATACCCCGTCAGTTGTTGCACTCGTTTAACGTAGCGCGAACTTACCGAAATCCTGCGACGCCGAGTCAATAGAGTTTAGATCCCGCGAGTCGGACGGAACTGTGTTTGATTATTGATAAATGTTTCTTGTGATTACTATGTAACTGAGTGTCGGATATGCATACACTCACCGTGTAATTAACGTGTTTGACTAGGTATATATTATTTAACTGGAAACAAGTGTTTAAAAACGTTCATTTTGCTGCATTATGTATTTTCTCACGTTTGCGAATGTCCCAATTTCTGAGATGAATATTTTGGAAAAGTCCCCGTATTTGTTGTTGAACAAATGCAATGGTTCCTTTCAATGGAGGAGTGGTACAGTTATAGACAAAAACTGACCTAGTTTATCTTTTTGTCACCTAATGGTTTGTTCAAGATGGCTAGTGAATTGTTAAGAGACCGGATGTGTGAAATCTGCTAAATGGAAACGAAATTCATTCGGTTTGAATGGATCGCGGTTTTGTATGTGTTTTTTGTTTGTTCCCAATCAAAGCTTGAGGAGATAACAGAAAAGTTTCTTTGAATCGGGGACCCTCAACGGGCGATGGTACACGTTTCAGTTCAACTCTCGCCTGTATAAATAATTTCCTGTAGAATTCCTGATGTCACTGAAACAGGTTCAAGAATGCAAATACAAGATGTACATTTAAGCGTCATTTCCACTATTAATTCATCAATATTATCTGATCGAAAGGATTGAAATGCAAAGTTCCTACTGTGGATTGAAAACAACTACTGGGTCATTTTTTATTTTGCAACAATTTTTGGTGTGTCTTCTGAGGCAGATGCCTAATATCGGTTCGGTCTGTCTTATAGGTGTTTTTGCATTGATTTAGCCATACTCAAGAGAAATACTAAACAGAATCTGCCGTGACGAAAACTTTAGTAATCCGCCGTTGTATAAATGGACATTTACATAGTGATAGAAATCAAAGTTGACCTACTACTAAAGCCTAGTTTATGTTACATAAAATCGTTTCCATTGCTTACTTTCGACGTATTGCATTTTCAAAAGCGCTACTTTTCGTATGATGCGATTGGTAGTGAAATGACCGGTTTACATAAAACATCAAAATATTGTAGAATGTGGGTTTGTAGAATTGCCCGATTACGCATTTGGGGTTTATTGGTAATAATCATTTGCTGTGCGGATTTTATGTGGGGTATAATCTTCATAAACACATTATAAAGTTGCAAACAGTTCTGGGCACATGGAATCCAAAAACGTTTCACTCAGCAACTGTGTTAATCAATTTATATACTGTTAATATATTTATATTAAAAATAGTCTGCATTCAATTTTAGGAATTTCTTGTCAACACAAGTGAAGCACTAATCTCAAACAAAAATTATATATTTTATACAATGAGTCCCAGGTAATGTTTGTGTTCAATTAAAATGCAGCCGACTGGTTTTGAAGAAAAAACTTTAGACCTTTTATGTGTAAATGCGCTTTTTGATAGCAAGCGACCTATGACAAAGCTACTACCATGACATTTTTTTTCAAATGGATGCACCTGTTTGTTATTTCAATGTTATATTTTCCATTGAATTTTAAGTACGATTTAGGTAACATGTGCTATAGGTACTCGACAGTTACTGACAAATTTACGATTGCACCTAGTAATAATTAATAGCGGCGACTTCTTTCAGATTTCTGTTCTCCTGAAAAGGACCGGTTTATTTTAAGAAACAGAACAAATTATAGGCTCAACAAGTTTATGGCTTGACAATATCCAAGACGATCAATGAACTCTTCTTGCATCTTGTTATTTTGGTAAATATTGTTTTTACCTCGTAAATTCCTCGAGTCCTGTTGAGTTTACATGTGCTACAGGTACCTGAATCATACTTTCAATTCAATGGAGGTTTCAAAATTGAAAGAAAAAGTAAAGCTTCTATTTCAATAAATGATGGTCGTAACTTATTTTTGGTCTGTATAAATGAATTGGGTGTAAAAAATTTGCATTTCCAAATAAAAATTGTCCAGTGCGAGCTTTATTCCAAGAAACTGTCCGCTAAATTGTAAATGAATTATTTCTAGGGCTCACTGTATTAAATATACACTACGTTTGGGGTTAGTGCGTGAATTGTGTTGATTAAAAAAAATCATAAAATTGAATACCGGTCTGAAATTTTTAATATAAATATGGCAAAAGCGCACTGAAAAAGTAAAATCGATAAGAAATAATAAATTTGGTTTAGGATGGTTTTGGGCTATCAAACTTGATGGGCTTACTGAATGTGATATTGACACAGTTCGCTAGAAAAGTGTCTTTAACAAACTATTCCACTGGGAAAAAAACAAATGACTTGAAAACTAACGCTTGAACGAGTTTATTTAACAGCAATTCAACTCTTTAAACGAAATATTAGTTAACACCTTACTTAGAAGAAGTAAAACTTCATCGGCGTTAAGATTGGCCATAGATAAAGCTTGTATAAGCGACTTCAGTTGTAAACATTTTAAGCTGACGTGTGTTGCTGATTTATCCGTTAGCTCCATTTTGCACTTTTTCTCGGAATTTGTCATGCAACTAGAGCAAACTGGATGTAATAATATAGAAAATATTTTCTATTTTCCATTAAAATCGAAGCTAAATTCAAATTCAGCAACTGTCGTTTTCACTGCGCTGTTCGGAAATTTGATCACGTAGTTTTAAGCTTGTCGAAAGAGTTTTACTTGAGTGAATTCGCCTTCTGCAATCCACTTGAATCAAGTGTATGATGAATTAACAATAGACGAGTACCTGCAAGGAAAAATCATATACGTTATCGCAGGTGAACAAACTCATTGAGTTAATTGGCCGAATATTTTCGCTTATCTGCAATGCAGACAAAGGCTGCAAATGGAAACCGAAACAGGCACAGCTCTAGCTTGAAACTCTGTGTCGATGGAAAAAACTTCATCGGTCGCATGAAAATCGATAATAACGAGTCGAAGAGGTCTTTGGCATACAAAAACCGAAACAACATCCTTATAAATCAAGCAAATACTATCTCTTTGTGGTCAATGTTCGTGAAGAAGAGAAAAGAACGAGTCCATGGAAATAAAAAAGGAGTTTTAACCGGTACCCCGTTTTACTCGTTCATTATTCTGCGTCGTTCACGTCGAGTATCAGCTTTCTTAATTATTCTGCGGCAATTATGTCACAAAGTTGATTTTTCTCTTAGTCTTTTCGTGCGTAACACTTTTCGAGGCCGGCCGTTTTTCACCCACCCTGATTTTGAAATAACGCGAATCGAAACGAAGAAAAAAACAGTTTTTTCTTCCAAACCAATTATTATAACATCGAAAAGGCTAGAACTTCGATTGGTAGAAAGTCCCATCTCATCCTGCCTTATAAGCGGAGGCTGTCGAATGTCTAGATGAGGTAACGGGGCTTTTTCGCATAATGCCAATAAATTTGTCTCAGATCTCTGTCATCGATGCTACTTGAACAAACTAGGAATTGACCATAAAAACCGCGTGTTACTTGTTCTGTGTGATTATACCAAGCTTATCGAGGTATCTGGTTTATTTGCTGAAGATTATCTATTTTCCTTTGAATAGATCGACTGTACAGAGTTCCGGCTAACATACGTGTGTTCTAATTATATTGTATTTGTGCAGTTTGCACTCACCAAAAAGGCTGCCAATGTAATTACTGAGACTTAAAACTTTTCTTTTCTTTTTCCGTTCTTTTGCTTTGTTGCACAGATTAATAATTATAACAGTAATTCATTTAAACATTAACACGATTTCATATCGCTTTGGTTTGGAAAATGTAACGAAAAATTGACGCAGGTTGTTGTTGCAATTGCATTTTATTGCGATCGCACTATAAAACAAGGAATTGCACAATGCGATTTAATTAATTCTTCCATGTGGGTAAACGACGGCAATAAGGAAGAACATACACACCAAATCATTCGGTTTTCAGTTGAAATTCGCTGGCACTTTCCATTTCATCTCAGTTTATTAAATTATTAACCATCCGAGCACTTAATCAAGTCCTTTTACGTTTTTAAATATAAGTAATTGGCGTTCATTACCAATAAATGATTCAGCCCTGATTAATTTCTCTTTAATTAAATTTGCCCCTCATGGAACAATTTTTATGCATGGGATTGTGGGCTATTTTCAGTGTTGTCGTGATCTCATATCCTCCTCCTTCAGATAACACCTTCTTTCGTTGTCACGAGTTGGTATTTAATTTTGCAACTGCTTTGGCATGAAGTAACCATTTGAATTTCTTCTTACGTACGGTCCTACACAGTCGCCAATCGTTAAAATTAGATATTTCTGATGCAAATTGATTTTTTCCGGTTTTTTTGAGAGCACCATTGTGTGCTTAAAGAAGTTACATTTCGTTGTTAATTCATTTCATTCATGTTGCACATTCATTCATTCGTTCGTTCAGGGGTGTTTCAGGTTTAAAACATGAATTTATCTATCAAGATAAATTCATATATGTATGTTGATTTGATTATTAATTTTTTGTGGCGCGAGGCTATTAAATAATGAGTCGGAACAGTTCTGTCACAGATGTGCTGTTAAATGGTCATCAACTCCATATTGGATTAATTGGCGTTTTTATTATCATATCCCCAATAAAACGTTGTATCGCGAACTATGAATCATGTTTTAGAGTATTCATGAAGGCGCGTATTGTATGCAAATCGTTTTTTCATTTGGCGGCCCGGCACATGGAAGTTGATAATTTTACAGGCCGGAATCCACATGTACTCATAGAGTTTGTCTCGAGTGCTTGAAATTGCTTGAATTAACTAGAAAGTTGCTGAGCCAAGCCGATTTAGAGTCTCCCCAAGAAAGCTAAACTTGATGCATGTTCGAGATTGTTATACCTACATGATAAGTTTTCAAAAACACTTGAAAGAAAAGCACTTAAGAGGGAAACTGTCTTGTATTTTATTTACTTTTAGAATCAAGGACCTTTTGATTATTAGTTTGTTTATATTCTTGTTCTAATAGCTTGGAAATTTGTTGTTTTTGTAGTTTGGTGTTCAATGCACAATGGCAATCGTTACAAAACCGAAGTCAAAAACAATATACACGTAGTAAGATACATGCTCGAGAAATGAGCGCTGAAAATATTTAAATATCGAGAATTAAATCAAACTGAGCAAACTTTTGTAAATTTACACAAAAAGCAAAATATTCTTCGCGAATATGATCCATTATTATGGAGGTGAAGACTTGTGTTTTGCTTTTCTGCTGTAATATTGTTTATGAATGGTATATTAATATTAACTAACCTAATTACAATACGGGTTTTTAAGTTTTGTGGCAAAATTCTTCTCCATTAAATGAAAAATATCTTTGCCACTAAAATGGTTCAACAAAGCAATTAAATTTGCTGATAAAAACTTGTCATTTATGTTTCCAATCTGTAATACCTGCTGTTATCAGCCTATTGCACTTTTTCAGAATTTTGATTATCCTTTCGCTTCGGCTGAGGGATAGAAACACATTATTATAGTTCTTTTCACTGCTTCATAAATTATATTTCGCCGAAAATGTGCTTCTTTCACTCGCAATCACCAAATAGCACTAAAGTAGGCAGAAACGTTTCGCACTCTGTCTAGTCAATGTGAAGAGTAAACATTTCCAACACTCAGATTGCAAATTGCCTAAAATATCTAAGTCAATTTGCAGATTGCACAAAGTAGTAGCAATTCTGCAAAGTGCCTGGCGAGTTTCTCAGTTTGCAGAATGCCTAGGCATTTGGAGATTGCCGGTAACATATATTTTCTCTCTTAAATTCAAATGTTCCTTAGGCATTTTGTCAGCGCACTGATGCAACTAATGTCGAATTGAAAATTATTAGAAGCGGTACCTCTATTGCTTTATAGTGAAGACTGATGCAAAACTTCGAACTTTGCGTGAAAAAAAATTACGGCTTGAAATTCGATTTTCACAGATAAATTAGTATTCTGAGCAACTTTTTCCGCTATCTCTAACGCATCTGTGGCTGGGTTCATGAGAAAAGTACCCCAAACAATTAAGTCCATGCCATTCTATCTCTGCACTTAAATCGAAAACCCTTCTTGCAAAACTATTAAAAATGCAGGGATTTTTCGATCTTAAGTACTTTTTTTATTAAAAATGTATAAAATCGAAAATTTTTAAGATTGAAAAATGACTATTGAAATCGGTTTCATAAGCCACATAGGATTCTTTAAACATTTAGGATTTTTCTAACAAATTGCTATTATTCAAATTTGCTGTCGATTGCGGTTGTTCTGGTGGAAAAAGTGAATGGGATTTCAACTGACGATGAGTACAAAATTGCTTGTGTTTAGAATTCTTTGAAACGGGTTTCTCTCAATGCGTTCTTGCTTTTTGTTGGACAAACATGGCAATTTCCTATTCTTCAAATGCAGTTGCTCCTGTGTGGATGGATAGTCTTTTGAACGAAGCGATGGCAAGAGTCCAGATTTACTTTGGCTTGGAATTATTTCAAATATTGACCTTTTAATCCTTAAAAAACTCTCTTTCTTAAAGTTGGCTTGTCTTCGGCCAGGCAACCGCAACAATTTTCCATTATTCGAATGCGGTTGCTTTTGTAGACAACAGTCATTGGGCCGATGGCACGATGAAGTCCAGATTGACTTCGGCCTGTATTTACGTAGTGAAAGAGAGTGAATGTGTGGTCATACTGGTCATTGTATACCAGGGTCGTGTCATTATTCGATGCACGAAGCCATAAAGGATGGTAATAGTGTGTCGCCAATATTCATCAAGGTTGTCGATTAGGGCAAACATTCGCATTCGATGAAAGAAAGTACATTCAGCAGCAAAATATCGATAAGCGAACGAAATCTTACACTTGCAGCTCTATTAGTTTCTATGAGGAAATACCAAGGAGCTGCCAAACTGGATTTAATGTGTGGCCCAAAGGATGGTTAACGTATCAGGCGGAGTTGTCTGGTGTTTTAAGGACAACAGATGGATTCCTTTGCAACTGTCTTCGATAAGACTGCATGGAGTGTTGACCCAGTCCCACTGGGCGGCCATTACCGAATTTCTGGAACGGGTCGCCAACAAGCAACTGATTCTTCAAGACAATGGCTTCACCGAACTTACCGAGAAACACAAAGAACTCATGTTCAAAAATGAGCTGATCGGTAGCAAGCTGGAGTTTTGTAGTGATAATAATAATGTGATAAAATTGCCTGATAGCTTAGTGTCCGAGAGGAAGTCGAGTTTAGGTCAAATTCCTGAAGACAAGATCGTCGAGCAACCGCGCAGGCCCTCGATGCCAGAACTCCGGTCAATCGATAGAGATAGTTTATTTATTAATAATTTATTAAAATCGCAATCTGATAACCCGAAAAAGACTGATAGGATATCTAAGGAAAACGACGAGTTGGTGCTGAAGCTCCTGAAAAAGTACTGCAAGTACAGCAAGGATGCTTTGGATGATGATATTTTAAGTGCCATTGAGAAAATCGCCGATGAAAATGTAGCCCCAGATCCGCGTCCTCCTAGAGTAAGGAAAATGGGTTACGTGCCCAAAGAGGATAAAATCTACGAAAACGTCAATGAAATAATTTTGGATTCTTTGGAATTGGAGGACGATCGAAACGGGCATATTATTCGTTGGCTCAAGCAGCAGAACAGCCATGGAGGAACCTTTGCCGATATAATCCTACCATCCAGACGACACTCTTCTGTAGATTTCCCGGTTTCTTCGCCCACCGATAGCAGGAAGAGTAGCCTCGGTGAGCGGAAATCATCGTCATCGGGCTTCGAGAGTCAAAAGTCCAGCTTAACAACTCCATCGACTCCAGAGAGTCGCAAGTCCTCTTGGTGTGAGAGCACAGTGACCAGCAGGAAGAGCAGTGTCGGTTCGAACAGTTCGTGTTCGGAATGTGAGGAGTCGGACAGCCAGACTCAGTGGCAAAAGTTCCTTAAAAGACATTTGAATTCGAAAAATTCAGAGAAGAGACTCAGAAAGCAATGGGAGGCATGGGCGCGGAATCGACGACGACTCAGTTTGCAAGTTGACCCTACCTGGACCGATCATTTAGACTCGCAACCGTAAGTTTTCCAATCGATTAATCCGGTTTCTTTTCTTTGTTCTTTGTTGGTATTAACTGGCATCTGTGTTCGACTTTTGCGTACAACAAAAGCGATTTAATGTTTAATGGTGCTTAAAATCAGTGAGTCACCTTCTAGCATTCTGGTTTTGTAACAGGCGGCTTGAGACGTTTCGCCAACTGCACTAAACCGAAAAGACAAAGTACAACATCAGCTGCTGTCCAACAGTCGACGAGATTAATTAGTTTCACGTTCATAAGGGGGTAATTGATTTTTCTTTCTCAGTGTGAACTGGAAGTTGCAGTTTGTGCAATTCGCCTTGAGCTAGAATGCGCTCGATTGGGAGGTTCCTAGCAGTAGAATCGATCTTTAGCCAGAAATTAAACATGAAAAATTTCCGGTTTTTTCCTGAAATTTGAGAAATGACACAATGAAGTGTGTGAATTCATTTAAAATTCAGCGATATGTTTTCTAGAAAAACGCTCGGACCTGTAAATTTTCATTTTAAGACTCAGGTTTTTATGGTAATTTATTCGCACAAAGTGATACAAAAATTAATTACGACCATCAGCTTCATTTTTCAAATGAAAACACCTATTTTTTAGTTCAATTTTCAATTCTTCATATGTCGAAAGGTGGTGATGAGCACAGAAGCTAAATTCAGAGAGTTTGCTGATGTAAAAAAATGCCCAAATCTGGGCGTTCTGCTCAAGATCAAAATGAACAGTTGGACGTTTTACTTTATTTGGAAGAAAATCCATGTGCTTCTCTTTCGCAGATTGGGGCCAATTTACAGATGCGAAAATCTGTTGTTCACCGAATATTTCGACAGCACAAATATCATCTCTGCAAAGTTATTACAGTGCAAGAGATATTCGAAGATTATTGCGATGCGCGAAATGAGTTTTGCTAAAGCATGCAAAATATAGGACCATTTTTCTTTGAACACTCTCTAACTAGACAAGCATATCTAGAATTTCCTCAGCTTGAATCAATTCCAGCATTAGTGTCTTTACTTCCAAATCTATTAGAGCCAGACTCTTCTGATGAAGAACTGATTTTGTGTGTTGATAGGCCAAACAATATGCGGGAATTAATAGAAAAGATCCGTAAATTTATCGGTAACTGTTGAGTTTAAGTATAGCACGAACGACAATGTAGAATTCAAAATTGAAACAAAAAGCTGGTGCTTCCATTTGAAAAAAAAAAGTTGATGGTCGTAACTTACTCTTGGACCACCCTGTGTATAAATAAATTCGGTATAAAAAATTGCATTTACGACTAAAATGTCGAAACTTTTTTGCACAAAGCAGTCCGCTGAATTTTAAATGAAATCAGGCATTCCTTCTGGAAATAACTGTATATTCCATCCATGCAATGGCAGGTTTTTTGCAATGAGCCAATAACCACCACCAAGTTGGGGCTTTTAACTTCAATAGTAAACTGATACCAAATTTGGCCATTTTATAATGTAAATTTGTAAGCGGCAATGATTCCAATGTGACAAATAAGTTGAATACAAATTAATTTATTTATTATATTTTAGTTTTTCGTCGTCGTTCTGAACACGGGCGCCATTTTCTAGCTGCAATTTTCGTTCTAATCGCAGGCGTTGCTTATGCTCAATTTTCAATAGTGGGTGTTTAAAATAAATCCACGATACCAATTCATAAGCACTAAAAGGAATGATTTATTATGTCATTTTGTACCTTCGCAAAATCAGTGCAAAACCAATCGGCATTTTGTAATTTTGAAAGTGGAGGTGCTGCGAAACGTGGCGATTTCTATTTCGATTCTATGGGGTTTTACATAAGCAACAGAATTCGCAAATGTTATTTAGTAGAAATGGAATGTATTTTTTACTGTGCCGCTTGCGACCTTGTCTAGTGATCCGTTGAATTCCGCCGAATGTGACTAAATATTTTTTTATTGAATATTTGCGTAATTCGGAGCCTTGAAAACTATTCGAATGCATTTGTGACTGAACTCAATCGATTACGGTTGCAAAACCGTGTTTTTTTTTTTAATTGTAATAATCAAAGTGAAATCATCCTTAAAACGTTTCTTAAGACGGGGAAGTTTAGGTTCATCGCTAATTTTACCCAGTGCTAAACCATTGTTTGAGCCTTATTAGTTTTGTTTTAAACCAAATTATCCCTTATGCTCGATTATAAATGTAAATAGCTATTGGAAACTACATGACTAGCTAAATTGGTAGCATAATGTGTGGCGAGTGTGGAAAATACTAATTTTAATGGTTTCCAGTCCAATTTTGACACCGAAGCCGTAACATTGATTTAAATATTATGCACCAAGTAACTGGTAAATAGCACGTTTTTAAATGTTTTATAAACAAGTGTAGTCGGACAGCGAACAGCAGCTTTTAAATAAAATAAAATTCCTTTATAACAGAGATGCGAATGTGCATTTGACGTACTTTCTATGCATTTCAATAGAGGAAATATCATCCAGATTCTGGTTGCTTTGATTTCACAAATAGCTGCAAGAAACAGGCTGTACGCATTGATTGCAATCGTTCATCGTGCACTTGGCGCCACAGATTGTCCATCATTCCGCTAGATAAAGCGGCATAAATCAAATTGCAGTCGTTATAGGTCTGCAATTGAAGATAGTTTGATAGTGCGAAACATCCCTGACGACCAGCAGCCATAAATTCGATCTAAACCGCGATTAGACCACGAAGAGTTGACATGTTGAACCGGTCGGCGGTCTTCACTCTGTGACAGAAACATCGTGTCGTAATCGGGCTGCTTGTTATGTAAAATCTGTGTAATAAATTGGTAACCTGGTGAGACGTCCCCAGCAAATGGCACGAATTGTAGACGACGTTAAAAATAGCCTTAGCTGGTTAAACCGGCTTTGCGGATGCAAATTCTGCACATCCCACATTACTCAAGACTGGTTGGTTGATGAACTTGCTGAGCCATAAGGGCAATGGTGCATTGGGTAATCAGTAGGAACACATTTGGTTCACGCTTATTTTTCGGGGCTTTTCGCCAACTTATCGCGCTATAAATATTCCTTTTTTTTCTCTTCATCAATTTTCATCTGGGTTTCTCTGCATTATAAACCAGATCACGCACGTTTAATTGTTGCGCTAATGTGGTTCAATGAGAAAAGCCATTAGTAATTCATAATTRACAGCGTTTTTCTTTGAAAAATCTATTTTTAGCATTCATGGAAAAAGTGCGTCCTTCTKCAACAACAGGAAAAGCGAAATTTCCATAACGATTCYTTGCGATTTAAGGAAATTTATTGCAGGAATGTCAACCGATYAGTTGAAGGCCTTATCAATCGCGTTTTGATCGGAAAATGTACAAAATATCTTTTGTAARACCAAACATCAACYTTAAATGTACCTTATAAAACAGTAATTACATATTCCGTAAGCGTTTGTCTGTAATTTGAGACATAARTTTAGAGGCGCTTAATCGAGTCAAACAAAAAAGTATGTAAGCSATTGAWTTAAAAATGTAAATGTTTTGAAAAAAATAAACAATATTKTAATATGCAAAATCGATATATTTTGAAACATGTGGTTTGGTCGGAAAGTTTACAGGATGCATGTAATTGTATACGAGGTAATTTCRTACAGCGTTTTCTCCTCAACTTYTGGTCCATTTTTCGCAYAGAGGTTTTTGGTTCCGACAAGAAGATCGAGTTTTTGTGCATAATTCCTCAAAACTTTGTGTTTTTTCATTTCTCAGCAGTGGAGTTTTAGTTTGATGTTGCAATCTGCACTTTTCATTGTTATTCTTCAGYAGGAATACTAAATTACAATTTTTTTTACAACAGAATTTCRWGTTTATTTTCGAGAAAGAAAAAAWTMATTTGGATTTCAATTTGGGAAACCGAACCGTAACGCGTGTAAATTCTCGCCGAAGACCCGAAAACAGCATTCGCTTATCTTTTCCTTGATTATAATTGTTATTTGGTAGCTTCTAGACTTAACGCATTCTCGGTCAGTATCTAAATCCCAATAAATTCTTGTATTAGGATAATACCAAGATTACCAAGTGGGTCATGGTTACCACCGAGGGTTTAGAAAACCCGTTTTTGGAAAACCCGACCTATTGGAGCTTTGGCTCTAGTTGTTTATGCTTTTGTAATTTTTTTGTTGAGAATCGGTCTTTTAAAGATCTACGTATTTCTGCCGACTTTGTGTGCGTATAAAGCTATTGAAAAATGTTTACAACTTGAATACTCTTTGTTAGGCCTTAACGACCGTAAAAACTGCAAATTGCAAGCTCATAAAACAAAGGCAAATCAGCTGTGAACTTGAAACGAGCACGAATTCTGCTCGATTGTTTCAAGCTGTTTTACATTTTGAAGCTTGCAATTGGTCAATCACGTGAATTTGCTAAACCTTGCGCACGTTTTGCAATGTGTTCTAATTACTCTATCACCTTCACATGCGTTGTATTTTTTTCTGTTCAATATGTCGTGCTAATTATTCGTATACACCAAATGCATTGTTAAGAGCTGTTAACTGGCGAGTTTTCTCTGGAGCCTTAAGTGTCGCTGTTTTCAGATCTTGATGGACACAATACTACTTTTATTATCACTTTTTCATTTGTTTTTATTTTTTAATTTTTGTTTTCAGATGGTATTTTCGAAAAATAAAGCGAATCGAAGCCGAAAAAAAGCTTCTACTGCCCGAAAATGAGCATGGTGCTTTTTTGATACGAGACTCCGAAAGTCGGCACAATGATTATTCCTTATCCGGTAAGTGCTTATGTTGTTTACCGTTAAAGAAACTATAGAATAATGTAAATTGAAACAAAATGGTTTTGAAAGCTTTAAACTATCGTCAATAGTTGTATTGTCTGTTTTGGGCTCAAAATCAATCTTGGTCCACTTTTAATTAAAAAATCGCCTCAATGAGCCAATGAATCATAAAAAATTAAATCAATTTTTCAATGTTAATAAACATTTTCAATTAATTTTTGCATTGTTTCAAAGGGTATAAATTGTAGGAAGTGGTGAGTTTTGGGTTATAAGACCGTCGTCTATAAGAATTTGGTCCCGGCGTTTCGATCTTCAGAGTGGTGCACGCACTGCACTGACTTATTACTGACTCACCAATTTTGCGAACGAAAGCTTAATCAATTAAAACTGTATAATTTTGATGAATGTAAAATTGTATAGGAAATTTAAAGTAACATTTAATAATTTTCCTTCCAGTACGAGACGGTGATACAGTGAAACACTACCGCATTAGACAACTTGATGAAGGCGGATTTTTCATTGCCCGTAGAACGACCTTCCGAACGCTTCAAGAACTGGTCCAGCATTACAGTAACGATGCCGATGGACTTTGCGTCAATCTCTGCAAACCTTGTGTTCAGGTAAGTGTCTAGACCCCTTTTTGAGTGGTAATTAAAGTTTGACTTTATTGGCCTATTAGTTTGTTGCCCATTCAAACAATCATAAAACGAGTTCATTTTTTATTGAAAGCCCCATCTAGATTTTATGATTGATCGTAAACGCTGAACAACCCTAATGCATCAATATTGGCTAAGTTTAGCTGTAATTTGGTCTTATATGTATGCTTAATCTTGTATTCTTATATTATGCTTATCAGAACGATTTAGAGGTACGTGCACTCGGCAAGATAGTAATAATCCTTTAGAAAGCATATTCTTATTATTTCCGCAATTATTTCAAAAACTATCTGCTGTGTTTATATGGTACTTTTATTGTTCGTAGTTTACAGTTCAGTAGGCATCCAACTTAATAGTGTATTATTAATTTGCATTTTTCCATTTTATTATTGTGATAGGCACGGTTTAACAGGTACCCATTATACAAAACACCGTCTTACAAAGTACGGTCACAATGAAATCTGTTAACGAGCTGTTAACGAACAATTAATAAGATTTGCGAACAAAGCTCCAGCCATCCTCGTAGTTTCAGTTTGCGTTTACCAATTTCACCCTTAAATTTACTTTCAATTGGTGAAACAGTACATAAATCTACTGTATATGAAACGAAAAAATTCTAAATGCCTGATCGTAATTTTCAGGTGGAAAAGCCGCAACCGTTAGGACTTTCACATAGAACCCGCGACCAATGGGAGATCGAAAGAACGTCGTTGAAGTTCCAACGCAAATTGGGGCATGGACAGTTTGGAGAAGTATGGGAAGGTATGTGGAACAACACCACACCCGTTGCTATCAAAACGCTCAAGCCTGGAAGCATGGATCCAAAGGTAAGACAATAGACAACATGCTCAGACAAAGTGGATTTGTAAAATTTCCTTTTCTTCGCTCTAGGACTTCCTTGCTGAGGCACAAATAATGAAGAAGCTGCGACACCCAAAGCTGATTCAATTGTATGCGGTTTGTACTGTGGAAGAGCCGATCTTCATCATCACTGAACTAATGAAGAATGGTTCGCTGTTGGAGTACCTTCAAGGGAAAGGAAAAGGTAGAATGAAGCGCTGCATCCAATTAAACTGACTCTTAACCAACATATTGTTTCAGTTCTTAAATTGCAACAGTTGATTGATATGGCGGCGCAAATAGCAGCCGGAATGGCGTATCTGGAAAACCAAAACTACATCCACAGGGATTTAGCTGCAAGAAACGTGCTGGTTGCTGAGAACAATATAGTAAAAATTGCCGATTTCGGATTGGCTCGACTAATAAAAGTAAGTATTCTGTTTTAAAAATGAGAAAGTTGATTCAAGCCAAATGTCCTTTTTATTTTAGGAAGACGAGTATGAAGCGAGAGTAGGAGCAAGATTCCCTATCAAATGGACTGCTCCTGAAGCAGCCAACTACAGCAAATTCTCAATCAAATCGGACGTTTGGTCTTTCGGCATTCTCCTAACCGAGTTAGTAACTTACGGAAGAATTCCGTATCCAGGTGAGTTTGTAGGGCATACAACTTAGCAATGATTATTAGCTGTTGACGCAAAACTGTTTTTGAACTTTTATCCAATGCGATTTTATCCGTTAACCTCGACTCATTTGTGCCGATGTAAAAACTCTAAAGTATTCTCGAAGTTTGAATACTGAAGACAAAAAAACCCAAAATGTTTAGAAATTTGTCTGAAGACTTGTATTATCATGGTAAGCCAATCCCAAGCGGATTTTCAACGTTCCTAATTTTTTGTTTGAGCTATATTTTTGTTGTTTGATATAATACTTTAGATTTTATTGCTGTTTTATTTTGACGGTTTTATTTTGCAGGTATGACCAATGCCGAGGTTTTGCATCAGGTCGAGCATGGCTATCGAATGCCTGCCCCACCTAGTTGCCCACCCCGACTTTATGAGATCATGTTGGAATGCTGGCACCGCGATCCGCTCCGAAGACCCACTTTCGAAACGCTCCAATGGAAACTGGAAGATTTCTTTACAATGGAGGGTTCCGAGTATAAAGAAGCGTCGGCTTACTGAGGAATGGCCCACCCCCCAACCGATTGGTTGTGTAACACGTTGGAGTTGCACTACCATTAAAGGGAAGGGTGGTGGTCGAGACTTGCGAGTTTGATCTAGTGCATATTGGAATCAGGCGAATTTTTTAAATGCGATTAGTAGCAAAAGGAAATGATCCATTTAAAAATTACGAGCAGTAGATTTCGGGAGACCAGTGGAAACTGATAGAATCGGTGTTTTGTGCAAGGCAGATTTTCAAATGTGCGTTTTATTAACTACTCTTGGCATGGTTTTCCAAATTGAAATTCTACTAAAAATTATTGAGATTGATTTAATTAAATCCAATAGAACTTTTTAATTGAAGTATTGAGAATTCAGTTAATTTAAGAATTTTTAGACAAATTATCAAATATGTGAGCAAACTTTTATTAGTTTCATATTTAGTATGAATTAAATTACTGAGTTCTCAAATATCTGCCCTTCACATGTTTCAACTATTTTGATTTAAATCCTTATTCATTTAGGCTGGCAAAATAATTCAAATTAAAACAGTGTGTTTCAAAACAACACGAACACTATATCTTTTTTCTTATTATTGCCTTTCTTAACATGCGAATGAAGCAACGAAAACACCTAATTACTTTAAAATCAATATGACCTATGAAAACCACGTATGTATATGTTTTGCTACCAATCGTACTACGTCCACTTTTAACCTTTTTAAATTCTAACACACATTCAATCTACTGTTTTTACATTATTTGTGTGTTGTTTTTTGCGGCTGGTTTCTGGCCACGTGTCGTGCTTTATTTATTATATAAAAATATATTTATGTTATACAAATTCTACAAAATCCGTTGTCGGATAATTTCCGACCGGTCCGAATAATTAATTATATTCGCTAAAATGTGTATTTATAGAAAGCGATTTTGTATTCGACGGTGTTGTGAACATGAGACCGATTTGGGTTTGAAAGAAAAGGGGGTTGTTGTTTTATACTGTCTAACTACACCCAAATCTGCCAAACAGGTGGTAAAAACGTTGGTTTTGAACACTTGAATAAAATGCGCTTTGACACAATATTTCAAAAACATTTTAACGGGTTTCAATAATTATTTGATGTGTAGTTAGACAATTTGCCGAAAAGTTTCGTTACTTCGGCTTATTTGAGGTTTGACTTGATGCTCAGATGAAAAATGTGACCAACTTGTAAATCGCTTTACTACACCGACGCCAACTCAAACCTCTATTGAGTGAGTTATTTTCCTCCGAATGGGACAGCTGTTCAACGTTGTATTATTTCCATCATTTTAACTGTTTCATGTACATAGTCTTCGGTCTTTTTACTGAACAACCTGTCCCTTATCCCTTAGGATATTTGAGTATTGTTACATACGTTGTTTCTTGCTGGTTAAGCTATGTGGTTCTGCATAGTTATTAATGAATAATTTGAAAATACATCACTGGTCAAAACCGAATTGTTTAACTAGAATGTGAACGACATGACTGGGCTTGTAGTGATCGATGTGTGCCGACGCACAAACACGTAGAACTGCCATTATCTTACTTAAGGAGAAAATGTGGACTCTTCATCCTCGTGTTTTTGACAGTCAATAGGTAAAATGCTTATTTACATTCCTACCTTTTATAAGAAGAGTAGCTCTTGCTAGTTGTCGTGGTTGTTTGGGGGGCATCGGTTGACTTTCAGCATCGTATTTGGAATCTCTCTGGTTGAAAATCAACACGTTGCCTGTTTGGCATTTACATAACTCGTGTAAAAGAATCATTCGACGGTTGATGGCTGAACGTTTTGCTCAAACATTCTTTCAAAGCGGCACTCTTTCAACACGTAATGTTATTTAATATAACGAGAACGTTGTTTATACGATTATAAACATATTATACGATATTTTTTGTATTATACACTGTAGTATACTAAAGTTAATAAATTTCATTAAACAATACTTGATCGTTTTTTTGGTAGTTTTAGTCTGTAAATTATATTAGCTAAGTAACTATCCATGTCAATTAGTAAACGAAATTTGCATTAAATTATGTGTTTTTCTAAGCAAAAGGTGGATAAGGGAAGGTTTGTATTTGTTACCTTTAAGTTGGGTTCGATTTTAATGAAAAACACCCGCGTTTAAACCATACGTATATTTATATATTTAGTGTGTAAGAGGACGTTATTGTTTCGGTTTGGTAAGTGTTCATCTGAGTTGGGTTTCAGGTGGCATCTTGTCCTCAAATATCCAAAATCTATTAAATTTACGTAATTGCAACTACAAAAATACTATATAGTGAATTGAATTAAAATGTGGTTTTAACTGAAAAATCTACCTGTATTTTAAAAAATTCCCAACAGTTCGTTCCAATCGGTTAAAATCTTTTGATTTTCCTTTAGAAGCTCATTTAAATTCTTTCTGCGCGACATCAAATTATATGTCTGCTGTCCTCGAATCTTTAAATCATTGACATACTCTTTATAATGCTGCTGATCGGGTTCGAGAGCGTGTTCAAATTTTTGAACCTCCCTCCTTATCTCGTCAAAGTCGTTTGTTAATATCTCAATTTTTAAAAGGTCCACCTGCATGGATGGATACCACTCGTTGAATCGTTCGCATAACAGTCCATGTTCGGTCATTACTTCAGACATCAAAATATGTTTGAGCTTTTGCAATATTTGTTCAATTTGTCGTTTTGCAATTATGTATTCTGTATGAGCATTGAAATAGTCGAACTTTTTCAAACAATCTAAGTTCTGTTGGAATTGTTCCCTTAGAACATTCGCCCTGAAAGCATTATTGAATAATGGAATGTATACATATAAAAAAGAAAGAAGCATTATTGCAAAAAAAAAATTCTGGATAAAGACGCCGACTCTTTTATACTATGGAAAAGAAAACTGTGTGAATTTAATATTTTAACATGTTAAAACTTGTTGCTAACATGTTAACTATTTGAAGCAATAGTCACAAAACGACCCGAACGCTTGGTCCATACCACTAGCTTTGTAAGCAAATTAATATTAAATGGATGACTTTCACATCATTTTTTTGTCTTAATATTTTACTATTTGAATATTTCCAGTGAGTTTTTATACTTTAATATTAAATTTGATGAGATTGTTCTTTAAATCACCTTGTGTCTAATCGTGTGGTAGTCGGAAGTTTCAAATTCGCTGAAATCCTATTCCACTCTTTGTTGCTGTTGTTGATCACATACTTATCGTGCAATTTTGCGATTGTCTGACTTATACGATCCGATTCTGACAGAATTCTCTGGAAATCCTTCCTTGAAGTTGTTGTAGTACTGTAATTGGTGACTTCTAAACAATGTTTAATAAAGTCCGCAGTGAAACTAAGAAGTTTGCATTTATCCCGCAAGTGTTGCGCTCGGTAGTCCAAGGTTTCGAAGGTCCGATTCATGAAGTTACTTAAATGATTAATGAGCTTATAAATCAGTTTTTCCTGCTGGCAGTGTTTAACTATGAGTCTTTCCATTTGGTAACCAGCAGTGCCCGAGGACATGGCTTTGTGAAAGTCAGGCTTATGTACATTTCTATTCATATCAGTCTTGGAATCGAAGCCATTCCATTGCGGGCATGTTATTTGTGGTGTAATTATGGCGGTATCAACCCTTGATAGTAAATACATTGGATCTTTCTTAGTTGTTGAAGGTACGTCGACTCCTGTAACAATTGCAGATCTGGAGAAAAGCATCTGCTTTTCAGGAGATAGTTCTGTTTGGTCATAGAGGAGTTTTCTCAAATCTGTTAAGGTTTCATTGGGCTTCAAGTACGCATTGATTAAGGAGACGTTCTGAACGTAGAAAATATTCACCACTTTTCGCGATAGAATTTCATCAACTTCGTAGAAGAATGTCTCAAAGCTCCAAATCTTGGCAAAATCCGGCTCTAGCAAGCCAGCTATTAGCGGGGTAACAATCTTCTGTAAACCATTACTTAGTTGACAACTCTCTGGCAGAGTGGAATTGTAGATAATTGGGCCATTTGGAGTGTTCTGCACACCGGAAATCACACCATCGGCCTAAAACTTTACATCTTAATCCTGCAATTAACTGGAAAGTCTGGACTCGACTAACTTTTTCAGTTATAATTTTATACATTAAGGTTTTTGCGCCTCTACCACCGAAAGGATTAAATGGTATTCGCCCTGTGGCTACTTGGTACAAAGTGACTCCTATAGACCATAAATCCACTGCTGGGCGACACCCGCCAGTATCAAATTCACCCAGTATAGCTCGCTTGTACAAAGCAGGATGGACATATTCAAAAGTACCGCAGTCAAGTGTTTCAAATTGATCTTCCTCTTTTAACTGTCGCGCCGTCCCAAAGTCGATTAGTTTATAAACGGCAGTACCATCGTCTTTTAAACATCGCATTATGTTACCTGGAATATTCAGCTGGATTTCGGGCTTGCCATAAAAAAACATTCTTACCTGGCTTCACGTCTCTATGGGCGATTTGGTTTTCTCGCAGGTACTTTATCCCGGCCGTCAAGTCCGATAGGACCGATAGGAAATCCTGCTCGCCCAACCCGCAGGCATACTTTGGACTCTGTAATATTCCAGCCAAAGAGTTCCCATTGCAAAATTCTGTTATGAGTACCGGGAAGTTTTCGAGGGTTTCGTACTCAATGGTCAGGAGTTTTACGACGTTTTTGTGCTCGATTTTTCTGCAATATTGATGGAATCACTTCATTGCATTTTTAACAAACACGCAAATTGAGGCAAGTTATGGAATATATTCTTTAGGTTTGGAGGTTTCAACTGGAATTGGCTTTAGGTTGTTGAATTCTTGAGTGTATTGGTATAAAAACCACCAGAACTTTTATTTGATTGCTGCAACCACCTTTTTGTGCAAAAGCTACTATATTTTACAAAGGGCACAAAAAGGTCGCCAGAGATTCCAAAAATTTTATTGATTCCAGTTACCAAATATAAAGTTCTGATATACCAAGACACTCAAGAATTCCCCACTTTGCCAAAGCGGATAAACTGCGTTGTTTTACCAAAATATGAGTTGAAAAAAATTCACGAGTTTCATTAAAATCAATTGTATCATTTTTCGATTCGAAAACATTCTGTAGATGAACTTTAACCATCAACAGCAGAAGAGCCAGGCATTTGTTCTTAATAAAAGTTAGGTCAGATCGTCTTTTTTGATCATGTGCGTACGGGACACCATGTATATCCTATAACGTGGACATCATGAAAAATAATGCCAGAAAATTCTCATTGATAAATGAATAAAACTTAAAGAAAAATAGCCCTACGGAGACAAAAGGTAAACTATTTTTATAAGATTCAGTTCATGTATTGAATACTCTTATAAAAGTAATACACTTTCCGGTTATTACGTTAAATATATGTCTGATCTGGGATCTTACAACTTGATTGCTCTTGTAACATAAATATTGCCACAATAAAATAAATTGCTTACAAATAAATTTTTCAAAAACACATTCAAATATGCAGGATGTAACAATTGTTTCAGCATTGGCAACTCGTAAAAAAACAGTTAAGAAGTTCTATAAAAGTTGAATTAGTGGAAAGTTGCGCATTTTGATGCGAAGCAAAACGGGGGAATGAAATGTTGGAAAATTCGAAAATGTTCGAAGAAATCGGATTTGATCTTGGTCTTACCCTCATTTTACACCACCATATTCAGCATCAAAATGAGCACTTTATCGAGATCTAATGCTGATACCTCAAATTCGTCGCCCTGTATACAGTCCATATCCCGTAACGATCTTATATTTTCGTCTACAATCGGTTGTAGGTTTTAATGTAAAAGTAAGCCAGCAACGAAAAAAATTGAAAGTTTAATTCACCCTCTTTGAAATTTATACCTACTTTTGAAAAAGCCACCTTCTATGTGGAATTTATATTATTTAAAAAAATAATTTGTAATAGTCACTTTTTGACTGTTGTTTCTGGATCGCTCAGGTTTAGTGGAGCTTCGAAGTAATTTACAGAATGAAGAATATGAGCATATGGTAGTTTCATTTGGCTCCAAGAATGTTTTCAAAAATGCGTAAATAAATGGCAAAAGTAATAATTTAATAATTTTATACTCGGATTCAACTATTTCATTAGATGCCATTTCTAATGTCCGTTTTCCGTTTTAGTTTAATCATTTCTGGGAGATTATCATCTTTAAGCACGTCTAATTGATTCAATAATCACAAATAATATTTCTAATCTAAAGCAGTTGATGACTCAATTCTAATCAATAAAGAAATTTTTGTTTGGGTAAATAGTTCATTCATTCATTCAGTTCTAAACCCGTAAGCTTTCCCTTAAATGCTTAATTTTCATTTCAAGAAGCTTTATAGGAAATTTACCAGGTTTATTTATAAAACATACGAGCAAAATAGATAAGTAATACAATGAAATCCGTTTTGCCTTGAAGTTGTCTAGAAAATGAGTGGATTCCCCGGTACTTCCCAAACCTGTTTCAGTGTTTTAGTGATTTGCAACATTCTCCATCTTTAATTTGAATTGAAATTAATTAAAATTACAGGTGTATTTTAATTCTTAGCTAGAGTTTTCACCCACCTTAAAATTTGGAATTCCCGAAGTGGCAATTGATTATTTTTAAATCTTTTAACTGCAACAGGGTCTCCAGTCAATTTATTTGTTCCTAAATATACCACACTGGTTGCTCCAGTTCCTAAAACATCCCTAGCCGACCACACATAGTTCTCCGATTTATTAAAAGCCATTTTGGTAATTTTTAAGATCATGCACTTCTACTAATCCTCATCTGTAATGAGACTAATCAACGGCAATGTTGTAGAAATTTCTGCGAATGAAAATTTCATTTCTGCTAAACATTTCAAGATAAGAGGTGATAACGATTGGGGGAATATGGAGCAGGACGTTCCAGTTCATTTCTTAATATAAAGTACTGAAATAAAGCGTTTTTGCATAACGATTTGCGTTTACTAGGACATTCTTCTTTAAATCAGTAGGAGGAAGCTCTTTACATGATGGTGCTCTTACAATTTGCATAATTCTCAATGAAAATTGTTCAAATCGATACCATTGCTTGGCCACTGCCACATCCAGATTTGAACCCATTGGACTTTTTTATGTGGGGGCATGTGAAAACACCTACTTTTTTGATGATACTCATCCCTGAATTGAAGAAGATTGAAAATAAATGTGATTTTTAGCACTGAGTGAGCAACATTTCAATGGGCCACTTATTAGGTATTAGCTATAAATATTTTTGAGTGATTTCCTTTAATTACGATACAAATCACGCACACGAAATGGAAATTTATTTCAAGTATTCGACCCAAATTTTCTGATTTTTTACACACGAAACTAAGAGTGTTCTCAATGACAAATTCGGGTAGAAAGTGATTCGAATACTATTAGTTGCTGCTATCTATGTAGCTGTGCATATTCTTTGGGGCTTCAAACGCAACTTTTTAAATTTCCATTAAGAGAACTTTTATACCATTGAGATTAAAAAACTTTCGGACCACACCATTTAGTGATCGAAGTATAAGCGTTTTCAATGAGTTGCGTTTTTGTCGGTAATTCCATGAGCCAGTGTAATTTATTGAGTCATTGATAGACAATTATTATAATAAAGTAAATTTCGTTTTACCAGTTACAATAAGCAAGTGAAACCGTGTAAATCAATATAAAGCACCATTCGGCAGCTGTCTAATATCCATTTCTGATTTTGACCCCGAATATTTTTTCCAAATATTAACGACAGGCGCATTATTTGTTAATAATGAACATCCCATTCGCTTTCCAGCCGACAAGAAGACGCGCTCTTATATTGTTAAAAGTCTGAATAATCAAATCGAAAGTGAAGTGCAAGTGAAACTATGGGATGCGATTATCGAGATTTATTGGTTTAAAATAATCGGCCTTAATTGATGATAATCTGAATGTCGTTAAAGTTGCGTTTTTCTGATAGAGCAACAGGCAAAAATAAGAGAAAATCCAGATTACATTCACGAGTTGAAATTAGTTGGTGCAATATGGCTGCTGTACACATTATAATTTAAAAATAATTAATAACTTAATGATTGATTGAGCTGATTTCTACACTCATGTTCAATCTACAGAAAATACAACGTTGCAAAGAGAAATTGCGGATTTAATTATTATTCATCTAACTGATGCAGAATGAAGCAAATACGATGCACCGATATGGACAGGGGACAATTATAACTTACGATTTTCGTTTTTTTTTCGATTTGTTTAAAGATGTGTTTTATAATAAAGCGGAAATAAAAACGCAGTCAACCGAAAGAAATTTGCAGCGGCAAACTGGGGTACGAGAACATATTTTTACCAGATGTAAACGAAAACACGTACACTTTGAGAAGCTACTGGGGGTGCAAATGCATGATTTTTTGTTAATGATTAAGCGGGTTTAATAGACTCACAAACTATGATGCTAAAAATAAATAAATCACATCCAAAAAATACAAAATTTACTAATCATTTGCTATGGAGAGGGACACTAATGTACTTAATGATTTACTGATTTATACGGGAAATTTATATTTAAGAGCTTTACCTACGTCTTGAAGGCATTATATCATTTTCTACTAGATTATTAGCCACATTCATTGCACGTTTTTTGCCATGTACAAATTATATTATTTTTCTAATCCATGCTCCTGTCTTCATTTTAATGACCGCCATTATTCATGTTCACGTTGCCCAACCATATGCGAAAAGGAAAAGTGTTGGATTGTCACTTTTATGGTAATTGAACGCCAGAAAACTTGTTAAAATTATTAGGTTCTCATTATAATATTATAATGAACTAATTAGTGTATTATTTAGATAAATGGCCGTTTGAAAAGAATATCGGCCCGCGTTAATTAGCACCTCGCTACAAAACTAAAAAGGGATTTTTTTATGTCAACCAACATGCAATTAGTATTGTTGAAGTTTTGACCGTTGGATTTAAATTAGAAAAACTGTTTAATTATTGTCAATTGCGATTTCTCGCACTGAAAACCGAAACCGTTCCACATAAGTACCGAATTTCCAATGACAAATTCAGCGATAGAAAGTACCATCAGCCATTAGTCGAATCGTCCGTCAAAAACAATGCAAATATTCCAATCAATAAAATCGTCCAGGTACGACCATAATGGTGGATATTGTTTTTGTTATGCTAGTGACCCTAATTTGGGTTGGTTAATATCCGTGAACCCTAACGATTTAATATGTACGGCCTGCCAATGTTGAGAAAGTGCTTTGGTACATGATTTGCATAGGGAACAGGATGAATTATTTTTTGTTTTTATTTTTTACTACGTGGAATGTACGTTTGATGATTTGTGCTTACGATCTCAGCTTCCTTCTTTCGCCCGGGAAATTAGGTCTAGTCTAGTTTTCAAAGGTTCATTGAATTTTAATAAGTGAAGTTTATTTACATTTCCGTTTGTAGCTTCGCTGCACTCTTTAATGAATCTACAGTACCATTTATTGAGAAATTCATAAAAATAAATTAGCTTGGCTATACGCGGGTGTTCTTAATCTGCTAAAGCGAATCGTTCGAGAAATATGTTCAATCACTATTCGGCCGTTTCTCTCATACCGAAAATTTCGGTTTTTTTACCTAAATGTATTCATTTTTTAAAGCCGAGTATGCAACTGTAAGACTTATTTTCCTCTCGTTTGCTTCAGATTAACCTGGTCGATGCCCCTACCGTTTTACGCTATCAATCAAGGAATCTAGGGGGATTTTTGGTAAGTTCTATTGCTGAGAAAAGGGTGAAACTCCTTGACCTAAATAGATGCTTTTTGCCCTTGGCGGTGCTGAAGAAATCAATTTTGTGCAAAATCTAACGTAAATCATATAGTGTAGACAAGATGGTAAAAAAATGGGTTGTTTCTTCACCGGCGACTAACTGAATGTCATGTGAAGAAAGTAGCAAATCTAGAACGCTGCGGTCCACTTGTATCAGCTGGAACTGTAATTATTAGCGCTAATTTTATTGTGGGTCTTTTATGGGAAATACTCACAACTTCCGCGCGATCCGCCACAAAGTGAAATCATTGAAACTTTAGTTGGTTGAAAGTACCGCGAAATTTTTCTTTCTACAACTTCAAAGCGATTTTCCAACTGACGGGCACTACTGAAAAAGACAGCTCCTAATATGGCCAAATTGCTCACTGATAGTAATAAGTCTTGATTCGTTTCCACCGCTCTCCATTGCGATTTCGCTATGGAAACCCCACCGACAATGCACCCAACCGGCTTCTACCAAAACACAAGAAGTCGATGGCAGTCACCTGGTCGCGATTCTAACGAGATAACACGCCAAAGAACCCAGCGCAACAAGTACGTCCAGTTGATTGGTCTTGCGGAAAATTCACACTTCTGATCGGTTTAAGTGATCTTTTTTCTGGTGGCGGAAGAATTGGGTTTAGTTCGAGGAATACGTTTGGAGTGTCCAGGGTAAGCGTGCACATTGTTTGAAGAAGATACAGAGGTTTAAACGTTCTTTAAGTCGTGCGCTTTGCACTTATGAAGCTGAAATGAGTTGAAGGTTCATGTTTCCTTCTTGATTGATTGGTAAAAACATGCACTTTTCCTAAGCGTTTGTGACTTAAATGCAACCAATTTTTTCAAAGCTTCCAGGTAGTGCTTTAGAATCTTGAAATCATCTGATCTTATTCAGTTATTTTGTGCGACAGAAAAAAACGTTAATTTTCCCCCGGTTTTTTTGAACTTTTTATACACTACTTTTTCACCATTTAGCTCAAAAGAATGGCAAGTGAACAATTTCAAGTGTTGCCTTCAAAGTATCCCAACGCCCAACCATTTTCTTACTGTATTAATTTCTTTAAACTTTGCCAAAACACGCAGCATAAGTATCTGTTGATAGTAAGATTTTTGCGAAATTATCAATGGATAAAGCATGTTGTTGGGAACGAAAATTTTTATTTTGCGTTTTATGTAAGGGGTGTAACATGTTTTGGAACTAGTTTTTGAAACACTTCGGATACTTTTATTCGGAATATTATCAACGCAAACTATCGATTGTTTTTTGCGGCAGTGGAAGAAATGAGTTTAAGTCGACGAATGATGATCCAGAGTAAGCGTGCAGATTGTTTGAAGAAGATACAGAGGTTTGAATGTTTTTCCAGTCGTGCCAATTATGAAGCTGAAATGAATTGTTTAGGATATTTTTGAATTCAATGGAAGTGTTGAAGGGAAGGGTGTCTGCAGGTTATTTATTAGTCGTTGAATTTTCTCATTTTAGTAGGAAAATACTTCAAAGATGACACGAATTGAATTAGCCAAGTTTGCACATCGAATGAGATTTGATTTAACGTTAATTATATAAGTAGCTCTGATTTGGTAGGTACTTTCATACATCGCCACTACTCTTTTTCCATGTTTGCGTGCTTTCTTTGTGTGATTTTTGACAATTTCTGGGGAAAAACCTGCACTTTTCCTAAACGTTTGTGACTGAAAATCAGTGAAGTTTTTCAAAGCTTCCAGGTAGTTCTTTAGGAACTTCTTAAATCATCTGTTCTTCAGTCATTTTGTGGGTTTTTTTGGACTTTTTGTACACCACTTTTGTCCAATTTAGATGAAATGACAACCATTTTCTTACTGTATTAAATTAAATAATTTTATAAATTTGCGAACACACGCAGCGTAACCGTCTGTTGATAGTAAGATTTTTGCGAAATTACCAACTGGTAAAACATGTTGACAAAGAAAATGTTTATGCAAGAGTTGTAACATGCTTCAGAACTAACTTTTCAAACACCCCAGGAATTTATTTATTTTTCTAATTGATTATATTGTTTGAAAGCCAATATTTCAGATTCTTAACCGGTGCATATTATCAGACAATATCGGGTTCATATAAACACGTTTGATATTTTTCTTGCATTTAGCCTTGTATAGTGGTATCTATTGCTCTGCACAACGATTATCATGAGCCGAAACCTGTTATGATTGCTATTATTTACACACAAGCTTCCATGGAAAAGCGAGAACGTTTGGCCTCAAGCTGCCAAGAGTAATGCAGCTTCCATTCTAATAGATTTATAATTTGCTGGCAATTGATGCGATTTTTTAAAGTAATTCAGTAATTTTTTGGTGTGTTTTAAACTGTGTTTAAAAATTGCTTTGAACTGTTGATGCACTTTGGAAAAATTATACAATTCAACTGTTCAACAGCAATTAGTGTTAAGCTGCGCTTTGTTAACTGGCCAATAACAATCAGCCATCGTAAATGTTATTAATTCCACGCAATTGTTCGGCATTTGAACGTGAATAGCATTCCACTTAACCCAGTTTGCCAAATTAATATGCAAGATCACTTTTGATTTCGCGTTTCGCTTTTAATAGATTTCTATTTGATTGGCATTTTTTGGCGTGCTTTAAGGTCTCAATTAATTGTCTTTTGTATGGTCGGTCTAATCGGGCAAAGGCCGTATGGAGTCATTGGAAAATTGAATTTTCGACGCTGTAAACGCATATTTATCGTTTTATTTGCCGGTTTTCGTAATTTAATTGCTGAATRCCGAAATGTGTTTTAGGTGCGTAGACATAATGGTATGTCTTCAGTACGCAATATTTTCATCGTCAGTTTGCCTAATATGAGYTGAAGAACATTCTAGTACAGTTGGAAAACACATAYATTTTCTAAAGTTGAAACTGGAKAATTTTTCGGGCATTTAAGTAGTCGTGGAATAGAATTTCCAGRCAGGAAYAATTTTTTGTTCATYATTCAGTTATTTTGTATACGCTTGCAAATTGATTTTTTCCACGTGCTCYCAGAAGTCTTCCGATTTTGTCCGTCACTCTTGGAATGAAAAAGAAATGCTTTGTGTGTTGTTTCGCTTTTGGCTCAGAAACCRTTCGGTTCGACYACTTTCTTTGTCTTCATATGGAAATCAGTTCTAAAGAAAGTCTTCTCATAGATTTTTTAAAATTCGGTTTCCAGATGTTGCGGTCGTAGATTTTTCTGCTTCCGTTGATTCTTCTAAATCGTACTTCCATAGTAAATTGTCAACTCCATGTTTCCATTTTATTGAAGTGTTATACTTAATTAAAGTCAATGGATTTTTGTGCGGAGCTTTCTACTGCCAATTAATTTCCTGAAGTCGGATTTAGTACTTCAAAACTATCTTTAATTTCTGGTAATAAAATGAAATTTGCTTTGCACTCAAACAAAGCAATTTCCAGTTTTTTTCTATCTCGAGCTGCGAAATGATTGTAGTTCACACTTTTTACCATTTAATTAATAAACTATCGAAAAAATGTTTCCAGTTTAGCCAACTCGTTATACTTGTACAATGTAATTTCCGGTGCTCATCCAGTTAATGGCGTTAGTAAAATGTTGCTTTTCCGTTTCTTCAATCGAAAAAATTCACTGAGAACTAATTCCGAATCCCGATATGAATCGATTGCTTGGTCTTGACTTTCAATAGTTTGCATCAATATTTGCGGTTTGTTCTAAAACGTTCATAATCGAGACTGTCATGGTTTACGCTTTTTTCCCAATACGTGGGAATTGATAAATGAACGAAGACGAAGTTTGACTACAAGTTTATTGTTTATTTTCGAAGTCAGCTTAAAAACTGTATTTAAAATGTAATACAATTTACACGACTTGAATAGAGTATGATCTTAAACACGATCTATTGACTGTATTCGATACTATCTAATAACTTATTTTATAGTTAAATAATGCGGATCCTTGCAGAAACGATACTACGCATTATTTTCTACATTTTTCTACAGAATAGTTAAGTTTTTCCTAAATTAAAAATCCCAAAAAATTGCAAAAACTAATTGGAAATTTGTTAATTGTGCATCGATTATTCTGGCATTGAAACGCAAATTTCATAATGCATAAAACATCATACTGGAGCATTTGTTGCACTTTTCATGGCTGTGTTATCTAATGAGCAATAAGGAACGAGTCAAGTATTCAGTTTCAATAAGCGCTCATTAAGGCAAAGACCAGCCGACATTAAGCAACGGCAATTAAGACTAACATGGTTTCACGTAAATGTGCCATAATGTTTCAGTTTTTCTGCTCTTTAGCTGTAAATTCGGGACATTATTCAAATTTTGATTTCCGCAAAAAAATGTCTATTGTTCTACTGTTTTCTATCACATAAGGCCTAGTAAAATCGCAGATTGCAATGATACATATGTGGTTATCTCGATTAGTATTTTCCTCAATGTGATATAACGAAATTAACAATCTGTGAACACGGAAGAGATTGTGGGGGGAAATCAGTGCGTTGGTGAAATTAATACTTGCCATTGCCAAGCTGTCTGATGAACTATTTTCCAGTTTCAGGAAGCTTTAGTTGAAATGTATTCCACTTTTTTTCATTTAATTGTTAAATGTGCAAATTCAATAACATTTGGTTCGGCATAAGAGCGTGAACTTTCTACAAGCAAATGAAATGTTGCAGCTAAATCTTTCAATATGTATCATAATAATAAACAATATTATTAATTTCGACAGCAGCGTGAAAGCAAGAAACATTTAAAACATGGCAATTAGTACGAACAACTTTGAGATAGAACGTAACATCGAAAAATGCCTTTGTATTCTAATTAATTCTCATGAGTTTCCCAACACATTTGCGCAAAACTCTGTTATGTGCTCGTTTAATTAGGCGTGTTGCGCTTGTAAGAAAACCCAGCAGTTTTGTAACTGAAAATCCGATTTCTATCTGAAATATTGCTGAATATTTGCTTCAATACTATCGAATTAAGTGCGTCGATTTTAATTTTATCCTCTTATTTGACATGCTTTCTTCTTTCGATCAGAGGAAACATGCGATTGGATTGCATTGAAACCACGTTATCTTTTGAGTAGAAAGTTGCAAAAATTACGGGACGCTGAAATTCAATGTATGAAGTTTCGATGAATTTTTCTACGTTTCATCTTTTCACGTTCTGATTGCGTTCTGTGTTTTGGTGTGTTCTGCTACTTTGCATGACTTTACCGGTCTTAAGTGGGTGGTTCTGATGGGTCAGCGAACTGCTTCAGTTCACATTTATTTTTTTCTTGAATTAATTTAATTTCCGCTTTAGTTCCTCAATACATGTTATTTATGTTATGTGTGGTTGGGAATTAATTAGAAGCTTTCTTTTAACAGTCAGTGGTTAAGTCATTCTACTTTCAATTTAACTTACACATTTTTTCTCGCGGAATTCTGCAAAAGCTTGAAGGGCTTTTGCAATATTTATTCATACAGTTCCATTCACACTATTTATGCCCACGAAATCTAATAAAAATCAGGTTTATGGACATTGAAGCAACCACAAAAAATCAACCGTTCTGTATATGCTATTTACATCGCATAATAAATGTTGATTGAAACCTCCAGAAACAATCAGTGGATTTTCTTGGGAGAGCGAAGGCTTTCGACATGTGGAGACAAACGAAGCGGTTTCTTGATTGTAAAGTGCAAAATTGTTATCAGCTTTTCATATTCAAGAAAGAAAATTCAGATCATCTGAAAATTCTCCAACAACTTTTTCGAGAAGCGCCCTAACATACGATTTTTATCCCAATTTTTTAGCAGTTTTGTTATCAGTTTCCTCATTTTTCAGACAGGTATACAGGAGATTATTCGAAAAGAATTTATTGTGAACCAAATTAATTATTAACAATAATTTAGTTTCCGTTTTATTTCCTTCGTGCAGTTATTCAACGTGGTGAAGAATTAATTACAAGCTTTCTTTTAACAAAGTACTCGTATCAGGCATATTGTTTATGTCATTTCACTTTCAATTTAAACCGATTAATTGCTTCCTTAATATCGATTTTTTTCCTTCTTTCAGAATATGCCGCCGGTGCGATGGAAACTATGCTATTGTGGTAAGTGTTTATAAAAATTAAAATAAATTTTTAAATTTCGGGTTAAGATCGCACTTTGCTCAATTTAGTAGGAGGAAATAAAATTAATTTTTTATTTTATTTTCTGCTTTACTAATTGAAAAACATTTAAATGTTTTAAATTAATTTGCTTTAGATCCGCTCACATATAATTTGCATTTGAACTAAGTCTTTGAAATTTTTGCGTTTGAAAAGCTTTGTTTTGCCGACAAAATTCCGAACATTTTTAAAACATTGTTATAATGATTTTAGTGCTATTTTTATTTATTTGAATGTACCAGTATCACATCTTAGCCAACCTTGAAAAATGATTATAAATTAGCAAACATTTCTTCTTCCGTTTTAGAACTTTTGGTTTATTGAACTTTATTTGAAAAGGTATTAATCTTCTAAAAAGATTATTTGGACACACAATGCTAGAGCAATTTTAATTTTTTTTCTACAGACTGAAAGTAGATTCTTATTGACATTCATACCTTTAAGGCCTCAATGGGCATAAAGAGTATTAAGAATATATATTTCATCGTTTAAAACACAGGGATTTTACGTTTGTCATTTTTCTCTGCGAAAACTTCGTAAAACTTGTCGTTTTTATTATGAGAATATAAATAAAACCAAAATTGCTTTTGATTAATTTTGATTACTCTCATTCGTAACCAACTAATCTTGTACTCGAAAGTGTCTGTTCTTCTGTGGATTATTTTTCTTTTAATTCTGCGATGTTTGTGCTCAATTCGGTTGCAATCAGTAGCTTCTGTCGCCTGCAATTTTTCATTCTTTTAACATAATCTATATATTCGTTGCTTCAATCGAATTGCTTTTTCCATGTGTTCGTCTAGATTCGATGGAATCGTTTAGATTCGAAAGGAGCTAACCATCTGATTTCTTTCAGATTAGATCTTTATATCTTTTAATGTTTTGAAGTTAATCTGCAACGAAGGATTTTACTAAAACACACATAAAAAATAAAATAAATGTTTCCACTAACTGAGCTGCATACGAGCGGGAGATATGCGGTTAAAATACGTTATTTGCACATACAAAAGTCATGCATTTGTTTATTGGCTCACTACTATTGTATATGAAAAAACAACCAAGTCTAATATTATGCATTAAAAAAAAATATATCTTTTTCATTAATCTACGCTCTAACAGCATGCAATATCCTTAATTGTTTGGTTGGACGGCAGAAAACTATACATTTCGTAGTTGTTTAACCGTTAAGCCTGCCCGATTTGCAATTCCAACAAATTATCAATAATAAACATTGTTGCATTAATGAAATTGCATAATGGCGTTTTATTGCAATCGAAACATGTTGATAAACGTTAGTGGATTCCATAATTGAAGGAAGAGAAAGGAGTCTTCGGACGTAAAATGGTCTTTGCTCTAGCTGGATATACCGGCAAATGCTTTGATTTTTTTCCCTGTGATTGATTGCTATAAATGTTTTCCGCTTTTAATAATCTAATGTTGTCTAGTGATTAGTGTCAATTTTTGTCTGCTTGAATTTCTTCCAGTGACGTTCACGTAAATTTCGTTTTGCCCATTGAAGCATTGCATTTTTCGATGATTCTTTTCTAGTTTTTTCGCGTTTTAGTTCACATTTTCTCGGAATGATATCTTAGTAGTTACTGAACAAAATACTTCCATTAACTTGCATAAACTACTTTTTACCAAAAATACTACTACTGTATATGTACATCGATATTTCATTCATTTATAAACAGTTTGGAGTGGAACTCGATTCTCGATTCAATAGAAATTTCAGGGTGTTTAAAAGCAAACTTCTTGTATTTACTTTAAATGTTTTCTATTATCCGGTGTTTAAGTGTTTTTTGCGCATTTTTGATAAACGGCAGCATATGTGTGACGTTCGCTTATAAATCCGTTCTTGTCGAATTGCAAAAAGTCAGAATACAGAGATTCTGTTGAAATTTCCTTTCTCTGCGAATAATTTAAGCTACTGGCTGTTTTGAGATCAAAGTTACGATCTTTCATCGTGCAATCTTTTTTCATTTTAGTCGCCTGCCCGAAATTTCCGAATAACTTTTACGCAGTTCTAAAAGTTTTCAGATTATTGATTTTCTAAAGGCTTTTTTGTTCATTATAACCGATTTTTTTTGTTCTTTCGTCAATTGATAAACTTCTGTAAAAGTTTAGTTATGGTTTTTTTAGGTTGAAAAAACCAAATAATTGAAAGTTTTCGCTGTTATATTCATATACTGAATATACTGGATGTAAACTAAAATCAGCTTTCGAACCGTCTTCATTTTAATAAATCAGATAAATTTCTATTTCCCCGTGCAAACTCAGGGTATAGATACATATGTTCCATGAACATAAACATACGCTTATTTACAAAAGTTTCACTATTCAAACCTGCTGGATTTGCGTGTAGAGCCAAGACCAATTTAATATCAATTGTATGTGTCGTTTGCATTTATGTTATTCTTATAACTACGGCATTTTCACTTTTTTACAGTTACGGCGATTTTCGTTCAGGTAATAGCCGAGGCCGCTGCTCAACAGATGCAGGTAAGTCTTGAAGACTATTAACCTGGATTTTGAAGTCGAACAGGTTTTGCAGGCATATCAGTTTAATACGCATACTTACTGGTTATTATAATAGTGACAATTCCGTGTGCTTTAACGAATCATTTGGTTCTTCAGGACTCAATTTCGATGTCTTCGGATGGTTGGAGACCAATCGTTGGTAGTAGAAGACAAAATCCGACTGGGCAGGGGGATTCAGAAGTTAGGCAATATGCGAATCCAAGTCAGGCCTTTGATGTGGTACCGGCGGATGTTGTAAATCTGGAAACTACCACTCTTCCGTACGGGCAGCAACCAACTGCGCATTTTAGGGCTCCGGTTAAACACAGCGGAAACTATAAGGACAGGAAAGCAGGTAGGAGATAGCAAGCCTCAAAGCTTCTGTAGGCTTTCACCCCGTTCAATTTCCAGGCGCTTCCAAGCAGAAGCAGACTTACAAAACAGTCAGTCCTTATTACATGACATCCGGGCAGGGTAATCAGCAACTGAAGAAACTGCAAGCCATCAATAAACCGCTGCTGGTTCAAAACAAGATGCGAAAGCCCATCAGGGGACAAATGGTTTCCCACAGTACTCGTAGTGAGATTTTTGTGCCCCCACCAATTTCAAGCACCGGTAGATGTCTAAGTTTGTCCTAAATGGGAGCGAAATGGTTTTATTTTCCTCCATCTGCAGGTTCCGGTGGATACTCCTTTATCAAATCAGCCCCCGCCAGCAACGTAAAAACCCGAGAAACTCAAGGATTCGGACTTCTGAGCAACAATTTCGGCCAGAGTCAGCACCTGGAACTAGCCAGATTTCCGCTAACTGGTGAAAGCGGCATTGTGCAAAGGCCCACGTACTTCTTGGCCCAGCCGGCGCAAAATGATGATTACTCCAGGAATTTGGTGCCTCCACCCAGATCCAGAGGCCAGCAAAAAGGCAAACAGGACACCAAGATCTCGCTTTATGCGTTCAAAGAAGGTCCATCTACGGATTCTTCAGCACACGTTCCTCAGTTTGGTGCCAGGCCTAATCAGTTTTTGCCACAAGTAAGCGTTCCTGTTTACTGAAATATCCCGTTTCTGATGATTTTTTTTTAAATTCGTAGGTGGTACCTACATACGAGTTTTCCAGTCAGCAGCAGCAGCAGCAACAACCGAGGCCGCAAACACTCAAAGAACAGGCTGTGGACGTGCAAGTCACTAAGGAAAACCTGAAACAGTACACTCCAAGTGGAGCTCCATCCCCAGCAACATTCGGTCCTATTCCCGCACGAAATAGCTTTCCCATCGGATATGTCGACTACAACTTCCAAAAGAGCAGCCCGTCGAACTCGCCAAGTCCTCTCACGTATGAGGTAATTGACCGCAAAGTGGGAAAATTCGCTTGGGTTCATTGGGCTTGTCGCTGCAGGTCACCGAGGGCAAATGGATCGACACCCCATCCCAACAGTACCAGTTCAGGCCGCAGGATGGATTCTTCCAGTTCCAGAATATCCGGCAGGCGCCACCAAACGCCCGCCCAGGCCTGCTGTTCCAGGCCGAAGGCTCCACTCCAAGCCCGCCAGTTTTTCAGGCTCCTTTAGTGGATTTGAGTGTGCCAGCCTTCCTGCCCACCCCTTATAAAACGGAAGGGACCGTTATTCCAACGTCGCCCACTCAAAGCGAGGCTGCCACTGTGTTTGCGCAAGTTAGCAACAAGATGAATAAGTACCGAAACAATGCTTTGCAGGAAAGTCCTTTGTTTTTTGATATCAAGGATGTTTCCACTCACTATCCGATTTTGGGCAAGCCAGAGGTGCAATCAGAGGGTGAGCAATTGTTGTCTAGTTATTTTTTGTAGTTTTTTCACTTTTCAAACTCTCTCTTGGGACCTTTTTAGGTCTTCTTTGAGGCATCCGCTGTTCGACCCATTTTCATCCATCTAATTGCAATTTTTAACATTTATTTGTCGCCTTTACCAGTCTCATTAGCTCTTTCCTTCTCGTTCACTTTTCTTAGAAAGTATTAATAATTTCGCCCTTATGGCGAATACTACTGTTAAAAACCCAGGGTTAATTTTTTTCTGCTCCAGATGGCACTGATTATCCCGTGGGACTAAAAGAAACTGGTGAAATATCCAACGAAATCACAACGACTCAAAAGGAGCGTGTGAGACGTCCAACCAAACAGCCCGTAACTCAACCAACGTCAACCAGAGACCCGACCAAGGCGCGTATAACCAACCGGCGTAAACCAAGGCCGCGAAAGCCCTCAACCACCACTACAGAAGCTCCAAGCGCTGAGACTTACGAACCGATAAAATCCCATGAAAATGTCGAGGAAGCTCCCATTGAGGTGGAGCGACCCCTGAGAAGGCGAAGACCTAAACCTACAGGGTATCGCCCGCAGGAAGCCCAAGCGCATGTGGAGCAGGAGCCCATTCAGAACCAGAAGGATGCTGAGGAGGAACCGGCTACTAGACAAAGAGGTAAGTCACATTTAAAAACGCGCTTTAAGATATATCTGTTGCGACATGAGACTAAAAGTCTAGAAGATGTCAAATTTTAATATCGTCTAGATAAAAATATTTCTTTTGTGCTTTTATAATTAAAAAAGCTATTGAAATTATGATCAGGCCGACATCGTCAGCGAAACAGGCCATCTACCGAATCTACTCAAAGAAAGCGGCTGAGGCCAGCGCACGAAAACCTCAAACAAAAACACTTTGTTGAAGAAGTCTCCGAAACGCCTGTTGAACAGGAACAGTTATCGTTTGAAAACGATGCACAAAACTATTATTCGCCGGAGTCAGCACAGTTTAGCGAAAATGGTCAAAGGTTTGAAACTGAAGTGCCCTCTAGACAGTATGAGTCGGTTCAAGAGCAGCCGATTCAGCAGGAAAATAAGCCGTTTATTGAGGAAATACATTCGGTTACTGAGACCGCCAGAGGTCCAGAACCAAACACCCGACTTCATTTGCCGGAAAATGAAGTTGACTTCACTACTTCTGCGGAAGTGATTCCGGATGTGGAAGACTTCGCCAGTACAACTCTGCAGCCGACAACGACGACGATGGAAATAAGCACGGTTAAATCGACTAGAATCCGACGACCCATCAAGTACGATAACTCAAACCGGCCCAGATTTAGCGTGAAGGAATACAGGCAGAGGCTGAACCAGCATACTTCCACTACAACTCCAAGTACAACCACCCAGGCTAGGACTGGTTCGGATAATTTGAGATTGAGGTTCCCTAGCAGGTTGAGAACGAGGCCTTCGCCCACCACTGCTAGTAGTCGGGTGGATGAAGACGTTACCGATGAAACCACCACTACGCCATTGAGGAGCAGGTTCAAACCAAAGGAGCCTAGGCATGAAACCACCACTCCGGAGTCTAATGGGATTATAACCGAAAAATCCATCAAAGCTGTGAATACTCGGCTAAGGCCCTTTGGTAGAACCAAGCCGATGAGCGAAACTACAACCACAGCTTCTAAAATTTCAATTCGCCCCAACTTGTTCTCCGCTAGAAGACGAGCCGGATACCCGAGCTTGAAAAGCAGAATCCATAACAAGAAAAATGACATTGATGAAGAAAACGCGATTGAAACTACCACAAGAGTGGAAAGCGAGCCGGAAGGTGTGGATCCACTCAGCGCAGCTGAGTCAGCCACAACAGAGCTTTCAACATCCACAACAGATGCAGCTGAAGTAGAAAACGCATCTACAGAGGTAGCAATTGAAGAGAGCATAACTGAGGATATTATGAAGACTGACGATTATTTCCAGTCACAGAGAGTGTCCGACTTGACGTCCTCGTTTAAAGACTATGACAAGCCGGGCATATTTAACTCAGTAGCGCCCACAAGCAGGAGTATTCCCAATTATTTCACCATATCGACAGACGATCCCATATTGCCCATCGAGGCCTTTTTCCCCAGTTTGAAGGAAAAGTCGAAGATGCGATAATCGCCAGTTGGAAGCGTGGGGGAAAGTGTACATAGAAAAAAATATCCCGATAGTATTTTTATTTAAGAACGTGCCTAGTTTTACGGGGTATTTTCATTATGTGCGGAAAGAGCTGTTATAACGAAAATACCCTGAATTGGGACATCAAGGAACTTTCGAGCTGTTCTTGGTATGATGGAGAACAGATCAAATTTAGTTTGTATAATTAATTTTAGGTTTACTACTTAGGAAAAACCATTGTTTCGCAACTTGTCATTATTTATTCAAAGTCCATACCAAATGAATCACGTGCAATTTTGTATAAAAACAAATTATTTATTTTTTAGGTGTTTAAGTTTTTTTTGGTTTCTTTATTAAGCTCATTGGGACTGAAACTGTTATTGTTTATGTTATATATATATTTCACAATAAAAACGTGTTTTATTTAAGGCAATGTGAGCTTTTTGCAGGGTCAATTTTGTAATGGAAAAGTCAGTTGTATAGTAATATGTTAAAAAAATGCGCGTATCTAGTTTAAAATGATAAAATTGTACTGCAATTTTACTAATTGTATTTCTTCGTTTGTGGGTGGTGCTTAAAAACGCCTTTTGAAAAGGAAACAGTAAAGAAAAGGTTGAAACAAACTAAAGATTTTTAATAAAATTTAGTTTTAATTAACAGTTAAATTATACAAAAGCAATACATACAGAATATGCGCACAAAGACGAGCGTTTCGTACTGGCGATTACAAAACACTGTCCCGATCACGTTTAAATGGTAATCACACTTTCGCAATTGCTAGATAGAACTAGAAAACTCGTTTAGAAATAAAAATTACAATAGCATAATGTTTGTAAAGTTAGGGTTAGGACAAATTAGTAAACACAATATGTAATTAAAGAACATGGAAAATCAAATGGTCCCGTTTTCTATAGCCAACATAAAATCCACAGATTTGGTACAAACTGAACAAAACTTAAAGTGCTAGATTGAAGCATAAAAAGTGGTTCTTATCCATCTAACAATAAAAATATAAATAATTCGATTTTGTAATATATGGCAACCAATTTACAAAAAGATACTTATACCAACTAAGACATTTCTCAATTTTGCTCGATTAAAGAAAAATACTGTCTTACAAAACAAAGTGACTTCTCAATTATAGAGACTAGAGGCACTGCGTCTCCGGCCGGCAAAACTGGCGATTTTCGCCGACCGAAAAGGCTCTCAATAAATTAACAAGTTTTATACAAAAATATGAACAATTCTTTTTTTAGAATACGAAGCTACAACTTATGTCAGTCATTTTAGGTTTGAAATAAGTTAAGAAACCTAAACTAGTGTTTTTTATTCCTAATTATAATCTAAACGGTTCCCGGTCTTCGATGGTTGACTTCTTTCGGCGGGCTTGACCCGTCGGCGTTTCGGATGCTCCAGAATTTCTTCGGAGCAATCGCGAAACCGCCGTTGGTTGATCTGGATAAACTGGGGTATTCGACCCGGATGGTGTTCGAGTCCTAGATAATACAATAATGTTCACTCTTACTGAACCAGACTGTGTTTCACTAATATTGAACAGAGGAGTTTGAGACAAAAAAAAACGATAAACATTTATGAACAGAAAACTGGTAGGAGAGCCAAATCTGCAGATATCTGCAAGATTTAAATTTTGTTGCGATGAAATTAATTAAAAGCTTTGAAGCCCAGGATTTAAAGATTTTAGCTAAGAACTATGAATTGAGAGGATTTTAGCAAAAAAGGCAGCAGAGAGTAGCAATGAATCAATGTTTTAGCGCAATAAAGTAAGCTGCTTTTTGCCAGGCTCATTAAGAACACACGAATATTAAAAAAGTAGAAAATTGAAAAAAGCCAAGGTCAATTTGGTATTTTAATACTAAACTAAAAATATGTACGATGCAAAAGCGTATTGACTACTGAATATTGAAAATACGGAAAATATAGGCAAATTTCAACAGTGTCCATCCATGTCCGTTCATCAAACATGAACAGGTGGGACAAACATTGGAGGAGAAACACAAACACAAAGGAGATTTTGAATTAAGACCGAAAAATGCGACTTTTCATAAAGGTTTTTCCAAATATTATATAACATACAGGGTGTTCCATTTGGAGTTTTGGACGATATTGGAGTCGTTTTTACTTGTAGCCAGAAGATCAATAATGTGAAGACGTGGCGTTTTTGTGCATGAGATGTTTTTTCACTTTGTTCGGCTCTCAAACTTCTACGCCTAAGGCAACAATGGTTTGTTAATGCTTGCTAATTTTGGCAACGCGCATTAGCAAAAACTCCTTATGATAAAAACGCAAAATCTGTCAATATTTGTAGAAAAACCTGTTTATCAGTTTGTCTCCGTATTCCGTATTATTCAATACCAATGCCTATGAGTCATTACAGGTGAAATTATTCGCAGTTCAGTTCAATACGAGCCGCAGAGAAGTGTGTAGTGTTGTGAACAACCAGCATCAGTGGGATATTTTTCGCATGTAAGTTGTAAATTTGTTTTTCACCATGAAAATTGCCTATATTTTCATGCGTTGCATATCCGTAGTCAATACTGCGCTAAGTTAATAATTATTCGCTGCGCTCAATTAGTTCCGAAAGCATCAAAAAGTTAAATCTGTGTTAATTTACCTAGATGAGGTCCTTAAAGTTGGGGCAACGCCAATGGTCACTTGCCTAACTTTGTTCGAGCTTGCACTCCTGCGTTAAAAAGGCACACAACATGCCGGTTAGTAAATTGGTTAAAGTCAAATTAGAAAAATAAAACATTTTGACGAAATCCACTTTAAGCGAATCCCCATGGGTTGAAGTCACTTAAAGCAGTTTCAATGCACAATTAATTAAAAAAATAAATAAATCCATGCATCAAACGTGTTACTAATTTAGGTCCATTTTTGCGTGTCTACACTACACAGTCAATACATTTTCATTTACGACGATAATAAACAATATTCCATGCATTTTGCCATGCAACAACTAGTGTTTACCTCTTGAAAAGAGGAATTTTCGATTTGCTTGATGTAGATTTGCTGCGATCGGTTAAGAGAAGAAAAATATCGTTAGGTATCAATTGTCGACACGTACAAAACACAAAAACAAGCTTTTTCCCACAAAATTTTCGAGTTTTTTAAGTTCAACGATTTTAATAAAATATGAACTCCTATTTTTTGACAAAAACGAAATCACGCGTTGCAATGAAATGGGAGATTGTGGAACAAACTAAAAATGCTGTACTTAGAAAACTCAAAATTTTAAGATCGTTTGCTGGACATTTCCAGCATTTAAAGCATTATTTGATAAAAATAGTTTTCTGCAAATCCCACAAAAAAAAAGATAGGACAATGTTTACGAAGCAGACCCAATAACCCAAAAAACGTCCTCCCTTTGCCACTATTTAAAGAATACCGAATTGCATAATCTATGGGCAACCGGTTTACAAAATGGTGCGAAAAATTATTCTTCAGTGTCTTAAGCCAGGCCTTTAACGAAGCAATTTTGGCATTTGCTTATTAGAGCTTTTTTCTCATTTTCCAAAATACATTATCGTTGTTTGCGTTAATTTCAACTTCAACCGGGTGAAACCGAGCATCAAGGACAAATCGTAAAACACAAAACGACACATTGATAAGTTGAGACAAAACACATGCACTACAAAGATTTACCCAGAAGAAAAAGACATTGAACAGGAACTGGATGTGGAAGGCGATTCCGGTTCATCCTTACTGTTCCCTCTATAAATCGGTATGCGAGACCTTGCGATACCAACCAGAGCATTAGTTTTCATTCGTTTGAAAGGATCAGGCAATGATTTCTTATTCAAAACGTATTGTTGATTTTTCGAAAAAGCCATTGAAGAAGGTTTTAACTGAAGGAATCATCTCCTGATCAAGCTCTACACCCCCTCTAGACAGATCAAACATCCATTCCCATTATTTCCCAGTGATTATCCACCCATTAAATACTTGCAATTTTGCTCCAAGTTTACTAACTGGTCAACAGATTTTGTTATGTGTTCTACTGGTTGTGAGTAGATTAATTTTAGTTCAGTTAAATTAGAAAAATTCGGGAGTTCACTGTACCTTAACTGTACTTAAAAAAATGTGTAAACTGTGCATAGTGCGATCAGTGCACGTGTCTGCAGGTGTCGGTGCATTGCCTGCTGAAATTCGAAAATACCAATTCAGAGCCAATTGTTGTAGCCGTTTAGTTGACCAAACCGTTAGTTAGTAAACCTTGAAAACCCTACCAATAATTTCCAATACGACATTCGACAATCAAAGCCCCCCAAAATTTCCACTACAACGACCAGTTAAGGAGTTTTGACGGAGCTTTGTGGCTATCACCAGCAAAACCCCTTAAATCAGCCGAAATTTCAAACAAAATAAGAAAAAAAAACAATCTCCACTTTGTAAGTTTACCTGGATGAACTTGAACTAATTCCGGTTAAGGTTGGTATGCTCGAGGCTCTGGGTATGCCCGTGGATCTACCATGGTTAAAGAAAGAACATGCCCACGATTAGTAACTTTTTAGAGTTATGAGTACGTATTCGATTCAGATCAGTCAGTTATGCAAATAGAGTTGAGTTCAAGCTGATGTTCTGACACAGTGGGCTAATAACAAGTCTTTGCTGTATATACAGGGTGTCCCGTAAGCACAGAATCAAAAAGATACTGCGATATTCTTTGCATCAAAAAAAGACGATCTGACCTAACTTTTATTAGCAAAAAATGTATGGCTCCTTTGCTATAGATGGTCAAAATTCTTCAAAAAAATTATGTTTTTTGACATATCGGGAGAATGGTGACTTTGTTCTTATGTAAGATTCATATTCTTGTAGCGTTCATAGTTTTTGCGCAAAAAATATGTCTGTTTTCTTGCCTCTTAACAATGTTAGACATTAACTGCAAATATGCGCAATATTGCTTTTACGCAAGTTGTTTTCGCAAAACCCTAATACTTTGACCATGTCGGTCACTTCTTCATTGATTGACAATTAATTTATGCCTCGCATCACGATATTTGCAGTTAATGTCTAACATTGTTAAGTGGCAAGAAAACAGAAATATTTTTTTTCCGCAAAAACTATGAATGTTACAAGATTTGACAAAGAGCACAAATTTGTGAATAAGTGCATCAACAAAAAAAAATGAGTTGATTTCATCCAGCAAATAAAAAGTTCTGGTAGTTTTTGTACCACGACACTCATGAATTCATCACTTGTCCAAAACGGATGAACCCGATTGTTTCATCAAAATACGAGTCTTACATAACAATAAATTCACAGCGAGTTTCACTAAAATACATCGTACCATTCTCCCGATATGTCAAAAAATATAATTTTTCTGAAGAACTTTGAACATCAATAGCAGAGGAGCCAGACATTTTTTGTTAATAAAAGTTAGGTCAGATCGTCTTCTTTTGACGCAAAGAATATCGCCGTAGTTTTTTGATCATGTGCTTACGGGACACCCTGTATTTAATTGTGTCTCACTCGTGGAAATAGATTACTTAAATATTTGAGCCAGACGTTCCAACGATAGAACAAAGAAAGTTTCCGGAATTATTTGTTTATAAAGGCACACAATGATAAAGAGTGCATCAGAAAAGTTGCAGCACAGAAAACAACTGTGTATTATATAACACCCTATATTTTATTTTATTTTTGAATCTCATGTAAATTTCAATTAGTTTTTGTTATATAAAACAAACTTATTTTGAACAATATATGGACAACAGGAGAAAGGATTTGATTTCTAAAATATTTGTCTTTGGAACTGCAAGGCGGTCATGATACTGTTCAAATTAACGTAAATTCAAGCTCAGAAATTTCCGTTATACAGCGTGTTTTCTAATTGAGTACAAAAAATTCAACTGCATATTACTGAGCTGATTTTATGAGAAAAAGTAAGAAAAAGAAGAGAAAAAGGAAATTCGAACATGGTCAAAAATGCTTTGTTTTTGATCTAAATATCTTGGTGATCTGCATTTGCAACGAAAAGCTGAACCTTGTTTTTTTTTGCAGCACGTGCTTTTTTTAAACACTTGCTTATAGAAGATTTATGAATTTATTTTTATATTATTGAAATTATTCTCAAGTTAGCATTATATTGTTAAAAGAGTGAGATTTTTGAGCTTGAAAATAAGTCAWTTTGAACGATGATTATGACTACCCTGTAGYTTAAAAGGCAAATGATTTACAAACCAAATAGGTAATAGGTAATATGGTAATAGGTTTTACTCCTGTCAAGGTTCAAAATTTTGTGCCTAAAGGCAACGGATAMATTTTCRACTTATCAACACAGTRAAAATGCCAATTTTCTTCGTTATTGCCGAGTAACTAAAAAACTGCAATTTTCTTTTATATTTATACAAGAGTTCAAAAACAAAATAAAATATGTGTATGCTGTCACATTAGGAAAAAAGTTGGTTTCTGCACTGCAAGTTTTCTGACGCACTCTGTATAACTGTGAATACTTTTACGTCTAGTACCTTTACAAATAAATAATTCCGGCTAAGCAAGCATAAACTTATTTTACTCTATCATTGGGATACCCTGTACATGAGCACAAGGCACAGCACGCAAAAGCTTGTGTGGGAAAGAGCAAAAACATACCGGATTTAGAGAGGCGTGTTGTTTCTCTTTCCGATTCATTAAGCATCTGCTTTGTTCCACTCATTTGGAACTATTCAATTTGGAGCGATCAACGTGAGACACAATTAATAAAAAATTGCAAAGCACAAAACTGTTAACGTTTATCAAGGCTCTTCGTGCCTAATTGATGTTAAAGTAATAAGGACCATAATCAGTATTAATTGACCAAAATTCATATCAAACCATTCAGACTTTCAATGTTAATCTATCTCAGTAGTCTACTCAAATTACTCGTATTAACTGGTTCAGTTTAATAGCTGGAAAAGTCGATTCTTGTCCAGAATAAACTCCCCGTTTTATTATTGCATCATATGCGTGTTTGCGTATTTACCTAAGAGCTGGACTGGCTGGAGAGCGAAGACCACTTGGAGTCCTTGGTCTGGAGCCGGTTCCATTCACTGTGCTCTTCCTAGCAGATGATAAAGTTGCGGAACTAAAACCTGAGGTTGGAGTTCTTCTCGGAATCCTCGAGGGTGTATCATCTACAAATTTGTAAATTTTATAAACCCATCAGATAAAATCTGGAAAGACAAACGTCATTCGCATTTCAAACAATATTCCTTACCAGTGCTGTCCAAAGACTGATTGGATCCATGCCTGGATGGTGGTTTGCTGCCAGGTCGACTGCCGGTTCTAGAGGCCGGTCTGGAATTGTTTCTGGACCCACCCGGTGTTAAAGTGGAGCGATAGACGGGTTTTCGCGGTGTTCTGAATCCACTTTCGTTATCGCTGAGCGAGTCTGGAGTGCCGGCCGACAAAGTCGACTTTGAATGTCTGGGCAAACTGCCCATCGGCACCGATCGCTGCGATCTTTCTCGGACCTAAATTAGCGTGACACGTTAGTTGGTTATAGTCGGCCAATGGGAGCAATGGGCGGATCACAAAACAAGCCAATCACTACAAGGACTGAGTCACAGACATTCATTCATTCCAGATCAATGTTCACTTAACCGATCAGTGTCCGTGCGACTGTAAAAACTACTTTGAATCAAATCGGTGACAACAATTGATGCGTGCGTGTCTTCACCAGTACTGTTTTACCGCTGTACTCACCAGTAAAACAGTTCTAATCTCATCTGGCGATGTCAATATAATCTTCAATTTGCACGAATGAATTGAAAAGAAAATTACATGGATACTTAATAAATATCGGGCTAAAATTGATTTGTAAAAAAATCAACCGTAGTTGGTACTGACCTGCTGAATACCTACCATAGGCATTTGCGACAGATACAACAGTTTGTGATGGTCTTTTTCCGGGCCGATTACAGCAACTGCATCAACCAAGTGGATTAACATTCGCTAACCGTTTAACTTGTACATTCATACAGGGGATAGTAAATTGTTCGCTTGTATAATTAATTGAAATCGTCTGGAAACATCACTCTCATGCACATGCAAACCGCGCTAAAGTTTGTACAGTACTTAAAAAAAACCAAAATCTACAGCTGTAAGCCTTGTATATGTACACCACAGTGGTTTGTTGAAAAATAGTGTACAAACTTCACGAATCTAGTCCACCTATGCGAAGAGACACAACCAGGGAAATGGTGCACATAAAAGGTAGATTTTCAGTGTACGGATCAACACTGCCGGATCGAAACACTAAACTAAGAAGACACAAATCAACGTTACCCAATAGCAAGTGTTCGGATTGACGTGGGCCATGTGCAGAGTGGGGCCCGCCGTGGATCCCACATGCAGCGGGTACGCATTACCAATTTCTCCTCTGGCTCGGATCTCATTAAAGATCGGCATTAGCTCAGCCATATGTTCGTGTGCTACAGGTATAACAAACACGTGCCAATTTTCTCTTTGAACCATTTAGTTACCCTATAGAGTGTTTCAGTGTGGTTTTCTTTGTGTTTTAAGATGTGCTTGAGGCTTTCGATACAGTAGTGTGCTTGGAAATTGAAATATTACATACCAAGGGGTTTTGATGAGTTTCTGGGTTTACTAAACAAATCTAATAAGAACGAGTATAACAAAACAAATAAATAGGGGGCTTAGGCGCATTTACTTTTCCTGAATGAATTACTGATGAAGACGTCGCCGATCTTTTATTCTGAGGGAAATAAAAGCAAAGGATTTATTTGCGTAGATGGTAGATCCTGGGTTTCAAGTGCAACCATCCATCTCGATTAAGAAGAATGTAAAATTTCATAAATTTGTTGCATTCGACGCAGTTACTTTCAAAATCACAAAAATTAAATATTTTCTATAAAAATCTCTGTTATGAATACATAAGATTTTTGTATTCACGGTCTGAGTATGTACATTCTACGATTAAAAATGATGAGAATAATTTTGGGGTTTTGTGGATAGGTCTTATGTAGTTTTATCCTGAGTCCTTTAAAAATCAAATTTGTCTCGATCTATGCCACATAGTTAATAATATGCCCAAAAGTATCGTGATTAAAAAAAAACTGAAGTTAAAGGAAGCACTTTATTGTTAATAAAACGTTCATTCAAATTCAGTTCACTGTCGTTAAATATTTTATTTTCTCCCGATGTCCACATTAATAATTACTTAAAAACTAATTTCGTTCATTTTTTGTTTGCTCCTCTGCATTTTATTTATTGTTTCAATTATTTATTTTCCCATTAAACATATGTTTTTCAACCCAAACAGCTCTTTGTCCTATATTTTCGCTATGAACAAGGAAATACATTTTTGAGAAAGTTCGGTGTAAACTCAAGAGCATTTTCCTAAAAAACGCCGAAAAATTCTTAAATATTTCCAGTTTTCAATCAATTCGGTCAACTTTTCGGTCCATTTTTAAAATAATGTTAGCTTGAAACAGTTAAGGCATACTAACTCCGCGTTTAATTCGACGTAGATAGTTTTGAAAAAGAACAGAAATACTTTAAAAAGGAAATACTATTTATTGAAGGTCTTTATATTTTTCCTCCAATTCGTTCATTTGTTGGTAAAGGCTCAGGAAACTTTGACCAATTGTTGAACTTTGACTATTGTATATTATTGTATTCTGCAGAGATTTTTTGTTTTCTAAGTTACGACTAACTTTATTACGAGTGGTTCTTCTTAGTGTTTTGAAACCGTTTTTGTGTTACTTGCAAAATAGTAAAAGTAAAGTAAAGTAAAAAATTTAAGAGCAGTAGGAAACATCTACTCTGATTATATACAAATTCACAAATCCAAGTTGTACTCAAATGTAACACGTAAAAGGGAATAAATTTATTAAAATGTATCCAGAAAAAAAGTTGGTTGTAATTTTCAAATTTGAAAATAAAAAACCAAAAATCTATATATTTGCCAAGAGAGGCAAAGTGTTAAATTAAGATGCTTTTAAGAAGACTTTAATACGATTTCAAGAAGAATATTACCGAATATCAAAAAAGATAGACCTTCGAGGCCAATCCTTCAAACTAGTGGGTTTTTCGGGTTTTTAGGTCCAGCAGTTTCAATATTAGCGAATTTTTGGAATTATTTCGGGTATTTACTGCAAAAATAGTGAAACTGCCTCATTCCCAAACTCTACACTGGGCGTTTGGTATATCGATGTAATAACATAAACAACAAACAAGTTACTACTGAAGATGCCCATCCATTTTGCAGGTGAAACGTTTATAAAATACTCATAATAAATAACTTAACTCTCACTTTATTTATAGCGTAGTCGATTTAAAGCCTAATATTAATTCATCTTAACCCTTTGGTGATTGTAACAAGTAAAAGTATATACAAAATCGGGAGCCCCAAGCAATTGAAAGAGTAAAAAATAGTGTGTAATGCAGCTAAAGCTGTGCAGAAGTTGAAACAATCTAAACTAAATAGAGGAAATCAAATCAATCGAGCAGTAAATACAAAGCTAAGTAAACAAGATAATTTCAATGAATTTAAACCGGGAACGAATCTTGGCCTGAAATTCATGTATCGTTGCAGATCCCGAGCTCTAATAACTCGGTCTCGAGAGGATATAGTCGTTTTATTTTAGATCGGGCGCCGTTTTAGTAACAAAAATCCTACTTACCTGCCACACCCTGGCAAACGACTCTAGTACCTAAAACAACCTGCAAACTGACAACATGCTCTCTTGCACACGTACCATACCAACCAAGACAAATATCTACAAAAGCACTCGCATGACAATATAATTCTAGTCCAGGGCACTCATAATAAAGTACAGTTTCAACAAGGCGGGGGATTTATTCTAGATAGCATATGAAAGTTACATTTACGTATTGGGCTTGATGAAAAAATCACAGTTTTTATTCATTTGCAAAGGGTTCATCTACAACATACAGCAAGAGTGTCTCATTTATCTAGACATTTTATTATTCTGTTCTTATATTGTGATATTTTAAAAGCACATGAATTTGTGTTGTTTGTGTTATCCCACTTACTTCTCAGGTTTGTTTGTTCTCACTTAGAACCTGGATGTTTTTGTACATGTTTCCTGTTTGCAACGAATTTTTTAATACATTTTACATACATATTTAAATATTGATGGTTTATACTCATTCTCCTGGTATCTTCTTCACATATTGAAACTTAGAGGGATAAAGTGTGTCTATTTTATCTAAACCATTGGAGATTGTTTCAGTCAAGAGCATGTCCAATACGTAAAAGTAAGAAAAGCAGGAGACTTACTCTTATAAAGATTTCAAATAAAAAATATTCCGTTTTTCATCAATCTAATTTAACAGAAATCTTTATACTTCGTTCGCCTCCAATTTTGGTTTGATGATCGGGGTGCAATACCTTTGTGATTGGCCCTTGAGGAGTGCGTAGTGAACTCGAAGAGGAGCCAGAAACGGGACTGGCTGAAGACCGTTTGCTCTTAAAAGCGGTCATGGTTTGAGACACGCCATCCGCCAAGATGAATTGTTCACGTAGCTCAATGTTAGTGCGGCCTTTAGCTGTGTGTTGAAGGTGATTGGTGGCGTTCATTTTTCCAAAGGATCGGAGGAAATCGGGACCGGACATTGAGAGTGGGTCGGGTGCAAAGGTGCAGGAGAAGAAAAAATCAAACAAAACAAAATAAGCAAAAATACTTGTCTAGTTGGCACGCACAAGAGGCCCGTTTAAAGGGTCGAACCGACATTTTACAACGGTCCTCTTGCGGTATTCTCAGAGATGCGATTAGTGTGTAGCAACAAAGTACTTTTATGACCAGACAGAGCAAGTAAAGTGGTACTTTGTGGGGACACGTGCACAAAAACACTAACTGTTTTACCATTCCAAAGAACACCAACTAATCCCCAAAAATGCCGGTAAAACAGTTACGTTCAAATCAAAATATACCATAAGTGTATTTAAAAGTATTTATATTAGGTGATGTTAATAAGGCAACCAAAACGCATGCAAACCAAATAACCAAAAACTAGATGTAATTTAAAAATCCAGTCTACAGTATGAAAAATTAGGATGACTTCTATGAATGAAACCCGTTGGTCAAATGTAAATGTTTCTCAACAGGGTGTTCGTTTTACCAGCTCTCGGCTCTTACACACGATAATATTCTCTCTCGCAGGAGAAATACAAATGAGTATATCATTCGTGAATGAACACTTTTGTCCCAAAGTTTGTCGTTTGGAAGAGCGTGTTTTTTCAAAGAAAATATGTATGAAACCGCTTTTGCTGATTTTCAGAGAAAGAGAACACCTTATGTGCACTTATCAGCGCAGATCTTATAGGTTTATAAAAATGAGGATAAAATCTTGTTTAAAAATTCAATAAAATTAATTGAACTTTAACTTAACTTTACTCCAATGTAGCCGACTTCGCGTGTTCCAACCAACCAAGAGCTAGGGCTGAATTTGTAGAACAAACACCCTGTATGTAAATGAGAATATAAACTAAAGCTCATAAAAAACGACTTACATTCCCGTAAAATCAAAGCGAAAATGTATATTGATATTAAATAGAACAAAAGGTCGTTCCAAACAACTCCGTCTACTGTAGACTGAAAAATCCAGGATTTATCCTTACCAAGTGGACACCAAGGTTCGTGCTGCTCGGGTATATCGGGGTGCGGAATTGGTAAAACTAACGTGACTGTACATGTTTGAATGTTTGCGTCGCAGCATATAATATAAAGTATAAATATACACAACATCAAAAGCGGCCCGATCAGTTTGCAAATGAATCGTAACCAAAATGGCAAATAAAAATTAGTGATTTGTTGAAGGAGGTGAAGATTGGGGGAGAAACAGAAGAGATTCGATTAGTTAGATGAATGTCAAGCGTAATCGGGACTTTAATTGGTCGCAAATGAAAAACGAAATCAAAATGCCAGAGGGCGCCATCCCTGGCATTTTAGCTTTCGTTTTTCGCCAACCGCACTGTACATTAAAGTCCCCAAAATAAATCTAGATTATAAGCGCATCTAAAGAGAGTCATTCCTGGTGAACGTTTCTATATGTCACAGTGCATTCAAATAAAAAACCTTTTGTGAGTGAGAATAGATTTTTTATGTGAACGCACTAATATCCCTCAAGAGACGCATCAGTACTGGGTTATTTCGCTCTTGTCGAACCACATTAATACATGAATTAGGTTATTTCCAAGATTCCGAGTGATTACAGGTCACCTCCTGGTTAGAGTGAACGAGTAAGCGAATTGAAAAAATCATTAATCAAATGGTCAGTTGTTTAATATCCCCTGTTATTTTTGTTTTTTAGTTGTTCATTAAATACTATCAATAATAATAATCATAAATCATCGATTTCAGAAGCTCATCTGTGTAATGTTTCGTCAAACAAATTGAGTTTTCTCGGCAACTTTCCGACTAGGTTTGGTGACTGTTTTCGCAAATAAAATTGAATCACTCTATGTATGCATTATATTTGAAAGTAAAAGACAAACATGAGCTTTTGACAATCAATGCGATTCTATAATGATTTTATAAAAATAAAGATTCATACCTCTGCAAGGGTCGTTCTTCAAAAGGAACTCGTCCAAAGCGACCCAACCGCCACCAACACGTACCATCACGGTACTGCGGAGGATACGAACCAGACGAAGCTTCTGGCTGTCGCCAAACTGCAATAAAAACACCCTCATTAAACGGTTTCTGGCTATTCGGGATTAGCTGACATACGCGGTATTTGCCTTCGCCAACTTGGAAAACTCTGAACTTCTGTCTGCACGTGCAAAGCATGACTAGTCGCTTGACTTCGTCGTGGATCTTCTGGGCGTCATGATCCGGTGTCTTCTCCTCCCAGTCAGGTCTGAGGGCCGCAATGAATTTCTTCCAGTCGATCAAACCTCTGTTGTTTTCATCGAACATGTCTGCGACGTGTTTCATTTCCAGCCTCGAAGTGTCGAATTCTATCAAAAATATCGCAGTTTTGAGCAAAACGTTCAGGCTCCAGCTGGTTTCTTTGCTTACTCGTTCTTATAATGCCATCAATGAAATCATCCCGGGGAATCAGCTCGTTGTTGTCCTTGTCCATCTTCCTGAACAGATCAGTAAGCCTGGACTTCTTGTAGTTCATGAACTTCAAGAAACGCTTTCTCCAGTCGTCCCACGAGAAGTTGTCGGCCTTTTCTTTCTCCTTCAGATAAGCCAGATGGTCGTATAGTTCTCTCTGTCTTTCCCAGGATAGCACCCAAACGTGGCGCCATTTGTCGTAGAGGAATTTCACTCGGGGTGATCGGAATTCGGGTTCGCTGGAGATTTTTTTAATTGACGAGATTTTCACGAAAACTCTCAGAATGTATGGCTTTGACACTGATTTTGAGATATTTCTATTAAGAGGGCATTTGTTCGCATCGGACGAACGGAGCTGATGGAAATGATTATTTGTCCGCAAATCTTGCAAACATTGATTTCCATTCGTTCCGTTTGTCCGCGAGGCGCTCAAATGCGCGCTTATCATCGGGAGATGTGTAAAATTTGGTGGTTGTAAACTCGAAGCTTGAGACGCAAAAAAGCGTGAAAACAATATAAAAAATTAATCTAAATAATGTCAAAGACATACAAAATTGTCTACTGTGAGCTTTGTAAAGTGTTACTGTGCCTTTTGTAGTTACGGGTTATCGGAAACTTACTGGTCTTTAAACTAGCTTAATATTAAGACATGCTCATTCAATACATATGTGGGATTATACTTGAATCGTTACTCTCCTTCGCAGTTGCTGGTTCATATTAAATATATATTGTTGCTAATAATTACAGTGTAGAGATTAGAGTTAAAAGAAACCGTCAACAAACGTGCATCAAACCAAACCAACAAAGATAAGAAGTGACCATATCCATCAAATGCAATATCCGGTTAAAAGTTAAACGGTTACTTGGCATATATCTGGTTTAGTCAGTAATGTGTGGTTAGTAGATAATGTGGAAAATTGAAATGTGAAATACCTTCCAGGTGCTGAAAATCTTGGCCCGACATGAGGATATCCAGGTTCGGGACTCAGCTCTCTGCCAGGACTGGCGCGACTGCAGAAAAAAGCCACATGCAACACTCAACACAAGAGAGTTCGACTACTGAATGTTCCCGTGAAGCCACAAAGGTAAGTTCGTATGCAAATTTGACTTTTGCAGCTTCACAGGTTGAAAAATAAAGTCCGACACTAAGATTTTGCTTCGTGTACGATGTCCACATTTTGGAACTTTTCATCGTAAAGGGTCACTAAGTCAAAATCTTAGTGTCTAAAAATTTTAAACAAATGAGCTTAACACTATGCCGGCTCGGTTAGGGTGTTAGTTAATTTGCCTAATCAATCAGTCAAAATCACCTATGAATTTTGGAAAAATCGGAAAATGTATATGTATGTATCTACAATAGACGCCCCAAGTATTAAAACCTGTACCCCAACGCAGCTGTACAGAAATGAAGTCTGAAAAACGGTATACATTGTTGATCTAAGAGTGGCATACATTTACTGAATTTAAGTATAACGAACAAAAAATGGAATGAAGCAACAATGAACATTGGTCAAAAATGAACAATTTTCTATAAGACAATTTGAAATACACCCCCCAAAGCAGGCGCTTTTTCTCAAACTGTCCCCTTAAACACTTTCGTTAACTGAAGGCATTCGACAATATTTACGAAACCACCCACCACCGTGAAAAACAAATAATAAACAACGCTAACCTGCCACGTTGCGATAACAAGTCGCGTGATCCTTTGAAGCTGCAAGGAAAAAAACAACAATCAAACGAAATGCAACAAAAATCGAAACACAAAACATAAAAAGCAAACTGATGAAAATTGTGCTGATGAAAACATACCTTTGCTTGCGACCGAGAGTGCCGTAGTCGGACGAATGCTCGTGTATGTCGTGCTGTGATCCGCGACTGAAGGAAAAAAGCTTATAAAACATGCAAGAAACACACACATAGACAAAAATGAGTGATAATTCAATGGGGGAAAATTATTAACACAGTGCACTAAGAGGTAGAATTCTATGAAGAAAAAATACGTACATGGGGGCTTTGGCTTTGCCAAATTTGCGAGGATCCTTCAAGCCTGCGGCAGCTTTGACCTGTTTGGCCTTGCACACCCTGTCTACTTCCGCTTGTCTCTTCTGCGTATTTTCCATGAATTCCTTGTGGTCGGCTATCAATTGCTCCGTAGCAGGGATGTTCATTGGCAGCTCCTCTCGCTTCAGGGCAATTAGGGTATTTTCCAATCCCAACAGCCACTGGATCAGGTCTTCCAGTGTTTCGTCCATGTCTCTTAGCGACTGCATGTGCAAGGAGAGTTTCTGGTGTCTCTGTAGAGCCCATTGCGAAACTTCCTCCCACCGGGACTGGATCACTTTAATCCAGTTCTTGATCACATTGATGGAGTCGGGATGGGCCTTGGCCAGGATGTTGTGAGCCAGATTGAGCGTCTGATCTTTCTCAATCTCCTTTTCGCTGAGTTGAGCGCGGAATTCGTCAAGCGCTTTGAGCTGTTCGTAGGCAGTGGCTTCATCTTCGGGCGTATTTCCGACGAATCTGAGTTTCATTTCTGCATCAGACAACCAGTCGAGGATCATGTTAACAGACTTATGAAGCCTCTCAGCTTCTTTAAGAGCATCGTGCAGTCTATCGGTCTTTAGATGCGTCAGCCCTGTTACGGACTCCCACAGTTGATTGAGCTCCGTCATTTGCTTCCTTATATGGGCGGCATCGGTTTTGCTGGCGGTTTTTTCCAGCTCCTGCCCATTACGCATAACAGACTCCATTTGGTCGTTGCGTTTCTCTAGCTCTTTCTCGAACTGTCTGTGCAGGTCGAATAGATGAGTTACTGTATCCAAATCCCCATGCACGGGACTCTCTTGAGAGAGCTCTTTTTCGCTCTTCTTAAGCCATGCCATGAGGGCAGCAACAGCATCTTTGAATTGCCCTGAATAGAGTAGGGCTTCCTCCAGCTTTCTTTGGCTTTCAACGCTCTTGTTGCACACAGACGTCCACTTGCCCTTCAGATCGGCAAGCATCTGCTTCAGAGTGGGCTCATCGGTTTTGGGTGCCTTTTCCTTCAGCTGCTTGCCGTTCTTCATCACTGTGTCGTAGGAGGATTGCTTGGCAGATAAAGCGCGCTGGAATTCGTGGTGTTTGGAAAGTCGCGCCTTGATCTTGTCCGGGTCGTTTCCAGCTGTATCCAACATGAAGGCGTCTAGGTTTTGTTCGGTTTCATCCAGCCAATGCATCAGGCCTAGCCAAGAATCGTGGAACTCCTTCGCTTCTTTGTAGCCCAGATCCAGAGCTCTGGTGCGTTCAGCCGATTTGGCCGCTACACGCTCCCATCGGTGTTGCACGCTGATCAAGAGGTTCTTAATCAGGATCACGTCTTGCTTCTGGCTGAAGTACTTTAAGTGGGTTCCCTTCTTGTCAAGCGCCAGCATGATTTCGCGATGGGCGCTCACATCCTTCTGGAACACTTTGTGGTCTTCGATCTGCTGCTGCACATTGTCCAACACTCTTGAAACGGGTTTTAGGCTGTTCAGGATCTTCTCAGCGTTCGTCAACCAATCGACGAACGCCTGCAGGGACTCGTGGAACTCAGTGGCTTCCTTAAGCGCGATTTCCAGCTTGATTTTCTTGTCATTGGCTCGCGCGGTGACTGAGTCCCAGCGTTGTTTCAAGGTGCGCAAGTTGTGCTGCAAGTTCGAGGCAGAGTTGGGCGGGGCCTTCTTCAAATACTCCTGCCCCTGGGCCAGCACGGTTTCCACTTTGGGTCGGTTCTCTTCGATTTCGTTGTAAATCTCCATGAATCTCTCCAGCTGTTCGGAGGCGGTTTCCGGCAGGCCACCCACTGGTTTTGAAGCGGCAATGATGCCGTCCACATCGCCCAGCCAAGAAAGTAAGTCTTGGATTTCCGCGTTGAATCTGTGGGCGTCGGTAAGAGCGTCTTCCAACTCGCGTTGACGGTCTGCAGCTTTTTGAACCAGCGCACGCCATTGGGTGTTCAAAGTATTAAGTTTCTCTTGGGTTGTTGAAGCTTCATAACGATCTGCAAAAGTTCACGAATGTTTTAAAAAAATCAGCTACTTCGTACTATTGCAGTACATACCTTCGCCACTTTCAATGATTTGCCTTCCGGCGTCATTCAACGTGTCCACGCTGGTTTGATGGGCTTGAATATCGTTGATCAGCACCTTCAGTTTAGCCAGCTCGATTTCTAAAACCTGTGCATCTCCTGCCACTGGTTTGAGCTCGTCCAGAGTCTTGTCTGTTTTGGAGATCCAGATCAGCAGCTCGTTGAGAGCATGCTGGAACTGTCCCAAACGCAGCAGCGCATTTTCCAACTGTCGTTGCCTGTCCACCATTCCTCTGAGCAGATCATCCCATCGCTTATTGACTGCAGACAGCGGCTCTTTGATTGCGGCTGCTTGGTCTGCTGAAGTGCGCTCAGTCAGCTCCTGGGCTTGTCTAGTTGGAGGAAAACAAACGTTAATACTCGGCCAATTTTCTTATACAGGGTGTTCCAAAGCTCGTGCCCAGCGTCTTATGCTAAACACGCAACTAACGTTTATTAAAGGACATGTGGAATCTTAAGGGACTTTTCAGGCGCTCTAACTGTTGGCAAGCCGAGCTTGCTCAAAATAAACGTTAGCTTCTCCCAAAAGCAAATCCCTGTTTCGCCATTGGCTGGGACTTTGGCGCACTCTGTACTGTATATTAAGTTGTGCCGAAGCAGGACAAGGAAGCAAGTAAGCGCTTTTTAGCAATTTAACAGCTGTAGAACTTCGTTTGGATACGTTATGGAAAATACATAATGCGCAAATATTTGGAGGTGTGCCTAGTAGTAAGTGAATTTTAAAGGGCGTTATCGAATAACTTTTCGCGAATCCTGCGAAAATAATCGATTTTGAAACTGAGAAATTTTTTTTTCGGGCACGTTCATATTTTGAACGTTTATTTTGAAGCCCATATTATAAATATAAAATGATTTTTTTAAAAGGCCATTGATTATCGAAGTTCTACTGCGCTTTTAAGCGAAATCAGTTATAAAAAACATTTCATGCATTACGAGTTTAAAACATGCAAAAAAGACAAGCCTGAGAACTGTTCTGTTAACAAACATTAAACATCAAAATTACAAGGACACAACATGTGCTAATAGTGCAAAAGTGGCTTCAATTTGAAACCATTGTTCTGTCCTATGCTAAATATTTAACCCATATTTATGTTCTGCAAATGAATGCAATAAAAGTAAATATCATCTAATGACTTATAATCGTTGAGAGAAGAAGAAAAATAGAAGCAACACATAAAGCAAAAAGCGTTGCAACGGCTCGAATGGTCTAAACAGAATGACGGACAATTAAAACACAAACATAGCTTGCAATGCAGCAATATGAAAATATCTTGCCTTATAAGACTCCTGCAGTCCACCGGGAAAACAAGAAAAATACAATAGTTAGTGTCACCAAATAAATACAACTACTAAAAGTAATAAATAACATTTAACCAACCTATAAAGGAAAACTGTATCTACTTGACTTGCTTGAAAAACCAAGAAGGCACTAACCTGTTGAGGGCCTCAACTTTCACCATATGAGGATCCACTTCCGCTTTGAAGTTCTTCAGCTGTTCGATTTGCTTTTTGACTGCATCGATATCTGCGCCCAATGGGCCCATTTTCTCAAACTTCCTCTCGGCCTTGTCCAGGAATGCCAAAAGATCCTAACGAAAATGAAAACATTAATTCCGCAACCGCATGACGTTCTGGCAATTGTTTTTACCTGAAGAGTCTCATGGAATTCCATCGCTTTCTCCATGGCATCGATGAGATTTTCTTCCCTCTTGGCATACAGGGCAGTAATATTGTCCCATGCATTATCAAGATCTTCAATGTGCTTCTTAACTTCCGGCTTGTCTGGTTCGCCGCACAGTTTCATCAACTTCTGCCCAGAAGACCGAACTTGATCCACTTCAGGCTTGGTCTGATCGATTTCTTGCCTGATTTCTTGCAGCGCAACTTGCTGTTCTTGTATGGCTTTGGGTTCGACTGCCGGTGGCTCTTGGCTGACCAGTGAATCTTCCAAGTCCTTCAAAGTAGCCATAATTGCGTGCAACTCTTTCCAGAACTTCTGCGCGGCATCCAAAGCATTATCCAGGGAGTGGCCCCGGTCTTTGGTGGCTTTCTGCACATCGTCCCACAGGTTCTTCAGCTTGTCTAATTTGCGTTTAATGTCTTTAACGGCCGAATCAGCTCTGTTTCCTGCCTTGTTGATGACATCGTCCGCAGCACGTTGCACTGCAGCGTACGCCTCCTTTCGCTTGTCCAAATCACTAACAATTGCATCATTGTCTTCGATTTGATCGCGAATTTTGGGCACATGAGCGGAAATCGGTTCTTGATTGTTCACTTGATCGGCTGTGTTGGTCAGCGCTCTTAACATTCCTTCGAGTTTGTCGGAGAACAAGGAACTTTCTTGCAAGGCTTGCTCAAGGGCTTGCTGGCGCTCGCGAAGCTCCAGCTTCAAGGCTGCGTATCTGGCATTATCATTATCCAGCAATTCTTGTACTTTCGAACCGTCATCATCATTACAAAGTCGAATGAGAGCTTCTCCAGTCTTGTTCAGTTTGTCAACGAGTGGCTTATGTTCGTTGATGGACTGCAGGAATAACTCGTTTCGATCCTGTTGTTGGGCAATAGCATCTGGACGTAGGGCGGGCATGGAAAGCATGGAAACTTGTTCCTCCATATCGCCGAGCCAATTGACCAGGCCAATGTGTGTGTCGTGGAAATGTTCGGCCAGAGGCAGGGCTTGTTCTAAAATGCCCAATCGATCCGAACTAAGAGCAGATACGGTGTCCATTGCTTCTCGCAGATCCTCCATTTTCTCCCTGATAAGGCTGGTGTCTTCACTTGGGGGACTTTCCCGCAGGACTTTCTTGGCTGTGGACAAAACGTCGCGCACCCGACCTTTTTGACTGGAAATATCATCATTCAGAGCTTTGTGTTCTTTGAGTTGCACTCTGATCACATCAGGTTCCGCTGACGGCTTCTCCGCATCTCTTATCTGACTTTCTACCTCTCGGAACCACTCCAACAGCTCATCGATGTCGCCTGTAACCTCCAAAGCTCTCTGCTTGCCCAAGTGGATCCTCTCAGCTCGTCTCTGAATTTGTTCAGCGATGGCATCAAATCTTCGATTGTCTCTGGACACCAAGCCTTCAATTGTCGCAGCGCCTTCTCCGGGACTGGCTTGGCACAGTTGAGGTCCCAGCACGTTGATTGTTTCTAAAACCGGTCGTAGTTCTTGTAGATCGACCTCAAGACGCGCAATATCGCCCTCATTAGGTTCAGCTGATTGCAGCACGGATTCGGCTCCTTGCATCCATTCGACCAATCGGTTGTGGTTGTTGTGGAACTTCTGCACCAACGGCAGTAGGTTTTGTGCAAGTTTCAGCAAGTCGGCCCCTCGGGATGTCAAGTCGTTATAGCGACGTTGAAGAGAGTCGAGTTTGTCCTTCAACTGTAGGGCTTCATCGGATGAAATATGTCCCATAAGTTCGACGCCTGCATCAACGGTTCCATCCACATCAGCTTGGCGGCCTGCGATGTCTTCCGTGAGGGCTGTAAGATCGTCCATTTGTTCAAGCAGTCGGTCTGTATGAACAGCCAGCACTTTATAGCGTGCCAGGCGTTGTTCCATGGAGTCCATCCAGGCGGCCAAGTCCTGGTAGGTGAGCACCAGATGTCTTAAGCCTTGTCTTGAAGCTGTGAGAAGATCGCCGATCTTTTCGCTGTCTTCCACCAGATTGCCATATCTATCAGTAACTTCGGCCAGCTTATCTGCTAGTCCAGCCGCCTCGTCTTCGCCCACAAGCGACATCAAGTTGGATGCGACATCGGCCAGTTCTCTAAAGTCGGGTTTTTTGCTTAGAATGTCATTGTGTAGCGCGTCATGTTCCCTGATTCTTTGCTGGATCTTCTCCTCATCGGTTGGTATCAGTGACATGTCCTTCACCTTCTTCTCGCTGCGCTCCAGCCAGTCTTGCAAAGGCAGCAGCTTATCCTGGAACTCCTTGGCCACTTTCATGGCGTGTTCCAGATCAAGCGTGCGCTGTTGTGCTCCTTCAGTGAGGGCATCGAAGCGTCCAATCAGATCCTTGAGTTGCTTCTCAATGGCCTTTCGCTCAGATGGGTCTGCCTCCTTGGCAATCTCGTTGCCCATGCTAAACAGCGACGACATGGAGTTTTGCCGGTCTAGTAGCATTTTCTTCAGGAACTTTTGCTCTTGCAGTTGGGCCTTCACAACTTTGTAGTCTGCAGAAGGTGGTTTTTGATTGGCCACCAGCTCTTCGGTGTCGGCCAGCCATTTGGCCAATCCGTCCAAAGCTTCTTGGAACTTTCCAGACTGCAGCAAGGCAATGTCGAGCTTGCGCTCGCGATCGTTTATTTTCTCTTTCAGAGTGTTCCATTGGTCGTTCATTTTCTCCAGGTCTTTCTCCAAAGTTTGCGTGTTCACACCGGAAGCGGCCGATTGGACCAGTCCCTGACCGACTCTGTTACAGGTTTCCACGTTCTTGTTCAAAGGATCAACAGTGGCGGCGCGGAACTTTTTAAAGTCCTTCTGTTGCGATCTGATACCCTCCACGTCTGAGCCGATTGGTTTTAGCTTGCGCAATTGATCGAATGCATCCTTAATTCCGTCCAAGACCCCTGCATGCCCGATGTAGAAATCTTCGAGCTTCTTCAGAGCGCCTTCGAGTTCCTTTTCCCTGTTATGGGCGCGGTCGTCCAATTTGCCCAGTTGTCTCTTGAGGGCGTCCACTTGCTGGCGAGTTTGTGCAGTGTCGGGAGCAAAGCCACTATCAACCAGCCGTTCGCCGGCTAGAATGGCATCCTCAACATCATTGGACGCTTTGCCCACTTTGCCGATAAACTTGACCACATCATCAATTTGGCCGCGGACAGCTTTTACGTCGCGCGCTGGTGGTTTCATGTTGTCCAGCTCGGCTTCCAGACCGGACAAATCGTGCGACAAACCTTTGACTTTCTCGTTGAATTGCGTAACAGCAGTGGCAGCCGATTGCAGGTCCGAGCAGCGGTCATTGAGTTTACTTTGCAGGTCATCAATGCGATCGCCAATACTTTCTACTTCGTCCTTCAGATGATTGGCATCGATGCCATTTTCGGTGGCTTCGTGGCAGAGATCGGCCGCTTGATTGCGAAGGCTTTGCAGCGGTTTTTTCAAGTTGGCAGTTTCCTCTCGCAATGCCTTGATCCTGTCTAGTAACTTGGGGTCTCTAGAGGCCCCACCCAGAGCATCGTGGGAGGCCAGTTTGTCCTCGCATCTGTCCAAGCCGTGTTTAAGATCGCGTAGGTTCTCGTTGAAATCGCCCAAACGTCTCGATTGGTCTTCGAGGGCTTGCGTGCGCAGGATGAGGTCATTGTTGAGTTTCTCCCATCTTTCCTTCAGCTCGAGCAGTTCGTTCTTCACTATGTCCTTGTCGATGTCGCAGGACGACAGGAAGGTGTCCCCTAAGGAGCGGGTGTTTTCATATTCGCCCGACTTCTTCCACACCTCGTTCCTAAAGGCTTGCAGTTCCTTCAGCTGTTTCTCAATGTGTTTTTTCTCGAAGGACTGTAGGCGAAGGGAGTCGATTTTGTCTTCGGCTTGTCTGAGCCATGGCAGGAATGATTCCAGGACGCTGTAGTATTTGCGGCAGTGCTCTTGGCAGGTTTTCAGGCGAGTCTGCCGGTCAAGGGCTTCCTTGCGAAGTTTTTCCCACGATTGCTGGATCTTATCCAGGTCTCGTTGTACGCCTCTGGTGTCAGTTTTAGTGGATCTGGATACCATTTCTCGGCCTTTGTTGAGTAGCATGATAACTTCATGCTCCCGTGCAAGCACATCACGGTAAATGGGCTCATGATGGGCAAGTTGTTGCTCAAGCACATCCCGGTCAGCCGAAATGAGCAGGCGCTCACTCAAAGAGCCCAGTTCATCAGATAGCCAGCCAAGAGTCTTGGCACAAGAGGCCTCGAATTGGCGTCCGTCCCTCAAAGAGCCCTCGATTTCCGCCTTTTTGAGGTCAAGTTTCTTTTGAAGCGCGTTGTATTGGCGGCCGACTGAGGCCAGCTTGCTTTGGATGTCGGCTCTTGACGCCGGATCGCTTAAAACTTCACAGAGTTGTGCACCGTTAGCTTCTAAATCGGCCAGTAATGGTCTCTGGCCTTCTAGTTGCCGCTCCAGATGCTCCACTTTCCTGAGTTGGTCTTCTGGGTTCTTTTCAAAGGCCACTTCGTCTAGGTTATCGGAGATGCCTTGCAAAGCATCCCGCAGTCTGGTCAATTGAGCATCGAACTCTCTGCTGGTGTCGGCAGCTGCCCCAAGCGATTCGGCACGTTCTTCAAGTTTTCCGAGAATGTCGGCCCATCGTTGTTGGATTGCCGTTAATTTTGTGTTGATTTTTTGGTGATCGGGCGACCTGGGCTCTAGATATGAGAGAACGTCGTCGCCGACATCGACCAAATGCTGAAGTTGGGGCTGTTGCGAGCGGAATTCTTCGCGTAGGACTTGCACTTGTTGAACTTGAGACTGCACCATTCTGGAGTCGCTTGAAATGGGGCCGAGCACGGTTAACATGCGCTCTTTAGCTCCCAGCCAGGTTGCGAGCGAATCGTGCGTGTCGTGGAACTCTTTCATGTCTTCCATGAACTTGATACGATTCTTCAGATGGTCGCTAAGACTCTTCCAGTGAGAGAGAACTTCTTCTAGTTCATCGTTGAGATTATCTGCGCCCATTGCGCCAGCCTTTCTCTTCAAGAGGTCCCTGACTTGACTGTTGGTGGTGTCCAAAAGACTTTGCTTCTCGTACATTTCTTCCAGAACATGCTTGATTTGCTTGTTCAGCTTATCTGCTTCGTCTTTGGTGTTGGGAACAACGTCCTTAGGCAGCTGTCGCTGGGTTTTCTCCAGGAAGGCGCTGAGGGTCTTCAAGTTGTCCAGTTGCTTCTTCAGCTCCTCTCGCAGTTGGTCGATTTCGGATTGTCGATCATTAATTTTGACACCCAAGAGCGAGTAGCGATTGTTGATTTCCGATAGCTGTTGCTGAACGGGGGACAGCTCCTCCAAGTGGAAGCCATCCTGGCTGGATCTTCGCGAAGAGAAGCCGCTTGATCCGCCGGGAGAAAGGGGACTCAAGCCCTTAGTTGGCGATGGAGATCGAGCGTCTTGCGACGCTCTTCCTGATAGGCGCTTTGTCGGGCTGTATCCCTTACGTCTCGAAGGCGATTCGGGCCTGTCTCCCCTAATCAGGCTGTCGTAGGCATTGCCGATGTCATTGACTTTGTCGATAGTTGAAGAGTAGCCTTTGTACTCTGAGGATATCGGCTTAAGCTCATCGTGTTGCTTTCTGAGAGTCTCCAGATGAATGGCCACAAGGTCCAAGCGAGTGACTTTGGTTTCCATTCTGCTCAGCCAGTCTAGGACCTGTTCTTTTAAGGTCTCGTACGCGCTGTGCTGTTCGGCGCGCAACTTGGACAATTTTGTCTTTTCCTCCATGAGATTTTCCAGGTCTCGCCATTGGCTTTCCATGTTCTTAACACGATCACGGACGCCTGTTGTATCGGTAACATCCCGCTTGTTAAGCAATTCCTTGCCGATTTGCACGACCTCTTCAAATAGAGCTCTGTTATCGTCCCGATTTCTGGCAATTTCCTTCATCTGCAATGCGTATTGTTCAGCTGGGGCTTTAGCCAAGTCGCGGGACTCGATGATTTCCATGATTTCGCTGTACCATTTCTCAAACTTAAGTGCCTGGTTGTTAAAGGCCACTAAATCCCTGTTAACTTCGCCCAGGAAAACGCCGCGATTCTGCACCCGATCAAACAGCTTCTCGAAACGAGTCTTCACATCGGTCAATTTACCTTCGATCTGCTTGGCCACTCGAGCGTTGCTGGTGGACACAATCAGCTCATTTGCCGACAAATACACGGAGTCAATGGAGGAAATGTGAGTGTCGATATCCGACTGGAACCCTCGGTGTTCTCTCAGCTGTTCCTCCAATCGTTCTTGGATTAGGGATGCGGGTCTTTGCATGTTCTTAAACTGGTTCTCTGCCTGGTTCAGCCAGTCAATGATGCCATCCAATGCATCTTGCACTCCTTGGGACTGGACTAGAGCGGTGTCGAGTTCTTGGCATCGATTGGCGATCGCCCCACTGAGGCTGTTGTATTTGCCTTCCAGGGATTCCACCGGCTCTTCCAATCGGTGGATTTCTGAGGGCGAAATTTGCCCTTCCAGGGATCTCACCAAAGCGCTGGTTGCCTGAAAGAGAATATCAATTGTTTAGTAGCATGTCTTGCGGCAGGGCTTTGAAGTATTAAGTCTCTGCTTTGCACTTTAGAGTTCTAAGAGTTCAGAAAAACTTTTTATTTTTAAACGTCGTATTTATTTTCTCCTCCAAGTCACTTACTGATGTGTAAACGCACTAGATCCAGAACTAATAACGAACGGAAAAGTGAAAGAAAAGATATCTTCAATAATGACTAAAAACGAAAATCCGAAAAATTACTTTCCTAAATATTTCAAAAATTAAAAGGAACACTTGTTGACAACATGTTAACATGAACACGAAGTTCATTTACCTGTTTAGCATTATCAATGAGTTTTCCATTAGCTACGAACTCATTGTTCAAAGCTTTGGCTTTGTGCAGCTGATCTTCCACTGTTTTCGGATCGCCTCCAATTGGTTCGTTGAGCAACTTATTGGCTCTGGGCTCGGCGTCTTTAAGCCAAGTTCTGGCTTTGTCCAGCGCATCGGAATATTCGCGTTGTTTTCCTCCTACGCCTGAAAGTCTGTCGGCCAAGTTGTTGGCCCGATGGAGGAGATCTCGGTATTGTTGAGTGACTAAAGACACCTCACTGCGGACTGGAGAGTCTTGGGAGGATAGCGGCTCAATGTGGGGGAGACGCGATGGAAGCGACGTTCTGAAGTCGTTGAGAATGTTGAGGTATTCCTGAAATTTGAAAGTTTTATGGGGAATTTGCGGGAGTGTGTTGATCGTCTACCTTTCCTTCGTCGACGAACTTTTGGGCAGACATGGTGATGAACCGCAAGTCGGCTTGATGAGCAATAACATCGCTGACAAAGTCCCTGGTGCTGTCGGCGCTTGAGTCCAATCTTTGCAAGTCGCTGAGCGCTCTTTCCTTATCCTCGAGGATTCTTCGCGCTTTTCCCAGCCAAGTGGAGAACAGATTCAGTTCGCTCTTCAACTTGGCCAGCTCATCTCGTGCCGCCAGCTGGCGTCTCAGCAACTTGTCGGTCTTATCCACCGCCTTATCAAAGCGCGTCTTCAGGTTGCGCGAGCTCTTTTCCAGCGCCGACACTTCGCTCTTGGACAAAATGTCCCCAGCAGTTAACACCAGTTGCCTCACTTGATCGCCGCAATGCGAGACTTGCCCGGAGTGCTGCTCCAGATCGTCTTTGATTTGCTTGATGCTGTTGATTTGGTTGCGCAGCTCTTCCTCCACTTCATGAATCACGTCTTGAGAGGCGATTCGGTCCTCGACCTCACCGATCCAATGTAGCAGTTTCGACAACGTTTCGTCGCATAGCTTGTACTTTTCTTGGACGGCTTGCTGCAAATCGGGTTTTGATGGATTAGTACATGCGGAAACGGTCCACTCTCCATCTCTGGATTGATTTTTAGGCGCAGATTGAAGCGGCAAAATCAAGCAAAGATCAGAGTTACCTGATGTGTAATACACAAACTGACGCCACCAGGTGACAAAATGACTGAATTGTTTAAAGTGGTGAATAAAAATTGTATTATTGAGCCAAATGTGGAAAACTAGGAAAAGTGAATGATAGAGTTCAGAAGTTGTTTTTTTAAGACCACAACATACCAATCCCCAATAGCATCCAATTTTCAAAGTTTTCCAAGATTTAGTTCAAGAACACCATTCCAATTTGAAGACAACAGGTGAAGCCCAGATGCGCACATAAAAAGTGATTTAAACAACAATTTTTAGACAATAAAGTGGCTGTTGTTACTTGGTTCGATCTGTGTGTGTAAAACAATTAACAAACATATAAAACTAAACAGTTAAAGGCAAAATGCCCTAGACGTATCACATGCATTCTGAAGCAAGCACACATAAATATGATGTTGTTCGATGTTAGTGAACATAACGAAACAATAATCAATGTTGTTACCTACATGAATGACAATATAGAGAAAACCTGTGAACAGAACTAATTGTTTTAAAATCATCAATAATATAATATAAATCAATAAAATAATAATAATTATGTAGTTTGAATACAATCGTTAATGTTAAATTTTGTTTAACGGATTCTATCTACGTTATTCTGTGGTGTTAAGAGTTGTTACAGAATTGGTTTGTAATCGTTTAATGTGCTTTTGTTACTTAAATTACTACTATTTAATCTACTTTTAAAATATCGGCAGAATTACTATTCAAAAATTACTTGTTATCGAGCCATGATGATGGAGTGTTCAATGTAGCTGATTTAGATTCTAAAGGCGCAGTGCTGGGAATTTAAGTTTTGTGAATTATGAAATGAATGAAGGCGCTTTAGAATCTAAATCGTGAAGCGTATAATGTATTAAAGCCAATCCACGTTACATGGAGTATAAGTGGGTGCAATGCGGCGGTCAAAATGCCATTTTGAATGCACTATGCTGAATACAGGCAGGTACACCGCAACATAAAAATGATAAGCTCTTGGAGGGCTTCAAGCTGTAAAAAATCAGTATGTGTCAGTGGTTTTAAAAAGCTTTCGGATTTGAACGGTTTCATCAACTCTTGTGTATTCGTTTAGTAGAAAAACGGCTTTATCGGCCTATATGACGCGAATATTCCTCACAAAAGTTCCAGTGGCACTATAAAACTTAAATATTTGAAAACTTCATCTAAATCACATAAAAGAACATCAAGTATTGTTGGCGCTAAGCATAATCGACTATCGCGCTATGAACGTGACACAACAGTTGACAAAAACACGTAAATATTAAACATGTGAATGGAATGAATTCGATCTGTATTGAGCAGTAACAGCATGCACGAGGAAAACAACAATAAATAAAGCAACACTTTGAGCATCCCAATGAAATAGTGCAAAATCACTCACCCGTTGTTCGGCTGGAAGGATCAGGCCCTTCTCCAGAGCTTTAACAAAATCGTATTCTTTCTTTTCGACTGTGTCGTGTATCCTACCCGCAACAGCATCCACCACTTTGCTTTCGATTGCTTGCCAAAGTGGCTCAATGGTTCCGCCATCCAGGTCTTTAACCACTGTTGTGCTCGGATCCACCAGATTTTCATCTATAGCCTCCACTAGGGTCAATTTCTTTCGGTCTATAATACTGGTGGTGACAAACGGATCGGTAAAGCAACCGGTGGTCGGATTATAAATTCCGTATACGATGGTTTCAATTAAAGTGAAACCCATGTTGGGCGTTATCAACAGGCCAGATTCTAAGGCTGCAGACAGTGAATACAGTTTGGATGTGGCGCTATCCAGCACATTGCCCTTATCGGCGTCAATCAGACCTTTCCTAAAGCCTTCGGGAAGTTTAATTAGCTTTTTCTTATTGGAATCTTTGAGTAGAACGCTATCCGGATCAACGAACCCAAGGGCGATTGAATCTTTAAGGGAGAGTTCCTCGCTGGTGTTGGGAACCGTGAATTTACCACTAGTAATACTCAAAAGACCGCTATCAACGGCCTGCCTAAACCCAATGGGCTCTTTCAGGTATATCACCAGCAGTTGATCGTAGGTGACCACCAGGGACTTAACTTTACCCGCTTGGACATCGAAAATTACCGTTTTCGCTAAATCTAATTGACCGTCTTTCACAGCTTCCGCAACAGTCTTAAATTTACCCGTTTGTAAGTCTTTAATCACAGCTTCATCCGGATTTAACATATCAAACTTAATAGCTTCATCTAAGGCACATTCGCGCAATTGTCTCGGAGACACTGCACTATCACTTACCACTTTTTGCACAGCTTCTTCTTCCAACGGCTTGGTGAGCGTTATCAGCAGCCCTCTCTTGAAGGCTTCGTCAAAGTTGAAAGTCTTTTTGGATTTTGAGTCGAGTACTCGGCCCTTTTCTATGTCGATTTTTCCTTCCTCTATGGCCAAAAGTAGCGACTTTGTGGTGTTGTTAGTCGCATCCTTAAGGGCGGTGGTTTGAGAGTCGATGAATTTGTTCTCCAGGGCTTGCTTCAAGTCGTAGAACTCGTTGTTAACTGGATCAGCAAACTTTCCGGAATCCGGCCGGTAAAGGGAGTTTCGGAGGGTTTCCTCGAGAGTCAAAGGAGTGCGCGCCGTCACTATCAAGCCCTTGTTTCTAGCCTCGATCAGATCGATAGTTTTTCCATGAGGAAACACGTAGGTGCTCAATTGGTCATCGATTAATCTAGTTTCAATTGCCACGGGCAACTGGACGTATTTGTTGAGTTTGCTGTTCTTAACCAGAGACGTGACCGGGTTAATCAGCTCGTTTTCAATAGATTCGCTCAGGTTGAATTTCCGGCCGCTGGCCGGGTGCACAAACACTCCTTCTTCTGGGATGTAGAGCCCCAATTCCAGTGCCTCGGCCAGGCCGAAGTTGGCTGACTCGATATCAACAATCAGCCCTGCGTTCAGCGCTTCGGTAAGTTTGATGGTTTTCTCGGTGAACGGCTCCTTGAACGTTCCACTGCGCTTATCAATTATCCCCAACCGGCAGGTTTCCGTCAGGTTGTACAACCTACCTTCCCTTCTATCCAGATAGCATGGCAGCAGGGGGTTAACATTGAAGTTCCTGATCGCTTCATGCAAAGTGACCTTCCGGTCCGTTGACGGGTCCAAAATCTTTCCAGTAGTTTCGTCGTAGAGGCCTTGATGAATTGCGCGCTGAAGCGAAATGGCTGCTTTGTTGTCCACCAAAATCCCCATATCGAAGGCCTTTTGCAAGGACACCTCGAAGTTTTCGCCTTTGGCGAAATCCCGCACCTTTCCAGTATTGCCGTCCACGTAGTTGTTGTGGATAGCGTCAATGAGGGAAATTTTCCTCCAGATTCCCACTCGCGTATCCTTGACGCTCACAGATTCGGCATCAATCAGGCTTATTTCAATGGCTTCTATCAGAGTTAGATATTGACCGGTTTGCGGGTCCAAAAACAGTTGCGTCTCCTCGTCGTAGATGCCCTTGGCTATGGCCTCACTAAGTGGAATAGGAGGGCGAATCTCCACCAGAAGCCCCCGCTCAAACGCTTCATTAAAGTCCACATGTTCATTGTAGCTGAGGATGAATCCTTCGTTGGTATCAATCACACCCTCGGTCACGGCCTGGTCAAAAGTCACAATCTCTTCATCAATAGTTACCAAAGTGCCGGAAGTATCCACATAGCCTCGGTTAATCGCACTGGAAGCCTTCAGCCGTTCTTTGTTCTTGGGATTAATGAACTTGCCAGTCGTCGGGTCGTAAAAGCCCTTGAAAACAGCTTCAGGTAGAGTTATCTGCGTCTTGTAAGGCACAATCAAGCCCCGCTCTTGCGCTTCCACCAAATTCATTTCCGAGTTGGAAATCGGATCGTAGGCCTGCCCTTTGACTGGATCGATCAGCTTCAATTGGATTGCTTCATTCAGTGTGATGATTTCGCCAGATTTCGGGTCCTTCACAGTTAAAACGTTGGGATTCACTATGCCGCCCTCAATGGCCTGGCTGATTGTTACGTTGGAGTCGTTGAATACTATTTGGCCTGACGTAGAGTCATAGACGTTCTGAGCCAAAGTCTCCTGAAGCGACCAGGGCAAGACTGTGCTTAATATGTAGCCCTTCAAATAGGCCTGGTCCAAAGTCAGCGGCGGGTTGGTTAAAAGCCCCTTTTCGGCATCGATAAGGCTGCTTTCCACTGCTTCGTGTATCTCCACAATGCGCCCTCGTCTGTCGTCCTTAATTCTCGTTGTAACTGGATCGACTAGTTTGTATTCTATCGCTTTGGCGAGCGTGATTTCATCTCCAGTGATCGGGTTCATAATCAGCCCCGATTGGGGCGAGTAATAATTGGCCAAAATCACTTGCAGCAAATTGAACACCACTGGTTTGGTTCTAATCAGCTGCAATTCCAGAGCTTTATCAAATGGCACCAATGCTCCAGCATTGGTGTCCATCATCCGACCAGTCTCAGCATCAATGACTTTATTCGCAATCGCGTCATCCAGAATGATAAAAACGTCTTCTTTGGTGTCTTTGATTTCGCTGATTTTCGCATCGACTATCTGCCGTTCAATGGCCTCTTGCACGGACAGCAACTGATTGGTCAACGGATCTCTCATTTTGAACGATTCGCTGTCGTACATGCCCTTATGGATGACCGCTTGTAGGGAAATAGGCCTGGGAATGGCCAGCACCAGACCAGAGAGGAAAGCTTCGGAAAACGGAATAATTTCTTGCGTTGCCGTATTCACCACCAGACCACGTTGAGGATCGACGATCTGTTTATCCACTGCTTCGTAGAAGGGCACCAGTTGCATGTTCTTCGGGTCTCGAATAGTTACCGACTTCGGATCGACGATATTCGCGTTCAAAGCCTTGATTAGTGGCAGTGTTTCAGTTGCAGTGGCCACTTCCACTTTTTCATGATCGAATTTCTCAGTTTTTACAATTTCCTGGAGCGTTATCGGCTTGAATTTCTCCTTGGGCTTGTCGTCCACATGGATGATCCATCGCAGCTTGACCGCTTCAAAGAACGGCACTCTTTTGCCGGTTTTCGGATCCACCATGTATCCAGTCTGGCGATCCAACAAGGGTCTTTGCAAGGCTTCATGCAAAGTCACATAAGCGGCCGGTTTCTTGGTCAGGTCCTTTACCAGGACGGTGTCTGGATCGATAACTCCTAGTTCGTAAACGAGGTCTTCAAAGGTGATGTGGGCTCCTGTTTGGGGATCAATGAAGAGCCTTCGCCGCAAATCGTAATACCCCAGTTCGGCCAATTTCTGCGCCGTCATGTTTTTGGAAATGGAAATGACTGCAGATTTGTGCACGTCCACTAGAATGACTCTGTTGTTGGACACTATTTGGATTTCATCCAGAGGACCGATTTTGTTCTGCGACAAGCCATCTTGCACAGTGTAGGGCAGCTCAGAGTTGCCGTAGATTATTCGGCAGGTTTTCGGGTTGATTAGGTTCTGAGAGATGGCGTCCCCAACAGGGAGGATTTTGACAATGTCCGGGCTAGAAATAATGGACTCTTCCTTCTTAATAACATGCACCGTGGAGGTTTTCGCTTGCGCACTGTCCACTGTTTGAATAGTCATTGCCTTGCGTTCCTCTTGCACCTTTTTCACTTCTTTTTCCTTTTCCAGCTTCTTTTTCTCTGCATAGTCTTTAACGGCATTTACAGCTGCAACTCCCGCAGCAACTGGCGCTATGACCGGCAACGCCAACCCTCCGAGCACTGCAATCAGCCCTTTCTTGGTTGCCTCCTTAAAGTCGATGCTTTTTCCAGATTTTTCGTCCTTAATCCTGCCGGTCTCGCTATCGATGAGCCCCTTATCGACAGCCGCAGCAATTGAAATGGTTTTCTGTGCAGCCACGTCGTAAATTATCGAGTTCGGGTCGATTATGTCCCTGTCCAAGGCCTCTTTGAACGTCACTTCTTTGTTCTCGGTCAGATCGAGGAACTTTTCGGACTTTGAATCGTAGATGGTTTCAAACGCCTCTGAAATGTTGAGCTCAGTGGACTTGGAGGTGCTGACTGAAGATTCGCGCGATTCCTCGGTTATTTGGGGAGTGGCGGATATTTTTCCCTCTTGCAGCGCCTGCTGAATCGGAATGGACTCTCCGGAATTTGGATCTGTGTACGTTCCGGCCTTCATATCAACCAGTCCTTTATGCAAAGCATCCGAGAATGACATGTGGATGTCTTTGATGATGGTTTTATTCTTCGTTTCTTTCACGTCCTTGATAATTCCTTGCTTCTTGGCTTCTTCGATTGAAAGAATCTGACCGGTTGTGACGTTTTGCACCTCCTGGTTGTTCAGCAATGCATAACCCGATAATATTTCGATGGTCTTCGTCGTCACAGTGTGAATCGTGTTGACAGTTTCGGTCACTGTAGTCACTGGGGGTTTGGCGCTGAAGTATACTGCGCTTGTGGGTTCCTTGATTATTAACATGCCCTTTTCCACTGCTTCCGACACTGGGTAGGTTTCACCGGATTTTGGGTCCTTGAAGGTGCCAGCGTCTGTGTCGATTAGCTGGGACTCCAATGCTTCGTCCAGCTTGACTCCTTCTGGCGCTGGAGGGAATGGCAAGGACATTATAAAGTTGTCCTTGATGGCCTCACTAATGGAGATGGACTCTTTCGTAACCGGGTTTATAATGTGTTTGGTATCGGAGTCAACCAGCCCTCTCTTGATGGCCACGGACAAAGTCATCCCGGCAGGCGGCAACTGTAACGGCCCTTTGGGCGTTGCCTCGTCAAACACCTTGTCTTTAACGGCGTCTTCCAGATTTTTAGCTCCGCTCTTGGTTTCCACTACCGATGTTTCATCATCAACGACGCCACTTTCCAGCGCCTCACTTAGCGTAACTTTATCACCAGTTTTTTCCACTAGCGTGCTGAGTGGGTCGATAATATCACAGATTATTGCTTCGCTGATGCTTAAATGAGCCCCCGTTTCCGGATGCACAACTTTCTGAGTCGCAGGATCCAGTAGGCCCTGTTTGATCACTTCTGGAATGGATAGGCTGCGATTTAAAGGCACTAGAATCTCACTGGAACCATCGGGGTCTAGAATGCCGCGTTCGATTGCTTGACTAATGGTCAATTGGTCGCCTCTCTGAGGGTCGATGATGATTCCCTGGTTTCCGTCGACTTTGTTTGCTTCCAAAGCCTCCTGTAGTGTTAGGGTTTCGCCCTCTTCGGTTATAAAGTTGGCTTTATCTGCCAGTAGGGAAACGGCTTCGGATTCGAGCAAGCCGGTTTTGGCTGCGTCTTCTGGCCGGACGATTTTCCTTCGCAGCTTTTGTAGCACGACCTTCTTGGCCTCTCGGTCTGGGCTCAAAGATTGCGCTCTGCCGATTTTCACTCTGTAAGTGGGCTCAGTGGTAATTCGCGCTCGAGTCTTGTCGGCCTCCGAAGGCCCGCTTTCGTCACTCAGACTGATGGTGGCTGTGTCCAGAAGTTTCACTTTTTCCTTGTTTTGCTGCTCCAACTCCTCCATCTGTTGTGGAGTGATCAGGCCTTGCTCTAGAGCCTCATGGCTGGTGTAGGTTTTTCCAGTTTTCGCATCGGTTACTTTCAAACTGGTTCTGGTCACGGTGGTTGTGGTGGTTATGGGCTGAGAGTTTTCCACCAGTTCAGACTGCATTTTTTCGTAAGTTGCCAAGTCGATCAGACCCTCTTGCAGAGCGACTTCGGCGGGTATTTTTTCCCCGGTTTTTGGGTTGACTACATATAAGGTCTTGATGGTTTTTACCACGGAAGTGACTGCTGCTATTGGGGCGCCGACTACGGTGATAATTCCGAATCGAGCCGCGTCTTTTAGGGACATTTTCTGCCCCACTTTGTCTCTGTATTGTTCCTTTTCCGGGTCGACGATGTTGCGCCTGATGGCTTCTTTGATTTCCATTGGTTTGCCTGTGAATGGGTCGGTGACTTTAACCAAATCGGAGGAAACTTTGTTCTCGAGCACGGCGGTGATTAGATCAACGGCCTGGTTCTTGTCCGGGTAAACAACTGCGTTGATGGAGGGATCGTAGATGATGCCCGGTTGCAACTCTACCGGCTCAGCTGTTCCGGTTTGGGCAATTTTCACCTCCGTGTAAACTGGCGGGTTTTTGTCCAACACTGCGGATACTTCCACTTTAGGCGGCTGGCCTTCGGATTTGGTGATTTGCAGCAATCGTTGAGATTCAGCCATTTGTGTGGAGTCTTCGAGGATAATAAAGCCGCGGTTAATTGCCTCTTCTATTGTCAGCTTCTCGTTGCCGATTCTGTAATGGCCAGTGCTGTCCAGGATCTTTTTATCCAGCGCTTTGGTTATGCTCATTTTCCTCTTGCTGATTGGGTCGAGAACAGTGGCGGAATTCGAGCAAATTAGCTTTAAGTTGACGCATTCCTCGAAGCTGGCTAGTCGATCAGTTCCGGGGATAATAAAGAGGCCGGTGACTGGGTCGAAGAGCTTCTGGTTGATGGCATCTGAAAGCAGCCAGCCTTCGCTGGGCAGTTCGTAGACTTGCTTCTCCGAGGACTTTTTCTCGGAATAGAGGGATTGTTGGTCGACTTGCATCGACTCTCGGTGAATGTTCTCTGAAGACTTTTTCTCCGAATAAACCGTTTGTTGGTCGATTTGCATCGACTCGCGATGAATGGGGACTTCTTTTCTACTTACTATCGTAATCACAGCCGAGCTCTTAGGAGCGATCACTTTTTCGGAACTGTCCACATCAGGAGCCAGACGGCCCTCACTGATCGCTTGGACGATTGGAATGACTTGATGCGTGATTGGATCGGTGAAGGTTTGCATTTCGTTATTAATTAAACCTAATCGTAAAGCTTCGGTATAGGTGATGATTTCCTGCTTCACGTCTTTGCTGGTTACAGTAACATAGCGTTGCACTAAAGTGCGAGTAATGCGCGTGGACACGTTTAAGTTCAAAAGGCTGTTCAAAGTGGCTGCCCCTTCGGGGGTAATCAGATGTTGAGCGATGGCTTCCTTAAGATAAATCACTTTGTTGGTTTTAATGTCTATTAAGTTGCCGTTTTTCGGGTCAATGTGCCCCTTGAAAACCGCCTCTAAAACGTTGAGTTCTTTGCGATTCTCGTAAATACCTACACCGCGCGTTAACATTTCATGTACCTCGGGTTTCACTTGACCGGACTGAATACCTTCGGTGAAGGTGATCAGCTTGCCGCTCTTCTTATTCACTAATAAGCTACCGTCGTGTTTCTTACTAATAAAGCCCTTAGCGATCGCTGCATTGAAGCTTATATGGTCGGATTTATCGGGGGGCTGGAAGCCGTCGACGTCGAAAATGGATTTTTTAACTACGGATATTATGTAGCCCCTACTTACCGCTTCTTGGATTGTCAAAGTTTCGCCCGTTACGGAATTTCGGAATTTGCCCTCCGGTAAAATGATTCCCTCACGTAATGCGTCGTTGAGGGTAATAAGGTCGTTAGTGCGAAAATCGACGATGCATTTAACTTGATCAATGTCCAAAACGCCCCTATTCGCCGCCTCCAGAAGAGTCAATCTCGACTGGTGCAGCGGGGACAAAATCTTACCTTCCTCATCCATTAGATTATCGTCGACGACTTCTTTTAGAGTTTTCGGTTTAACGATCAGCTGCCGCCGCTTGGCCTCGAGCAGAGAAACTTTCTCGTGGCCCAAGACGAATTTGCCTAACTTCGGATTAATAATACCCCTATCTAAAGCTTGGAGAACGGTAATTTTCGAGTCCGACTTCTGTTCAACGATTTCCCTCAAATCCCCTTCGACGATGTTGCATTTGGTTGCCGCATCGATTTGATACTTGTTCCCGGTATTTCTGTCGATAATCCACCCGGTAACTTCATCAATCAACCCCTGGGTTATCACGTCAGTTAATGCCAAAGCCTCGGTTTGTAGCTTGACTTCCGTATGCTGTAGGAGGTAGCCTCGTTTGTACGCCTCTTTAATATCGATTGTTCCGCCAGATTCCAATCGATACGTGCCAGACGTTACATCGACTTTTCCATCATCAATGGCTTGATTAATTGTCATGGAATGTGATACCTTCAGCCGCTTTTCTGATGGGTCGATCAGGCCTTGTTCTGCTTCGAAAATGTCTTTCTGGATTGCCTCAAGTAGGGTCAGCTCGTGCCCATCTTCTTTGATACCGCACGGACTTTGAAGCTTATCGGCCACCTTCGGTTCGATGAGGCCTCGCGTTTTCGCTTCTTCAATGCTTATTTGTGTGCCATCAGGCGAGGCGATTATCGTGCCAGTTCGCACGTCCAGAATTCGCTCCAAAATCGCATCTCTCACCGTCATCTGCTCGCCAGTGTATGGATTGATAATACCGGCTATGTCGGTGATATTTTCCGTGCCGATACCTTCGTGCACTTTATGTACCCGTTTCAGCGACTTGATTTCGGTAAATTGCATGGAAGTACCCCAATTTTGGGGCCCTTCTTGAATGATTTGCGTCAGGGTGGTGTGTTTATCGGGCGGTCGACCGTTCGCGATTTTATCCGTCTCGTCGGTCGATTGATCTTGTTTGTTCTCGGATATTTTGATGGTGGTGCCATTTTCCGATCTCGACGATGATGACGATTTCGTTGTTTGAACGAATCTGTATCAAAGTGAAATTGATCGTTGCATCGAGAGCGAATTACGGCTTTAAAATTAAACTTACTGTTTGCTGTAGTGCGTTGTGGTCGTGTACGTTGAAGTATGCTCGCTCGCACTGCTCATGTGGAACTCCGTTCTGAATGTCCGGAAAGGCTGAGGCTGCATCTGCTCGACCAACCTCTGGAATTTCCAAAAAAAGCGTGTGTAAATACAAAATTATTCTCGGTTAAACAAAAAAAAAATGTTCTGTAGCATCTCTAAGAATTCAAGCCGCAATTTTATATGATAGATTCTATCTAGTAGACTATTTGAATAGTTAAACTGCTTAAATTTGAGGAAATTTGCCAAACATTTACAGTAAGCTSAATAKGTTTGCAAGACGCTATCCTTTTGTCTGCGCTGCAACCGACCTCGGATGCGCCCATTTATCTGATTTTTTGACGAATCTACTTTTYGTGTCAATSGTGAAATTAACAAGTAAAATTTTCGGTACCTGGCAAGTGAAGTGGATGTCKATGCAAACCCAGTGAATATATTTAGATTTTTCGTAAAATGACTTAATCCCATGTTTSGCTCTTTTGTATCAAAAATGATCCAGATATATATAATTGAGAGGTTTGAAGGGACTTAAATAACGCCTTTCCAGGTCGATGAATAGAAAAGCGCGAACCAATAGGATGGACGACAAGATCGCCTTATTTGAATCATTCGGACTTTTTTTAGGGATATGCCTTCTTATAAGAATAAACTTAATATAATTGAGAAATTTAACAATCGGATCCGAATGGTTGTTAGCAATATTTCCACAGAGAAGATTAATAACGTCCAAAAAGATTTTGTCGATAGATTAGGAGTTGGGAATTTGTTAAACTTTAATGCTGGAAATAACCCCGTAAATGTATTTTCGTGGTCAGAATCTATTGTGATCTCTGAATGTTTTTATATCATTGGATAGAGAATTGGTAATTCGATTCAGTTATAATAACGTGCGTGAGTAAATTCTGGTTAATTTATCACAAAAAGTCATATGAAATTTGAATATCAGACATTTAGGTGCAAGTTTACACCAAAATTTCAATAAAAAAACATTTTCTCCAGAATGGGAATTTTTCAAATGTATACTGGCTTGTAGTAGTAGTGAGTCGGAGTTTTTTATTGAAGAGTATGCAGTTGCGTAAAAGAAGCGCGCAAAATTTATTCGTTTTCGAGTATTTTTCGTTATAACTCACTTTCGCGTCTCATTGTGCCGCACTTTGAATTGCGCTTAGCATTTAACCCAGGGGAGGATGACAGTTTTACGAGGCCCGGGGCTGGAATTTTAACACCTAACAAAAAAAAGGTCACCAGATTTTTAGGAGCGACATTTTACCAAATGAGTGACTGCAACGCAACTGCGCCGGTGCATTGGGTTGGCGCAACAAGCCATTTCCGAAACACTGCGCCAACTCCTGAAATTTAACTGAGTTAAAGTCAAATTTTCGCTGTCATTAGGTGAAACTAGTGAGTTTTTCGAACTTTAAGGCAGTGGTTTCAAAGTTTGAAACACTCAACGGTTGCAAGCAAGTTTTTCTTTCTGTAGGAGTGCTTGGTAGGGAAATGAGAATAAATAAATTTCTCTTGTAACCCGATTTTCCAGTTATTTCAACCTTCCCAGAGAATTCGCTGATAATAAATTAAATAACGAAAACCACTTGCTGTGGTCAGTGAGTGCATATTAAATTACCCCGTATCAGGCTACAGAACCACAAACCTGATGAAGTAAGGCGATTAATTACGTTTAGAATTTTTTTTTATAATTAATCTTATGTAAATACTCATCAGTATGTGCAATAGCTAAAAATAGCAGATTTTTTGAGTGTTTTCACTTGCTTCAATGTTTTGAATGCTTTTGCTTTACTACAAACCTCTCCAGCCTCAGATAGTCGTAGATGGCACATGAAGGAATTTTAGTTCCTTTTACTCCGATAAATGCCACAAAAATATGCAAATTGCAATAATTTATTACCATAGACTGACTAGGAAGCCACATTTCGAAACATTTCATACCTTTAAGTATGTTGAATTCAATTATTGCAGTTAAAATTAATTTCGTAGCCTCTAAGAAGATAAAAACCTTGACATTTTACGCACAAACATCAATCAATCTGTTGAAATAACTCTAGGATTTTGCGAAAATCCTAGAGTTATTATTGGCAAAACGATTTCATTTGAGGATTTAGTTGCGAAATAAATAATTTGTTACTGGCGTACGCACGTGTGTACAAGAAAACAACCCAACAGGTTTGCCAAATTAGGAGTGAAAAGCCTGCCAAATTGGGAGATAAAAAGGAAAATCTAGGGCAACCAATTGTTTTAATCCACAGAGAAGTTATTTCTGTATTGGTAATTTAATATATTCTGTATTTTTGAAGTCAATAAGATTTTAGCATATTAATCGGTTGCATTGAACGGTCTGGAAATGTTCAAGCCGCTGATATAAAATCCAATTTATAATAAAACATTTCATCATTTAATCGCTTATCAGTAAACCGACAAAAATATCATAGACCAACAGTTGCGGTGTGGGTTTTGCTTGGTCTTGGGCAACTTGCTTTCGAGTGGGAAGCCAACATTTACAGCCATTTACGAAAGTTTGGCGGTATCTACTTTACATAGCCAGTTACTGTCGTCTTGACTAACTTCTCACCTTCGAAACTAATAAAAATACCTATTCTGCCATATACATGGATAAATCAACAAAAGATACTTGAACTCAACTCGATGCGTATTAAGTATTTATAGCCATTCAGTCACATCGGGGGAATTGAAGTTCAAACGCACTTGAACTTCAGCAGAAAAGTACACAGCGCACTTTTGAATATTTAAAAATGAAAATTCGTTTGCTAGGCAAATGAGCTTTCCGTTCAGGTAAATAAGCCGGGTTCTTATCACAGGTATATTCAAACTATGTTTGTATTCCTAATTTAAGCAGTGATGTCACCCTATTAGGTTAAACACAGTTTATGAGCGCATTTATGCAAAATTTATCAACAATTTCGATGATTATCTCCATTGCATAGGTATATGAAAATAACACCCCAACAATATGTTCTTGTCGACAATAAAATGAGTGAAAATATATTCATAGAGGGCAAAAGTGAATGCAGTTGCAGTTGAAATCCAGACCATTTAAAATGAATACATCGAAATAAAGTTTCCTAATAAAAATAACAATCGTGCGGGCAAACATTTCGGTGTCCCAATCGCAGTTGAAGATTCCATTATGTAAGATAAAAATGATAACAGCTGGAATGTTCCATTCAAGCATTCACATGCTTGCGAAATTGACTGAATGGAAAACATGTCGCGACCCAAAACAAAAGTCCACAGGCAAATCATTGATCCTGMTGACAACATGTTAGAGCGGATCGAAATAAAAATATCCAAAAGTTGGCGCTATGCCAGACGTGCCAGAAAACGATCCAGACAGTTTCAAAGACTTAYCGGCAAGGGGCTACTAGCAAGTGTTTTATTTATTTGGCAATGGAGAAACATCCCTTGTAATTTTCAATTCSGTTGAAGAAAACATTCTCATAAAATTTTATTCTAATTGTTAATTAATCAACGAATAACTATGCGGAAAATACCAAAAGRACAAAATGGACTAACTATTTAAAGTTCGGTTGTGTTATTTAGGTTAGAGCTTATAAGTTTGAACAGTTTTTAATTGAGATGCATGCCACTACTCTCCAACCTAAATGCGCTTGAGCTTTTTAATGCAATTTAATCCCCATAAAGCCATACAGTAACTTTATCCTCTGAGCTTTTAGATTAAGGAAACTCGTAACTATTTACACCTGCTGGTTTTAGTTATAAATTTCGATCGGGAATTCCGATATAGATTTCATCAATTGCTTACAATTAAAATACCCGGGTGCCGGTAGTTGATTACCGATTATTGCTGAAGTTATTTGGTTGAAATATAGTTCAGGGTTCAATGTGGTTGTTGAATAAATATTCTGTTATTATTACAGATATTTTTAGAGAAACGAATATAAAATATTTCAAGCTAATAAAATATAATAACAACTTGAGCGTGTTTATGTTTCAACAATCGATCTTAAAGGAAAAGAAACTTTTGATTGTTACACAAAGCGTTAAAAAAGAACAATCAGGTGTTCAAAATAACTTATCGCACAGAATAATTATTAAGCAACGAAAATATTAAATGTGAAATAGCAACAAACGCCCAACTCTTTCGACTCAAGACTTTGTTTCTCGATTTGGGGCCTAAAATACGTGCAGGAAAAGCGAAATTCAAAAAGATTGAAAAGGGTGAAAAATACCAGAAATTCTCAATAAAGATTCAAGTACTACGATAACAAAAACAATTCAAAATAAAAAATATTTACGAATCCAAAAACTCAATGACTTGAGGAATTGAGGAAAATTGATGAACTAAATTTAAACATAGTTCGTTCATGATTTATATTAAACATTGTGATCTTCCACGTAACAAACAATAAGCCATCTAGCAATTATTAAACAATTTCAAAAATTTACTTATGAATTATAAATATTAATTAATCATAATTTGACTTATCATTTCTAGATCGTGATCAGTGTTTATATAAGAGTAAATCTTTGAAAATTTGGTAATTTGTTAAAAAAAAACTATCTAAGATCTTTGCAGCAATTTTTTAGACTTCATGGTTAATATTTTCATATATAATATATAATAACGTATAAGATATATTAATATTTTTCCTTTGCATCAATTATTTAACGGAGTGGCACGATAAACAGGAAAAAAATTGCCCCATTTATAGGCCGAGGAAACTCTTTTCCTTCTAACCAGGGCACATAATTAATAGCCCTAATCGACAAGGGTGGTTTTTGAAGGTGAAATTCCCGTTGGTTTGAGTAAAATTAGTAATCCATGACACGCTTCGAGTAGTAGCTAGATAAAAATTCCGAATTTCGCTCTTATCAGACCATCGGATGAATGAATGGAACTTGGAATTATTCTGAACTTTTCCTGTTTAGACTTTAGTATCGATGACTGGCGCTTACCCAAGGAACGTTGGACAATTCATGACGAAAATCGTACTCTCGACTCATTTTGCAAAATCAGTCACAATTCTCAAATAAATTATAAAAAAATCCGCACTCAACTATATGGAGCACTGACACATCGAATTAAATAATTAAGCGAAAAAAACTTAGTCTTAAAAGCATATGGTTCACGTTCGGGTTTCGACTGTTTCGAAAATCATTTTTCCTGAGTCGTTCGGAGCGGTTTTCACACTCCCGATCGCGATTCGCTCAAAACTGACAATTTCACCGTCATAACGATAAAATCCATTCACGATCGACCGGCTGAATTGCGCCGACCGCATGCGAACTCGTCCAATGCTCTACGACGACTCGCCAGTTCCACTTCAACAATGTGTATTTTTAGCGTTGATCGTATTGTTGAATTAATTACCACCGAAATCAATTAGCACATTCGCTTCGGAACAAGTTTCTTCAGATTTATGGTGAAAATAAACATGTGAAGTATAGGGGAGGCACTCTAAGTGCTGCTAATAAAACCAATCAACTTTATTTCCAATTTGTTTTTTTTTCAAAAAATGTAATGTAAAAGTACGAAAGTGTTTTTTTTCTTTGTTTCGTAAACATTTCACAACAAACGCGCGCGAGTGAGCCTACATTAGTTTATGTGAAAAAATTGATCCAGTTTGCCACATTAGAAGCTTCTTTTGTATTGTTTCTGAGTGTTTGATTTATTCGAAAGTGGGGTTGTTCCGTTGGAAATGGCAATGAAAACCTAAATAACATGAAAAGCACGAAAGTTTGTAACTTTTAAACTGTAATAACCAATTCTGGGCACGACGCAGCAGTTAAACAACAATATTATGTTAATGGCTCAACAGTGTCTTCTTGCGTAACTATCAGTGCCGTGGAAGTGTTTTTAGCATACGAAACTAACGAAAGGATTTGGAGTCAATATCGTCTTACAAAAAAATTAACGCCCTTATCAAAGCAACCAAAGCCTCATCAACATAATAAATCAACCTTTTCCAGAACTGAAGGGTTTCGGAACAATTCGGATTTAAAATTGCTCTAGTTTTAGAGCAATTTTAAACACGTCTGGTATTGATGAAGGAGCTGGTCAAAAAATCAAAAGATCAAAATTAAGTTGTGAATAATGTGCAGACCTAGGAAATGAGCAGTAAAAAAATTACATCAACAGGCACAAATGAAAAACTAGTTCAGGCAAACAACATATCAAAAGCAGGCAAAAATAAAAAGGAAAAATACTGAATGCCTGACAAAATTCGAGTTAAGGCTCAAATGGCTGAATGGAGAAAGAAAGCGGCAAAAGTCACTGGAACCCAAGAAATCAAGACGGAATACGCGAGGTAAACAATCAGGCAAGTCAACGACTACAAATCTGCAGAAAATGTGAACTTTTTCAAGCTAAAGCTGGAAGTTTTGTTGATTGATAAAAATTATGAAGTAACGACAGGAACTTAAAAAAAACATCATTAAATACACCTAAAGGGCACCAAATAAGAATATAATATGGATAAAAACAAAAGCCAAGAAAAAAATTAAAAGTAAATATTCCAGATGTTTCACAAAATGTTGCCTTAATGGAACAAACAAAGTTACCTGAAGGAACTGCAGATATAATTAACGAAGAATGTCGAGGAAAAAATGGACAAACAAAGCTGCAAAGAGTTTTGGATAAATCGCATGTTGAAACTAAATGCGAAAGTTTTAGCGATCCAAAAATATTTAAGAAACGATAGAATTCCTAAAAAACGACATCAAATGCACATAACAAACACAATTATGGATAAACAAGACGATATCAAAAACCAGATAAAAAAGCAAAAGGAAAAATTCCAGATTGTTCAGAAAATTTGACCTTAACGGAACAGGGAAAGTTGGTGAAAGACTTTTTTTTAATTAGGAAGGAAAGTGCTAAGTAAAACGTCGGAAAGTTAAAGAAAGCGAAACTCAAGATGAATGTGAAGTGTGAAGAAAAATGCCAAGTCAAGTTACTTGCCATCAAAACATGAAAGAAGCGGCAGGAATCTAAATAAACTAAATGAAAAAAACATGGATGAGAAGTTAGTTTTCCAAAATAAAGACTTGAACAATAAGAAAGTTCTTAATGCTCGAAAGTTACAGCAAGAAACGAAATAGAGCCAATAACGTAAAAATCGTCCAACGGAACATACAATTTATATTTTTTGCTTAACATAACACCTTGCATAACATAATACACTTTTCGTATAAATGGAAGTTCCTTTCGATTGTCTTCTAATTTTTCTAGAGATAACAGCCCGAATTGAACTTGGGAATTTCTTGAGTGGATTTTTGTGTTAGTTTGAATCAGTTTCACAAATCTTCTTAACACTAATAAAAGCCGTTTTATCTCAGTCCCGAAAACGAAAAACATGTACGTGTCATTCGTTCTAATCTAGAAGTTTTAATTGCGCCGATAAAAATAACAATTTCGCCTGTTTTAAGCCTATTTATAAACTATGGCCGATAAAGTCAATCATGTGAATTGTACCTGAGTGTAGTTCAGCATTCACACACAGTTTGAGCGCCGTACTTTGCCTGTGAGTGGAATCAGAATACGAAAATAGAGCGATAATAACAGGAAAAGAATCGGAAAAAATTTGGTCAAATGCCTGGGGAATGTTTGCCGAAAAAGTGATGCCAATTCTTTTTATATCCGTGTGTAATTGTCCTTATGATCCTCTCGTGATGTGGTGGTCAGGTAAGTTGTAGAAATAATCGCCGACAACTTTCCAGAATAGAATATTTGCGTTGCTGATTCCACAGAGTCGAGAATAAAAAATTGGAAACGGGGAGAAATGGTTGATAACCATTTGGTAGAACTAGAAACCAGCAATTTTCATGACCCAAATTCAAGCTGCTGGCTACTTGTTTGCCGTCTACATTCCTCATCTTTGAGATCACCCACCTTAATACCACATTTTCCAACCTTGTCGGACAAGGCAGGTGGGCGCTAGATGCAGACCCGAAGCCCTTTCCTATCGCTACCATAATGGGAGAAGTGGCGTGGGCCCAAAATTACCATAGATCGCAGTAAAAACGTATCAACAAAGAACAAGGTAGATATTTTGCAATGAGTTATTGCCCCAGACTCGTGTACAGGGTGTGCCAATGCGGAACTGGCGCTTACTTGGCTCAGAAGTGAAGACTTGAAAAAAAAACAGCTGCATTTCACTGTGGGATAATGCAAAGCCGGACTGGTTTACTAGTTGTTGGTTGGAGCTTTACAAACCGTTTTCAACGGTACTGTTTAACTATTACAGGCCAAGAAACATGAACAATTTGGGTAATTAATATGCCCCGCGGAAACCTGCTTAGGAACGTATGGTGGAAAATGTAACAGAAAAATATGTAAACGGAGTGAAATAATCACATAAAAACGTGGCGTTTAATTTGAATAAAACACTAATTAATAAGACTGATTATAAAGGGTAATTAAATAATCTTCAAGCACGCTTGATTTTCACTGTAGGCGTTGAAATTGAAAACATGTTTGCTTTTGAGCAAATTAAAGCTAATAGGGGATGTTGATGCACAATATTCATTAGTTCCACAGCCTTGACATATGTTAACTGGCTGCTAAAAACAAATATTTTCATACATTTTATCAATATTTACGGCTCCGAATATACAGCTTTTTTCCTCAAGCCTTGGCAAACGTCAGCAAACCATGGAGAGCATTGATTGCAATGGCTAAACAACATTTCGCGAATATGTTTAATATAATACATACCTATTTGGCGGTGAACGAGTAGAAGAATGGCCATTGCGTTATTATAAATAGCCTTAATTAGTGTTATTAAATAACAGGGTCGAACATGGTTTCGACAGCGATTTTACTCAGTATGCGAAAATACGTAACATGGATTCCGTTGGTTAATGATCAATGGTCGACAGAGCATAAATTTGATACTAAATTATTCCGAAATCAACCCGGCGGTTGTGGAAAACATGTTGCTTTTTTTGGAATAGAATATTATAAATATGTTTTCCCTTCGGGTTCAGTTAATGGTCAAAAAAGCACCGTCTGATAGTGTTTCTTTCCCGTTCTACAGAGCTTGCGTCTTCCAAAAATGTCTTTATATTGCCAATTTTCTGTGCTTTTAATTAGAACATCCACATATTTACTGGAAAAATACTTTTTGACTTTTCAAACTTATATTTGTGTACATATATGTATTTATTGATTTTTCTTCTAAATACATATTCTATACGTATTTATTGATTTATAGATTTGACTCTCTCACTTCCTGTTTTTTTTAATTACGCTAAAATTGGCGATTTTTGGGGCAATAAAAAGGGGCAAGGATATTAGAAAAGGTTCCCTTGCTCAGAAGCTTCTAAGACATACTTTCAGGCAAAACTGAGTATTGTCATCTGTTTTTGTGAAGATTTCTGAGTATGCCTTAGTACAAATTCCTCGAAAGGTTCAAGTTAAAATTGAACCGAAAATATTGATTTTTGTAGTTATTAATGAAAATGTGGCAATTTTTCGGATGTTTGCAAAGTAAATTCTGATCGTAGTCATTTGTTTGCACGGTTTTTCTGTTTTTTACTTGCTTTAATGGCTTTTCTATCGTGCGCTTATGTAGATCGGGTTGCGTTGACTTGACCATCTCTAAAAACCACATTTTTCTATTTAAATCTTGGTACTTTGCCGATTGGTTTGCTTTCTTAAGCTCTGTCGCTTCTTTCACGGAAAATTAATGAGTTTATTTTGGAACTTTTATATTGCTGTACTTTTCGCTTCAACTTTGTCTTCTTTAGCATTTCCAATACCTTTGACCAAACTCTTCCAAGTTGTTTCATTGAGCTCAAGAAAAAACATATTTCACTAATCCGAGTTTGGGTTTTTCTTGTTTGGGAAGCCTTTTTTACATGAGTTAACAAATTACTTGGAAATGAACGTTTTACTTAAGCCCAACCCTGAGAAAATTCTTTTTGTTCCACTATAGAATCGTAATGAAGCCAGTGGTCAGATTAATGAGCGATCCGTCCTTGAAACAGTTATTTTAGCAATATCCACTACTAAATGATTACAAATCTACCGACTGTCCAAAGGCGTTTAGGTGTCAAACCAATAAGACAAAGTAGCAGGAAAATTGCCGGGTATTGTGTGCTTTATTTTGACGAATGTGTTTGAGTGCGAACGACATTAATACATTAATAGCTCATATCCGTGAGAAAATTAACTTTTCCATTGGTGTATTGGAAAAGTTGCTAAGTTTTCCTTGGCCAAGCCCAACGAAAACTTGGCTAAACGCTTAGTTAATGCCATTTTCATTCATTTACATTGAGAAAAACACAGCTACCGATATAAATAGCAGAAGAAACTTAAATTAAAATTAACATGTCCAATCATGTGAGTTTGCAACCGGTAATTTTTATATTAAAATCATTTCAGTTGCGTCATGAACTTGTTTGGAGTCCCCCTTGTGTTGACTTCTGTTTAAACAGGTGACATAACGATTTAAAAATACCCGATCGACTAAAACCCGCATTTTCACGATTTGCCATTCAATCTGTTTAATGATTTGTTTGTTTGTCTGTCGTTTTTTTCGTCTCTTCGTTCATAGAAAACACAGCGCTGGATGGCGTCATTTACCTTGTGCTAAAATTTCGCTGATGTAATCAACGAAATCAGGGTAGCATCTAACCAGACGAATGGAATACTAATCAGCCAGGTAAAATATCAAACAATGGTTTCTTATTTCAAGTGACACTAGGATGAAGTGAGATTTAGAAAAGCTTCATCTACTCGACATCGGGCGTGGGTTCTAAAGAAACACTCGAAAGTGTCAAAGGCAAATCACCTAAATCAGGCTAAAAAGCTCACGCGTTTGCAGCAAGGAGAACTGTTGTTAAACCACTTCTATAAAGCTGCTTAAATCAAGGAAGGTTACCCTGCTAAGGAGTAATGTGAAATTATCATTAATGAGGAATGAAACACAAGTGGGAAACTTCGGAGCAAAGCCTACAAATCAGAGAAAATAGCATTAACTTCCAGTTCCCAGGACAGCGAAAGAGATTCGACTAGCATTTTCCTTTTAATTCAACTCCAACAGGCAAAAAACCGAAAACAGCGCAGACGTTTCGCTTGCTTTTACTGCTAGCACGCTCAAAACCTACGTGAAAGCCGACAACTGCGCCACTGGTTAAGTCCCAGAGAAACAGCGCTCAATCAAGAGAATCCAACGAATCGAGAAACAAGCACAAGAATAGAAAATAACTTCGAATAGAAGAAATCTCAAGAAGACTTTCAAGATTTTTATGACGTTTACTTAAAACTGGGACTAACGTCGCTTAATCTAAACAATTTGGAATTGATGGCAAAAAACCACTTGATTTCAGGTTCAAAATCCTTAAGAACTTGTATTTTAACTGCACTGTTTCCCCATTGCTCGGCTAGGCAAAACTGAACCATCCTGTATGGTAAGGCGCCTATTGAGGCGCCAACTTTGGACGCCAACAAGCGGATTTAAAATACAGAAGCTGAGAGGATCGATAGCATGCAACCTCTTCATTATATGCAAAGCAGGACTTTTACGAAAACCAGGTCAATGTTTCCGTAATTCGAGTGATTCATTCAGTGTATTTATCCGAATGATGTTCTTTGATTTAGCAACATTTCCCGGGACAGAGTGCTTTTAATGGCCTCATGGGCCCAATCACTACCATTACCCTCTTCAAGACCAATAATTTTAGAACATTTGCACAATAGTAAGGAACGAATGCATACTTTAGCAGTGAATCACCAACAGAACGTTCGGGTAATTGGAAACCGCACTTGATCGAAAGGATTTCGAAAACTGACTGCATCCATTTATCACTCAACTTCTTATGTAGCTCTTGGAAGAGTCAAAAAGAGGCATGATGTAATTATTGTGTTCGACTTCGAAAAGATATCAGTAGCCCACATTGCGCGCAATCTGTAAAAATAAGTGCATGAATAATGTTTAATTTTACCATAACACGTAATTCCGGAATAATTCCATATTATTTACAAATGGTTCCCATTCAGCGAACCATTGGCGACTCATAAATAGTTGTAAAATACGTCTAGGCGCCGCATTACCTGCTAATATAATATTTGCCTTTTAAGGATCAAAGCGCGAAATCAACAATAATATAATAGCTATTAAACGGAAAAAATAGATTAAGAACATTGATTTTTCAACGTAAAGATTTTTCGGTTGTGTTTGACTTTATGGCAAAAGTCAGGCAAATTTCCTCAAATTTGAGGTTTTATTTTGAAAACTGCTGGTTAGAGCATTTAAATGCGAACTTCCTAAATTAAAGTGCAATTTACACAATTTTATTCGCAATTTTACACACTACAATTGCACGCTCGTTTAGGAAAGACCGATTTCCGATTCACCGCCTCAAACCCTCAGGTTTCATAAACAAAAAAAAAGATGTAAAAAAACTCACCAGTGTTACAATGTCGTTCGGATTAAAGCTGGCAATTTCCTGCAGCCTCCCGTACAAAACATCGACCAAATATTGATAACGTCCATTGAATTCGTCCAATTCCCTGCTGACAATGTCCGCTCCGGACGGCGCAGCGTCTGGACGCTTAAGAGCGTCGCCTGCGTCCAATGAAGGATGCGCGTCCAGCAGTGCGTCTCTTGACTTTTGGACGCCTTTGCTCCATATCTGTTGTTACGGTTAGATTGTTAGGTGTTAGTCGAGTGAGTGCGCACGCGTGGTAAGTCGACATTACATGAAACTACTACCTACCGGTGATGGGGGTGGGGAAGAAGTAATCAAAGAGATCGACACAGAGTAACAATGGTGAAGAGTTAGGTAGTTTTTTTAAAAGTCCCGCAGATTACTTCTTGAAAATATTGGCATCCAAAGTGATTGATTGATGATTGTTCCGATCCATTTTCGTTTAGAGTAACATGAATGAAGGGGGAATTTAAGAAGTGCCAATATTTTATGAAAAGCGGGAATGGAAATGAAAAATGTAACGAAGGAGAGCTGACTCATGTAAGCAGTTCTGAACATTATAAGTTAAACGCTAATTTTCTCTGGACAAACATAAAGTTCTTCAGCGTCAGAAAAGCTTTGATGAACTTTGCTCTAGACTCAGATGATGATCATGAAAACTATCTATCTAAATACTTGATCAAATAAAATCCATATTAAATTACAAGCACTAAGAGTTATCATCTAGGAAAAAGCGTTGCGGTAGTAGAATCCACCAAGTTATTAGTCGAAGAGAATGAAAATCATGTAGAGAATACAGTAAAAACACAAAATACAACGCCGATTTGGAAAAGTAATATCAACAACCATTCTGCTCACTCACACTCAATAAAACAACCCTAACAGTCTTAGCCTAGGCGGATGAGTGAAATGCGACTCTTTGTTCGGTTGAGGCCAAGCCTAAGCGCGCTCCCACTTGCAGATTCGCTCAGAACGCTCTTAACACTAAGCCCCAACTAGCTAGTAATCGCTCAATGTTTACCTTTCCTTCCCTGATGAATCTACCACCGTTTAAGTTCACTTGTTCAATTTTAGGGGTGCGTTCCACTACGTTGTTCAACAGGTTCTGAAATTAGAAGTGCACGTTTTGTTATGGTGTTAGCAGGTTAGGACTACAAGTATTAAATTCGTTTGGAACTATTCGCTGTTCGCATTTCTGCTTTGCTCTTTGAAATAAAACAGTAATACCCCAAGTTAGGCCAGCCGAAGATTCATCTGCAGTTGTACAACTGTTAACTATCTTCAAGTTGTTTAAGTATTACAATTAATTTTCAAATTCCTTGTTGCACTTCAAATAAAAATGTTTCTTGGATTTTTTGCTCTACTCTACTCCCATACAAACGCTGATTCCCATTTAAACGTGTCCAATTTGGCCCATCGACCACAAATATTACTTTATAATGGAGAAAAATGGAAGATATATTTATTTGTAATAAAACTATAAATTTGTAGTATTTCTAATAATAAAAAAATACAGTGGCGTACCATTTTCTCCTCCTGCAGATCGCACGTCACTTGCAAATTTAGCAAAATTATTTTATTGCAAAACATGCGTATCTCTTAGCTATTGATTCCTGGAAAATTATTTTAAAATAATCGCCATGTTATTTGAAGAAATTTATCATTTGGCATTTTTTATATTAAATTTCAACACCCTGTAAATCCGTAACGAAGCATTTTGGGCTATCGTTTATATAGCAAACTAGGGTTATTTTCGGACCTAGAAGATCTCCCACTCTTGACTAGGCATTACTGTCATAAATTGAGCTCAAAAGCAGAAATACTCTAAATTGAATGATCAATGATGATACAACATTAGAGTATCTTTCTCCCCCACAAGTTACGAGATTAACTTTTTCAATACTACTAGTAAATCCTACTAAAGTGCTCCAGTTAAAACCCTCCTAAATTTCAATCAAACTCACCCTGGTAGCATCCAGTTGCTCCTTGGCTCTATCCTTAATAGGCTGCAAGGTTTCTAGCTTGCCATATTGATCGTCCAGCCAATCATCTTCCACCTGCTTGGCTTGCGCGTACTTCTGTAGTAGATCGTAGGCCTGTTGGCAGCCTTTGAGCCTGTCGGCCAACTGTTGGCAAACGCTGGACCATCTGCTGTTAAGCCTCTGGATGTCTTTGTCCAGGCGCTCCACATCGGAATGCGGGCCCCTTTGGTTGGGTCTAGACTTTTCAGTCAGTCTCCTTGCGTTGTCGAAGTCGTCGTTCAGCTGATCCATGGCGATTTGCTGTTGGCCAACCGCGCTTTCCATCTTGAGCAGGTCATCGTGCACTGCTTTCAGTCCCTTTTCGGTATTGGGCAGCTCTTTCAGGCTGGACAGTTTGCTTTCGAACTCTGAGATTACTTGCTGCGCGTCCTCCATGCCGTTGAGCACGATTTCCATGCATTTCAGGCGTTCGATGTACAGGTTGCTGGTGTTCCAGATGTACTTCCATTTGTCGAGGACTTTTTCCAGGTCCTTTTTGTGTTGTGGAGTTTTCAGGGTGATGGATCTGAAAGTGTCCTTAACCTGTTCCACTTCAGGCTCCAGATTTTGAAGCCGCGACTCGAACTCTTTGTGCTCAAGGATGAGATGTTGCAAGGTGTCCAAGTCTCTGGGCAGAGGCGAAAGAACCCGCTGATTTATCACGCGCTCAGCCTCGTCCAAGGCGCGCTGCAGATTGAAGATTTGGTTGTTGAATACTTTGGTTTGGTTTTTGCTCTCTTCCTCTGCTCTGGCGCGTTTTTCGAACTCGTCGAACAGCCGGTTGACTTCGTCCATTTCTCTTCGGAGTCTTCGGAGTTGAGGGTCGGAAGGATCGCCTTCAGCTATCAGCTTATCGGCGTCCTCGTTCAGGGCCTTTCTGATGGCGTTCCGTTGCTCAGCGCCGATGGCGATGAATTGGGGCAAGTCCCATCCCTTTACCACTTTGATGGTGGCGAAGATCATGTTTTGTCTCATTCGCAGCTGTTTCTTCTGCCACAGGGCGATGGAACGGTCGTATTGGCGTTGCAAGCGATCCACTGCGTCCAAGGCGTCCTTATCGGGAGGAGGCAACACGAAGCAGACTCCGGGCACTTGGCATTCGATGCCTTTGGAGTTGTGCACTCGCCACTTTGTGCGCCCTGAGTTGTCCGTTAGGGTGCACTCCTTATTTCTTTCAATTACAAAATCATTCTTCTTGTAGTTGCAAATAGCAGTAACGTTCATCGGTCTTGTGATCGGTTGTCTGCGCTGCTTCAAAGGCACGACGTTCTGAGCGCGCGCTTTTAGCGCCTGCACTTGGTCTCCGAACGTGTTTAGCTCGTCTCTCAACGCCTGCATTCCTTGCAACAGTCGCTCTCCCACATCCAGACTGAAGTCGCCTTGACTGAACTCGTTATTCATAATCTCATCCTTCCTGAAATTTGCCAAAAAATTGTTAAATTTTGGCAATAAAAAACGTTTTAGATTCGTACTCTCTGAGCCATTCCTCAGCAGTTAGGACATCTTTGAAGAAATCCTGGTAGATTCGGGTGTTCTGCAAGTGCGTCTCCAGACAGTGGGTGAGTTGGAGCAGCCACGCCCATTGCGCGTTCATAGCGGCCAAATGGGCCTCAATGGCTTTGATGGCCGGATGGTTGTGACGAACCAGGGATTCGCCGCGTTCCAAAACGGAATTAAATTGCGATTCGCGCTTTTCCAGTTCGCTCATCAAATGCTGAAAGTTGAACATTTTTATTGGGTTTCTTAAATTAGACTGAATAGCAAAAAAAGAGACAACAGCAACAACAAAAACTATAATCAGTCACTGGGAGTTAAAACATTTATGGGACTAATCGGAAAAGGTCGCACATCTTGAAGATACAACTTTACCTCATCACCAATTCCGTAATTTTGCTGCATGAAGCAGTAGAAGTGTTTAGAGCCAATTAGCAAAGACTTTTTGCAAGTTCATTAAGCTTGTAAAACATACCTCGAAGTATTTCTCCACTCCATCAACGTCCAGCTTAACATCGCTCCAATCTCTGGTCACTTCGGTCTCTTCCTTTTCGTTGAGCCACTGCAGTTCTCTGGTGGCGGATTGGATGAAGTCGTAGAGACTTTCCAAGTCGTTGGCGCGAGCAGTGCTGAAGGTCAGCAGCTCAGCATACACCTGGAGGCAAAGATAAGGCTAATGATCAAGCAAGGAGTCGATCAGTTTAGTACCTTCTGAAGCTGTCCCAGGTGCTGATTGTACAAAGTCAGCTCTTCGCCGCTGAAATACTGCCGGGCCTTAACACATTGCTCCACCTTGGAATGGTACTGTTCAATGGTTTTGTGCTCGCGCTGATGGATGTCACGCTCCTGCTGAACGGATGGTAGATCGGTACCGAAATCGGCCTTCTTCAATTGTTTCTAAATAAGGAAAAACAGGTTGCAGGTTGATATTACTGGCAGCATGTTGCAGCCAAACTGTACCAATTTGTTTTTACACCACTCGATGTGCTCCTGCAGGGATCTGAAGTGGGGATTGGTCTCGATATTCCTGGTTTCTTGCACGGTTCTAATATGTTTCGTCACAGTGCGTTCTTCCACTGGGAAGCTCATGTTAGCCAAAGGCCCCACAATTTTGTTGTGCAACTGGTGCCTTAGACGGACCCATTTTTCATGCAGTTTGTTCACCCGCTTATCCAGCTCGCCAGCCTATAAAATCAATTGTGCAGGTTAGAGGGCGAGTTTATGAAATTTCCTGCTAAATTCGGCTCACCTGGGGGTATCTGCCATTGCGCAAAGTGTGCACGTCGGATTTAAGGGATTGAATGGCCTGTTCTGTAACAACCAGGTCGTGGTCGATCTGATCGGCCACCTTCTTCGCTTCCAGTGGGTGTAATCGTTCAATTCGTCGCGATTCCAGTTCGATTGCTTGTTCGATTTGATCCAGATGAGAATCGGTCTGTTTGATTTCTCTGGAAAACGTCAAAAATGCATTAGTTTCATATATTTTCGATTAACAGCAGATATTTGTACGGATCCTTAAGAGTTTCCTCTTTGGGCTTAGGACGCTTATTTTTATCAGTTACCTGTGTACTTTTTCCGCCAATCGTTGCAATTTTTCGAGTCGCTTAATTTCCTCAATTATGTGCCTATCACGGTCTTGATACGCATTCATGAGTCGCTGCCAATTTCTTTCAATATTATCGATGTGTAGCTCAGGTTCGATGTCAACCTAGTAATTCATGAATTTTATATTAGTACAGGATTGAGTAAAAACCGTAGTTAATGCAAATTGTACTCTGGAGGCTYWRGMTRTGTTTTTTTATATAAGCTGAGAAAATAAATGTTGCACAAATCAGCGGAAGGCTCTCGGTATTGGAGTAAAATTTCAGGATTAAACAGACGGTWTTTTAGGAAGAAGTATTTTAGAAAAATGTGCGTCTATTTCTTTAGAAGTTTGAAATCTCTGATAAAACCGATTTACCAAAGGCAATTCTTGAGATGCTCTATCCAAAAAGTCCTAGTGATGATTTGAGTTCGTTTCCGAGACGGAATTGAGAATTTAGAAGAAATAATCAAACTTCGGGTAGACCCTGATTAAGATTGTAAATTTTCTTTCTGTCGTTATTGGTATGTTGCAATGGTTTTCAGTTCCTTCAAATATTTTTCAGCGTGTAAGCTTAAGAAGCTGTTTTCGGCATCAAAACTTCATTAATTTTCGATAAAAAGACTAGTCAGTAAAATACAGCTTTTGAGGCTATCAAAAAGATCCTAAGAATGAACCGTATATTCGGAATCGTTTCTTCAATTTTAGATTGTCAGGGTCCCCAAACTTGCACTTGCACAGAGCAGCACAAAGCACGGATGAATGAAAAATAAAAATACACATTTTATTGAATAAAACAGCAATTTCCAATATTCATGGACATAACGGTGGGTTGTTGTCCGTCCATTAAATGTTTCCTACCTCTCCTACGCTCTTGAAATACTTCTCCAGATCTCTGAAAAGTTGATGGCAGTATTGCTTATCCCGTTGTCTGGGTGGGATTTCATCGGTGCGGAATCTGGTCGATTCGGCGGCCAGTTTCTTCATTTCGATTAAAGTTGGGGGGAAATTACGGTCCTAAAATGAAAAAAGTACCGGGATTGCATTGAAATTCTTCGATTGCCTCAACTGATCTGAAAAGCGTTTCGAACTGACCTGCATTAGACTGTACTTTTCACGCATCCACATATGTAGACTGGACGCAATTTCCCTGTATTCTTGCATTCTTTGTTGAGCTGCAGAGTCGTAAAGTGGATGAATTGGAGGCGGCTCCGGGAACACTTCATGCAGGGACGAAATGTACGTGATGAGCGACTTCTCGTCAGGTTCATGAGTGTCGACATCTGTAAAAAAACATGCGCATACATTCAACGATTTTCAAAAATTAAGGTTCATAACACACAAGACCTTATTGGAATAAAACTTGCAAAAACTCAAACCGCCTCCGAAGGGGAGCGACCCATTTAAGGGGATTAAACCGACTAGGAAAGCTATGTTTCACTGCAATATTGGATTAGCGCTTTTAGGTTTTCATGGCGGAGTTCAAAGAGTAAAACGTTCTTCATTTATGCAGCGATCAGATTTTTGTGTTGTTCGGATCGAACGTTTTTAAATCGAAGATATTGAAGAACATAAAAATTACAAAAATATAAGTAAGCAATAAGGAATAACAAATGCCATAATCACAAGCTATTCAAATTTCTAATTTAGTAAGTCTTCTCTGTTTCTTCGTAGAGAAGCACATGTTGAAAACGCGAAAAATTAACTGTGATTCGCATTTACTCTACTGGATTAGTTGAGGAGTAACTACTGAACACGTGTAGTAATTGTACTTGGATCGTTTCGGTCCAACATGCATCGTTATCTTCTAACAAATAAACTCAGATTTTTATCGGTGAGATTTATGACGAAGGAAGCGATAAAGAACTTCCTTCGTCATGCTAATTATATGCAAATATCCTCATCTCGGCCAATTCGCAAAAGGAGTGTCGCGTATATGGCAGGAATGCAAACAAAACACGGATTTACGGCGTCATGAGTAGCAAGCAATTAATGTTGATAATTAAATTTGTGATCATTATTGCTTAGAAAATCGAGAAGTCGATTAAAAAATATATAAAGACTATAAGAGTAGTGATGAAATTGTGAAAAATCAAGCGGATGGAAGATTTGTTTGTAAATAAAGCTCATATGTTCAGTTAAATAATGCAATAGACAGTACACAAAGTGAAGATGAAGTTTAAGGAATTAGTGCAAAGTTCGAAAGAAAATGGAACAAATTTCACAGTTTAACATTAGAGCAATTGTGACCAAAGCCTTCAATTGTCTTCTATACAATCTTGCAAATAAAACTGAAGAATTCTAACTGCACATCTTAAACTATATCAAAAGAAGGTCAATAGAACTAAACGGAAAACAAAGATCAAATATATTCGGGTACCAATAAAATGTTTCAAGCTTAACGAGAATGGAAGCTGCCCATCAAAAATTTGTAAAAAATAAGAGTCAACTTTTAATCAAGAAAAATGTTGGAACAAATTAGAAAAAAAATCATTTTGAACAAAAGACACAAATAATGGGGAACTTCTGAGGCTCTGTCTAGTGACTACAGAAGCGCCTTTGAATCAACGAGATACACTGGGATACTGAACAAAATTTTGTCGGAGATGCTTTGAAGATTCACTAATATACACCTTTATTGTTGTGTTTGATAAATATTTAACGTGAATGCCCGCTCACTATTTCCGTTCTGCCATCAATCAGCCGCAGATAACTCTAACGACCATCATTAGATCGGACAGCAGAAAAATTGCTACAGTAAATCAAAATTGGGATCGAGACTTTGGCGTCTAATCATCTCGAGTTCGCTTACCTTCCGGATCCAAGAGCCTGGTAACTCCGTATTCCTTCTCAGCAACAAAGAACACCGTTTCCAGACGCTCTCGAGGTCTTTGGTTGCGCACTCGGCCCCAATCGATCAGATCGGGCCTGTTGCGATGGAGAATGGAGCTGAACGCCAATCCATCGCGCCAGGATTTGGTGAAATCTTGCACCTGAACCCCTGGGTACTTGTGCGTGGTTCGTTTCGCCCATCGCAAAAGATAATCCTTGGCGGACACATTCGGTTCTTGGCCCACGATTATGTCGGAGATCTGCAATGAAGGAAATCGAAACAAGTTAGCTTAACATGATCAGCACAAATTCATGGCAGATTAGAGCCAATTGATGTGATTACTTGCTCAACATGTTGGCACGCCTAATGATCAGTGTTAAACAACGTGATTTATTACGAGAATAAGAGCCTAATAAATCCTGCCGTAATTGGCTGAGACATTGAGTGCAAGATTAGGCATTGTAAAAGACGTGGGTGTAAAGTGGAAAAGTTTATGCGGTTAATTTGATAAAAGGCGATTTTATGGACCGCACTGAACAATCAGGAAAGCGCTTTATTCATTCCAATCACTTAAGGCATTAAGATCTTGTTTGAAAAAAGTATAGCGAAACACCGGCAGCTGCATAAAATGAATTCAATATGCTGGGAAGAAGTACAGGTTTTTTTCCAGTACCGGTTCCAGATGCAGCTAAAGCTAAAAGCCTGAATTTTAAAGGGGATGAATGAAACACCCCGATGAGAAACAGTCGTAATCTTTTCAAAGGCTACTGAATCGCAAAAACGCATTGCGAATGCCAAAAGGAAACTCACGTTGCATTAGTACCGTTATGCTTAAGCGTATGTATACGAATTCAATTCCGTTTGAGAGCTTAGCAATTAGGTGTAAATAATGTAATTGGCGTGTTCAGATATCAAAAATTAATTAATGCGAACTTATTAACATTAGCAGGTAGATTCGATTGGTTTGGCACAGATTTCAGTTTATTGTGTGTTCAGAAATGACCAAATCTCGCAGCGCGGAAGCCGAAAATTCATAACTGTGATTGATGATGCATTCTCGAAAACATTCGAGCCGGTTGTGCTGAGAGGAAGTGGAAAAAAGTCGGAATTCTGTTGCTCCGCAGGAATTAAGCCATTTACTACTCAGCAGGAGTCGCTATTAACAATTCAGTCTTAAACACACATAGAGAAGGTGATGTAACTGTACAGGATGTACCATTCTTGCGCTTTTTCCCAATCCAAGTCCAATCTTGATTGGCACTGTTGACTATAATCAATTAGGTAACCAGAATGTGCTCCACACTGTGAACGTTAATTGTAAGAGAAGCACTCCTACATGCAAGAACAATGTATCGTCTAATTGCTCCCAACCTGTTCACCTATCAATACACAGCCAATCAAATGGTTTACAGCCCAGTCCGCCCACTCATAAAACTTTCAGATGCAACTAATACAATCTCGAATGCCCCCGATCTGCTGCTCACTTTGAACAGCGCTCATGAAGTCATCAGCAGTCCTTAAAAAGGCTCAATTCAAGCAGCCACCCTGACCCTCCTTGTCATTATAACTAATAATTGGCCGCCCACTCTGCACCTTGATCGAAACCATGATCAGGCTCAACAAACAAGACAAATCTAGTGGGATCGGACACGAAACTGATTATTTGCTGGAATTAATCTACATAATTTACATTCCAGCCGAAGCAATAATCAATGTTGTAAATAAAGGCAATTGATCGACAACAAGACTGATTCGACATTGAAAAAGTAGGACTTCTGTTTATGGCAGCATTCGCTATTCAAGAACGACAATAAACAACAACAAGCTAGACCTACATGATTTACATCCCCATGTGTCCCAACTTGGGTAGGATTTACAGGGCGAATACTTGTTTTAATCTGTTATCTTCCTMKTSAGGMGWRAGASAAATGCGWKWTTMKTTMSAAYYRRACATTWACTCGGCTTYGAACAYACCAAATMRTKGACAGAAMCWTTKTCAKGCYAACGTATCTCAGAGTGGATCAAATACAACTTCTATATAAAGACTACTTTTTTTGCTGTTACTAATATTTTATATCCAAAGAACGTTTGATTAAAACATAAATATATAGATTCTCATCGCAAAAAAAGTAGTTTGGAAGCTGCAGTTCTTATAGAAAAGAAACGTTCCTGGCCTGACAATCTTTCAATGATCTGGAAGCAGAGACTTGAGCTTGGAACTCGGCAAGAAAATAAGCCTCATTTTCCGCTTGATAACCTCATGATTTCTAAACTTTCGAAAAATCGAAAAATGCAGAACATTTTAAGCAAAAGCTTGTAAAGTTGGGAAAAACGAATTTGAAACTGCAATCGAGCTGTTATAAGCCTGCAGAATTCGGTCACAAGGGAATAGTTATTTTGGGCATCAAACTTCGTCTGAAAAAACCCTACCTACTTTCTAAATTAAGCAAAAGTAGTAATTTGTGAAGCAACTTTATAGAAAATAATTTAAAAAAAACTTCAATCGAGCTTTTGTAAATATGCAGTTCACTCTCAACAGGGAGCACAGTATCTTGCATTCAATACAAGTTTGAACCGAAAAGCGGTGTTAATATGATAGAAATCGAAGCTTCAATTGAGCTTGTGAACATCAGCAGCCCTTGAAACTTAGAAAACTTTTATTTAAAAAAAACGAAATGGAGAGTTGCAAAAATGACATTCACATCGAGTCATTTACTTATTTCCTTCTGAAAATATTTCAAGTTTTCAACTGCAGACGTTCATCAGCCGAACTTTTAGGCGCAATAAACAGCGTAGAACTCAAAATATAATTACGGGAAAACTCGAATTCTCCTTGGATGAAAGGACATTTTTAGAGCTCACAGCGCTGTAGAAATATCCACAAGTGGAAGCTTCTTTAACTGGGATCTAGAAGTTGATTTTTTTTTAAGAACTTTTAGGTTGGCAACTGAACAGAAGCCGCGAACGTTGGCCTAAACTCTAATCAGTTTATAACTTTCCAGGTGATTACGCGTAAAAACTGTATAAATACCAACAAGTCAAAGCTTCTTCAATTTAACTTTTATGAGAAACAAATTCAGTTTAAAGCGCCATTTATTTTGTTAGAAACTTCTAAGTTAAAAAAAAAGACCACGGACACTTCTACAATCTGGTTTCTGCTGAGTTGAGGTCAGTTGGTCAAAGTTTTTGCCCAATACTTTTCCACCTTTGTTGCGTGAAAATTTGAATTCGTCTTGGATACAGGAAAATTCTCCAGGCTCAAAGCTGTAAAAATACAACAAATCAAAGCTTCTTCAATTGAACTTTTATGGAATGTAAAAGTCGCTTTCAACGTCGTCTCTCAAATTTCAATTCATTTTCCAAGACCGGCGTAGATCTAGAAAATTGAAGAAACTAAGTCACTTAAAAGTGCCAACTAATTTTTAAAGAACTTGCAAGTTTGAAGAAGAGAGTCCAAAAAAACTTCGACCATTCGACCTCTGCTGAGTTGAAATTAGTTGTTAGAAGTTGTAGGTACAATAATTTTCCAACTTTACTACGTGAAAACTATAATTCCTTTTTGGATACAGGGAAATTTTCCGGACTCAAAGCTGTAAAAATACTACAATTCAAAGCTTCTCCAATTGAACTTTTATGGAATGTAAAAGTCGCTTTCAACGGTGTATCTTTATGAACCTTTACAAAACAAGCCTTTTCATTTCAAATACAAATAGAATTAAATTCAAAGCAGTAACAATTTATTTAAGAACTTCTTCAACTGAGCCTTTATAGGAGATTTGAAAGTTTACAAGACAACAACGTTGACAAAACAAGTCACACCCAAGCACCCAATAATTTCTCAAGAACCTTCAACTTTAAAGCTTAACATAAAGAATTTATGGCGGAGAACTTAAGACACTTCCACACATATGTGGCCGAAAAACGAGGTCAAAATCAGTCACAACCAGCAAACAAACATTTCAAGGAAAAAATAGCAATTCACAAAGAACAAAGAATGAATGCGTATTCTTCGTGCGACCCAGTTGCCAAAAAAGTGTGAAATTGGTGCTGAAATGTAATGTGTTATTAAACAGCCCGAACTTCCAACACTCTTAGCTTCAGTAGTTCGATAATATTAAGAGATCAAACAGGCGATGGAATTTGGCATAATTGCACAGGAGAAAGGCGACTTATAGGAATTAACAATACTTCCGGCTCCCGAGCTTATTAATAACCAGGCTTTTCAAAAAGTTGAATATGTAGAAAGGTTTAACTGTTGGACCGGTTCGACGTTAAACCTCGATGATAACGTATCTAGATCATCAAGCATTATTATTTATAATGCTCTCAGTATGCTGGCTAAATTTAAACCTGACTGTTAACCAAGGTTGAAAAAAAAAAAAATTCTAGGCCAAACTGGCTATGACAATAACCTCTGGCCGGTCGCTAGTTGATGTCTTCGTCCAGGTTGGTCTTTCACCGTTTCAGAGTGTTTGTTTACAGGCGCTTACAGCATTTTAATTATAAATAGTGACGTCAACAGATAAATATTGACGCCATTCCGACAAAGAAGAGCAAACAAGCTGATGTTCATGAAGCAATGTGTGCTTTGCTTAAATTCAACACGAAAAATATACAGATTAACCCAATCCTGGATAGGAAGTTTCCTATTTATGAAGGAGAAAGGTCGCCTTTGCACGATCCTCCATGGCCAGTATATTAGCTCACCCAGTATATAAGCGCACTTTTAAGGTGGGCGGTTTCTAATTAGGAATGGCAAATTCCGGTGTGCAATAAACATATCCAAATAGCTTGTTTGGGAGTTGATTAACATACAGTAGGTACGTATGGTTCTTTAAATAGACAACAAACCTGCATTGTATCAAACAACCGAACCTAATGGCGATTGAAAGTGGCTTTGGCCATATTACATAAGCGCACCGAGTGAAACATGTCTTTAGGTAATCGAGCTTCCTATATGAAAGTGACAATTTTATGGTTTAGTGTGCTTTTGTCCAAAGAGGTACGAATCTTTAAAAGTTTATTGTAAGGCTTTAAAACGAAGTTTTCTGTCTGGGAGTTGCAAAGTATGCAAAAAGTAGTTCAGATTTTGAAAAGTGTTTCTCAAAAAAGGTTTCGAAAAATGTTTAGCTTAAACTGGAATTTTCAATACTGACTTTTAAATTGTAAAAATCCAAGTCCTGCATGAAATCATTGGCAAATTAACCTTGTCAAAGCGACGAGTTGTTTTTATCACCGGTATTACGAAAAATAAGGACA